AGTCGGATAATTGCTGTTAATTTTAAGAAATAAAGTTCGGCATTTTTCAACCTCGTTCGGTATAATATAATTTACTGATAATTTTTTCCGTTAAGGAGGAACACATGGACGAAGGATAAAAAAAGAGGTATTCTGCATGTACATGTACACATCATTGCTATAAATGTGTACTCGGGATTAAACCCAAAATCCTTCGTTACATTGTATTTGGGTATGATTTTCACATGTTCTCAGGCGGATAATCATTTATTTTTATCTGTCTAAAGACAATAATTTCAGTTAATAGAGAAATGTTTTTATTTCGTCGTTTTTTTCCCATCCTTTTGGTTTACACGTTTGCTTTGTACACAAAAGCGCGTGTTCATATACCGCTGTTTCTACACGCTATCGATGTGATCAGGGAGAACATGATATCCTCCAGCAATTTACTTCTTATGAAAACACTCAATGAAAACATATTAGGTGAAAATATATACACCCATTAGTATCTTAGTACCTTAGTATCGACCTGTTTAATTGCAATGTCACCAACCGTAACGATCGCTGGCCAGGACTTGAATATAATTTATTACCGTTATTAAAACAACTCGTCAGCTGAGTGGACCTATGATTTAAACAGTAAAATAGGGAAATTCCAGAGTTTGAAGTGTATTTATTTTGGGCGCTCTTCCGCATAAACAAATTAAATCGCATTTACGCGTACTTACATGCATGTACCAATAATTTGTGTCATGGGTAAATTCAATTTATTAGATGAAATAAAAGAAATGCATAAGATTAATCTTCGTAAACAACACGTTTTTAAAACAATCTATCTGATATAACTGACGGTATAAAATAACAAAGAAAATAAAGGGTTTGTGTTTGTATTTAATTTGGAATGAGAACAAATCTTAACCTGTCAAATCACTTATAAAACATACTTCGTTTTCCAGACACTAATTGCCATGCGTAATCTTCACATGCACTGACCAAGAGGTCACAAGTTTGAAATGTATGGCTTCTCATTGCGTGAGTTTTGTCAACACATGTCGGAGTAGACTATCTAAGCCAATTGATTCCCAAAGAAAACTGCATAGGAAGGGGTTTTTTTTTTGGTACACTTTTTAACGGGTAAAATTCATTCGACGCTCGATAGAATTTTCAAATACAAGTGAAATATTGAGGCGGTTAAGTTACATGCGTCCGACCTAGTATTTTGTATGCAATAATATTGTAAGTTAGGAAGAAAATAATACAAACTCAAAAGTACTTAATTTTACTTTCGATTTTCCTGACAATTAAAAATGTGACCTCTACATACAATTATCGTTTTTAATTACATACATCCTGTTTAATGTTCATGAAAGAAATAGCAACTCGTTAAATAATAACATAAGAGAGATAAATAAACTGTTTCTGATCTTTTCGGCATTCAAAATGCATTGAATTTGAAGTGAATAAGTGAAAGGCAGTTAAGACTAGCTGATTAAAACGAGCGAGTGATAATTAAACAGTAAGACGGAATCATATGAAAGATTCGAAATGATTTTAAAGTAATTTTCCACAAAGCGCAATTATCTCAACAATGCAATGTTTATAAGACTAAATATGCAACTTTCTTGTAATTGAGCGAATAAAATATAAATCGAAATGTATTTGCGACTTAATCAAAGATATGAAATAATCTGAAAGATTCAACATATTTATCCACTCATCACTTAGTTAAAATGTATTTGGAATGGCCATTCTATTTGTTTTGTGTATGACCTTAGGTCGCTGGTTCACACGCCGATTGATCCTCGGTGACCTCCTTTGCCACGCGCTATCGAGGGAGGGGTTACATAATTGTAAACACACGAGGTGAATGTAAAAGGCGTGTACTTAATGGCTGTGAATAGTCTATGTTTAAAGTTTTGTTTTATTTTCTAACTTTATTGTTTGTTTTTATATGAAAAGAAGAAAAGGTTATCTTTTTTTCCCTGTTTAGTAGACTGGTTTATCCAAATTTGAAAACAAACGAAATAAAAGGGAAAGTTGTCAGTAAATAATTTGGAAATAAAGCACAAAATACTTCAAAAACCTGATTCTAAAGAATATTAGCATCTAATATAGCAAGGTTTATTATTTATAGTAAGTTTATTTTAATTACACGCATGAAGGGCTCTTGTTTACTTGCTGAATGAAAACACTTACCTGTATATGTGTTATGCTTCTAGCTCATTTAGAACACAAGACTCAAACAAAATAACATTTTCTTGAGATCAATAAGATGTTAAATAACAACTTTAATTACGGCAGCTATTTCGAAATATTTACCGTTTTTGAGTTATAAAGCAAAAACTTTAAAGGGCCCCAGATCCCTAATTTTAGGGGCCAGACCCTTTTTAGTGGTCTCAAATGAAAGGCCTTAAAATTGTGCACAACTTTTATTCTACATGTTTTATCAAAATATTTTTAGTTTAGAAGATAAAAAGGAAAATATGTGTAAATTTTCGCTCTTTTTGGCGTTCTAATTTTTGACCCCTCTCTAGCGCCATTTTGAATACAGAAATTGACAAACAAAAACCGATGTGCACAACTTCAGTGCTTCTATTATTTAAATTCGGTAGAATTTCTACTCCAGCTTCAGTAGTCTCTGAGCCTTTGTCTGGAAATGAAGCCACCTAAATTTTCATGTAAAGGGAGATAACCCAAAAGCGGAAGTGGGTTTTTGAAATGTTTGACAGCATTCTGATAGAATTTTGTAACGTCTTTAAACCCTGCAAATTTGAGCAAAATCCGTTGAGAAATGAGCAAGATATGAGGTCTCAAAGTTGGCGTCTAGGAAAAAAAAAAAAAGAATAATAAGAATAATCTTAACCATCAGAATCAGTAGAAGGTCTTCCGCCTGGAGCGGAAGACCTTAATAATCTTAACCATCAGAATCAGTAGAAGGTCTTCCGCCTGGAGCGGAAGACCTTAATAACTTGGAAATAAAGCACAAAACACTTCAAGAACCTTATTCTAAAGAATATTAGCATCTAATGTAGCCAGGTTTATTATTTAAAGTAAGTTTATTTTAGCTACACGCATGAAGAGCTCTCGTTTACTTGCTGAATGAAAACAGTTACCTGTATATGGGTCAAGCTTCTGGCGCATTTAAAACACAAGACTCGAACAAAATAACATTTTCATGAAATCAATAAGATGTTAAAGAACAACTTTTTTAACGACAGCCATTTCGAAATATTTACCGTTTTTGAGTTATAAAGCAAAAACTTTAAAGGGCTCCAGATCCCTAATTTGAGGGGCCAGCCCCTTTTTAGTGGTGTCAAATGAAAGGCCTTGAAATTGTGCACAACTTTTATTCTACATGTCTTATCAAAATATTTTTAGTTTTAAAGATACAAAGGAAAATATGTCTAAATTTTCGCTCTTTTAGGCGTTCTAAATTTTGACCCCTAATTAGCGCCATTTTGAATACAGAAATCGAAAAACAAAAACCGATGTGCACAACTTTAATCCTTCTATTATCTAAATTCGGTAGAATTTCTGCTCCAGCTTTTGTAGTCTCGGAGCCTTTGTCTGGAAATGAAGCATAATACATTTTCATTTAAAGGGCAATAACTCAAAAGCGAAAGTGACTTTTTGAACTGTTTGACAGCATTCTGATAGAGTTTTGTAACGTCTATAAACTCTGCAAATTTGAGCAAAATCCGTTGAGAAATGAGCGAGATATGAGGTCTCAAAGTTGGCGTCTAGAAAGGAGAAGAAAAAAAAAAAGAATAATAATCTTAACCATCAGAATCAGTAGAAGGTCTTCCGTTGGAAACGGAAGACCTTAATAATTGTGCTTCATGCATGGAAAATTTTTCTGGAATAGACCTTTAGAAATAACAAAGGCAGCTAAGTTTGAGGATCCCCCAGAAAAAAATTAAAATTGCTCCACATCCATGAAATACATGTACATGAATTGTACATTTTTTGAAATTAGAAAGTGGAAGGACGAGATGTCATCCTTTTCAATCAAGTTTCTTTGTCTCTACGTTGTCCTCCACTTTTGTAAGATGCTGCATTTCATATCCTGAATTTTGTATTGCATTTCCGACAATTTTTATTTTCATTTCCAACATCTTTTATTTTCATTTCTGACATCTATTTTTTAACATTTCTGGAATTTTTAGAGGTACCTTTCCGGCAATTTAATGTTAAGCAAGTAGGTGGGAATAAAATTATAACAAGATATAAATATTACATTTATTTCAAACCACATTTTTCAAATAAAAATATTACAATGTACTGTATATACATGCAGCACAAAGTCGAATTCAAAGTTTTGTATAAGTTAAATGAGCATGCAATTTTTCTTCACTAAATTTAATAATGTCCACTGAATTATAGGTCAGTGACTGTGCCAAATTTATGTTGGATATCAATGATTTATTCTTGATTTATTCTTTAAAATAAAGTCTACAATTCTGTTTTCTTTGCCAGGAAAGTACTTTATGATAAATGTCTGAGATGAAACTGTAAAATTTCAGAAATGAAAACTATAAAATATGTCTGGAATGAAAAGTTCAATATTTAAAAAAAAACAACTCCGGAAATGAAATGCAGCCTTGCAAAAGTGCGGGGACATTAAATCTCATTTGTCTGTTACAAAAACTTTAACTTTGGTCCTAACTTTTGAACAAGAGAAGGTGAGGCTTTCATATTTCACAAGACCTTTCAGAATGTACTATGGCTTTGACCTCTTGACCTTGACTTTCCAAGTTCTTTTTTTCAAAAATCTGAACTTTGGATCCTTGGTATTATCTCATCACATCAGACAGATATTAATACAATACTGATTCTCTCTATTGCAGTACTCTTTCAGAATCAAAAGCTCATGGAGGATATACATGTATTTCCTGGGCCTATTGTCTTCCACATTGATTCAATTACTTGATAATTAAAAAAAAAAGAGAGGCTTTTTAAGGATGTCCACAATCTTGTTCCTGAATAAAACTATGCTCAAATTAAATACATGAACATTGAAATTTATTCATTTCAAATATTTATTATCAGAGTGCAATAATCAAAATTTTACCTAATAACAATCCACAGATCAACAGAGTACTAAATGATCCATAAAAGAAATTGGTACACATTTAAACAAAAAGCACAAGGCGACTTTCACCAAAAGTTTGCTAAAGAAGACACTTGCACTTGTATACTCTTACTCATCATTACACTATTATAATTTAATAATATCTGTTATTGAAATTAGTTTCTGCATATTCTACATGTACATTTAATGCATCGTGCTTTCATTCCCAGAAAAGTTTAAAGTAATATCAAACTGAACTCTAAAATTCAAGACATCACCATCTAAACTGTTCTTCAAACACATTATAATTATTAACTAGAACATGTTCATGTAATTCTATTGGTATCTATTGTTTACTTACACATTTTCCACTTTCTTATCTTGGTACCAAAACTTGAACTAAAACTTTTAATGGCTGATTTGTTTCCAGCTAGTGGCTAGTTCACTTGTCTATTCTGGAAAGGTACATGTAGATATTGAGCACACAGAAGAATAGATTCTACAATCTTGAATGCAGTTCGGATCTTGGACAAGCAAAGTTAAAATACTATTGACACCAATTCATGATTACACTACATAAAATGTCATGTGTACATTTGTTCTAAATTTTAAATATGTTGCAACAAAGCTCACTGAAGCTTGAAGATTGCAAGTTTGTGTCATACGGAGTGACATCATGATTGTTTTAAATTTGCTTCTTTTTGAAAGAATACGCTTTGCCCACCAGTCACACAAAAAAGACATGATCTAACGAAGAGCCAATTAAATAGTCTTTTTTTTAAAAGATATGTATTGCAATCTGTTGACTATGACAATCCCTGCTATAAAATTACCAGCATTATGCAAGTTCATATATCCAACACATTAATATAATGTAATAATACAGTGAAACTTGTCTAATCTGGATGTTGTGTATTCCGAAATCTTGCCTAATATGGTGTTGACTTTAAGTCTCTTTCAGTAAATTCAATTGTAAAAAATGTTGTCTAATCCGGAATGTTGTCTAATCCGGCCAATTTCTATGGAACCAGTGGTGTACAGATTAGACAAGCTTTACTGTAATAACTTGCAAAAATTCAAGTCACCAACTAAACTTCAATGATTGATAATTTTAGATCAACAGAATGATGTAATGTTCTAAAATCACAGGCCTATAGAGATTAGGGACCTTTTCTTGATTGTCAAGGAATTTTTGTTCAGTTTCTCCCACACCCCCTCAATGAAATTGCTTTCTTTGGGCCTGTATTGTTCCGGTGACAAATATCAGGAGCATGGAAAAATCAAACTTTCAAAATACTGAGAGAGTGAAGATTGAATTTTATTTTAGATGTAAAAATAAAGAAGTTGGAGCAGAGAGTTAAGATTGAATTTTATTTTAGAATGTTAAAATAAAGAAGTTGGAGCTCTGTGAATCTAGCAATTGGAAATACATGTATACGTCACTCTGTTGATGCCACCAACTGCTTGATTGCAGGGCAGAGCTTTAGCTTTTAGAATCAGAAACAATTATGTCACTTAGTATTACACAAACTAGCTTCAAAATGCTTCATTGTAAAACAGAACACATTTAATATCTACTGTATCCATATATGACGAGATGGGAAGGGATATATCCTTACCAAGATATATATCCAATGAAATACACATGTATAACACAGGATGTAAGAGATTGAGAATTACATGTAGTTATACTTCAGAGGTAGAAATAATCAGAGTGACTAATTTATATCTGTGTTTTTTTATTAAATTAATGACAATTTAATTGCCTTGAGTACTTACATCAAATCATTTTTTAACATTGTAGCATGTAAATGAAAGACTCATGTGAAAAAAACAAATACTTTATGTAATTCATGGATAGTAATAAATGGAATTTTTTTGGTAAGGACTAATTAATACAGTATGTATACAAATTTCTTACTTTAATTTACAGGCCTTCAGATATTTGCACTACTAAACAAATATCAAATTACAACTATTTAGCGAGAAAGGTTATCTCATGAGTACTGAATAAACAACTGAAAATATCGGGGGGTTTTGGAACACGAGCAATATACAGTTTAAACCGCTCAGCAGGTACTCCTTAACAGACAGTAGTAACCAGACAGCATCTAGATTGATGACAATCTTATCACATAACAAAAATTTGGCACCATAAAAAAAATATAATACAATAGTTTAGATAAATTGTTATGTTGAATTACTGAAAACATTCTCACACAAGGTTCTAGCTTGTCAAGAATGTAGAAAGAATTGCAAATAATACAGCAAACTGTATACAAGGACGAAAGAACTGTAGCAGCACTGGCATACTATCATGTAGCAAATTAGCACGGGGGTTTTAATGGAACAAATCTCTGCCTCAATTGCCTAGGGACCATGATATAATTAGAATGGGATATTGCAAATATCATCACTTCATAGCTGCTAATCAAAATTCAAAGGAAAAAAAAACATAAAATGCTACCACCTCAGATGTATACATGAACCTGCTCAGCACAATACAATATGTCAGAAAATAAAATAATAAAGTAATGTGAAACTTGGACTAGAGAATGTTTTGTCTGTGAGATTAAACTGTTGAATCAGCATTGTGAGATAAAATGTTCTTTTTTACTGTCTGCTTGAAAGTTTCCAAGTATTTTTTCATGGGTATACAGAAACCCTTGGAGGGAGGAAATAGAGAAAATTCTGGCGGCCTGAAGAGGTCCTCATCTAAATTCCTTTTGGGCAGCTGAGGGTGTGTTGAAGAAGGCGAAGTGTCCATTACTTGGTTTGTGCACTGATCATCAGTGGACTGGTCAGCTGTTGTGTCACAGTTCACATGTACTCCATTGTCCTGACCTTTGTTTACATTGGTTGGCTCCATCCAAGACTCGTATCGACTGATCATTCTATAACATATCAATTATCACATCATTTATAAGTATACCTAACTTAAACATGTAGATGGAACTATAGATATCTGACCATGAAGATATAACAGGATAAACATCAAATTACTGTGTATTTGTACAGTATATGTTTTAGTGTATGTGACTTACCTTTGGGCATTTTGTTTGAGATGTGAAATCATCTCCTCCTTAAAACTGTGTGGAGGATTCTCTATCATTCTTGTCAAACTCTGAAATATTTACAAACAGTGCCAAACTCTAGAATGTACAATTAATCCCTGGAATAGCTTTTTTTTATCCAAATATAAAAAAAACCATGATCATTTATAAACATGCTTCAGTTGTCAACCTAATCCTTTACACAACAAATTACAGCACCAAGACTCACTTGCACTAGTTTAATGATGGCCATTTCATTGTACATCTTGCTGTTTTCGTCACCAATCACAGATCCTCGCTGTTTTTCAAACCCAGCCTCATTATAATAAGGTTCTGCTACCAAAATCAACCCTATGGTATAAACATTATACAGTTAAACATCGATATCTTGAATACCATGGATATCTTGAAGTTAGCTGGGAGTCCCAACTTCATTTTCTTTAAAGTAGTTTAAGTAGTTTAACCGCGGTGTCACGAATACTCTGATATCTCAGAAGTTTTTCTTGGTCCCATTAAATTTCAGATAACAAGGTTTTACTGTACATATTAAAATATTTTCAATATATTTAAAAGTTCAATAGTTTATCAAAGTGTGCTAATGGCAAGTTAACTAGTATGCATTATGACCAAAGATAAGGATGAAAATCATTAATCCCTTGATAAGCAAACCTTTCATGTTGAGTTTCATTCACTTAATTAATCTACAAACCTCAGATTACTCATATTTAAATTATTTAAGATATCAGTACCTTGTACTGACACAAGAACTTGCAGCATATTGGATTTTGCTGTCCACATTTCACTTCCCTACAACACAAACATATTTTTGTTCATTTACTTTATCATACTACAAATTTCACTGAAACAGGGGAAGATGTATACGTTACGAATTCCATGTGAAGTAAATTGTATTCATAATGCATCTTTGTTCTTCATAATAAAAGTGCCCTAATAATGGAGTTGAATTACTAGTACTCAAGTAAAATTAGAATGTTCAATGTACAACTTGTTAATGGCCACAAGTAAGTATTGAGCCCCAGTTATCACCACTATAATCCAGACTCTTAACCTTTTGGACAAAATTTGAGGGCAACATAATTTATAATTACATCTACCAATTAATAAATACATTTCAGTAATCCAATGTGCTTCATTAATCTGTCAATTTGCTTTGGAACACAAGTGTCCCTGTTAATAAGGCTCGACTGAAGACGGCTGTACCTTTCCGTCCCAGGTACCCAGCAGACTGACACAGACTTTTCCGTCCTCATACAGATTGGGGTTCAGCCTGTCTGTACAGTATGATATGTAGTGGAACACAGGGGGTGATGTGGGATAGTCAGCCGGGAGGAAGACATCAAAAAAGAACAGACCATCTTCATAAGGGGTACCTTGTGGCCCAATAATCATCACAGAAAACAAATCCTACAGAAAAATAGTCACCTGACAGTGAAATGTATCTCTATCTGTGATCAATGGAATTTCTTTCAACTTCTCCATTTTTTTTAAAATTATTATTTACTTAATTTTTAGCAGTAATTGAACTTGAATACATTTGTAACAACATACCATTCTGTCTTCAAATCCTTTCACAATAATTCCATTCGGTAGGTTACTTTGGAGCAGCTGGTACTAAAATTGGAACATAATGATTATTCATATTCAGACCATAAATACTGAGCTCAAATCCAGTTTATCACCTTCTTAACTTTATCATAAAAGTCCTTCACTTTACCTCCTTTCTGACCGCTCTTAGGAAAGACTTGGGATCCTGTGGGGAATACACTTTACTTGCAAAATTATGTGTAGATGGCGCCATCTCACACATCTGAAAGCCTGCAAAATATAATGGTCAGTGGACACATTTCTCTCATTTGCAATGTGCACTTCAACTTTTCAAAACCCGTAATTCACAGAAATAAATGGTTCTGAGAACAGATACAAAGTGTGTGTTGTTGTTTGTGTGTTGTATGAACTTACCCTGTGTAACAGAAGTGACCTGTTTGTAAGCTTTCACCACCTCTTTCAGACGTGGTGTTGTTTGTGTGTGTGTTGTATGAATTTACTTTGTGTAAAAGAAGTGACCTGTTTATAGGCCTCCACCTCCTCTCTAAGGTATGTTGTTGTTTGTGTGTGTGTTGTATGAATTTACCCTGTGTAACAGAAGTAACCTGTTTATAGGCCTCCTCCTCCTCTTTCAGGCGTGTTGTTGTTTGTGTTGTATGAACTTACCCTGTGAAATAGAAGTCCCCTGTTTATAGGCCTCCACCTCCTCTCTGAGGTCTGATATGTCTGTCGTCTCCTCCTGAGTCTCCACTTGATCACACTCCACACAGTTTGATTCTGGGTTTAATGCCATATCAAACTCTGAAACATAAATATTCCATGCCTGTTTTAATCTGTGTTGCATTTTTTGCATCACAATTATTCATTTCAATTGTGATCTTTGACCTTGACCTTTGATCAAATGATTTTAATGAGCAAGTGTCTTTTCCAAAGCATCATAAGTAACAAAATTTCCCAGGTATTGCATCACAAAGGTCATAGCAATAATCTCAACATTGACCTTGATCAAGTTATCAATAAAAAATTGTGTCTTTCTTTCATATGTATTAAGTACGGTACATATATATACATGTATGTAGGATAAAACAATATACAAGTTATTATATCACATAATTGTATAATGATGATGGAATGTTTGACTATTGACCTTGGTTTGATCTTTGACCAAGTGTCTCCAAAAGTTAAAGATATTTTTCTCCAAGCATCTACCTATGTAGAGAGCATGAAGTCTGCAGGCAGTTAATAAATCTTGATATGGGGCCCTACTAATACGAGTTTATATTTTTAGAATGGAATAATTTATTCAATCCATAAGGTTTGAAAGTACTCAAGTTAAAAAAACCTTGATGTGGGGCCCAACTAATAAGAGTTGAAATTTAGAACTCTTGATTCAATCTATGCTGTAGATGTGATTTATCCTGATAAATAAATTTAAATTAATCTACTTTAGGGATCACTGAAATATTTTTTCTTTGAGCTTTTACCTTCTACCAGTCTGGCTCCTAGAGATTCCTCTTTCTCTGTTTTTTCTGTCTGTCTGTTCTGTTCACATTTATCACATTCCCCGCCCATCCACTGCTTTGTTTTTTCCCATCTTTCCCCAATCTCACCTCGTATCTTCACCATCTGGACAAGCATCAGTTGACAAAACCTCTTACATACTTCCTCTTTCTTCTTCTGTTTTGACACCCAATTATCCCTATCTAAGGAAGCCCCACTCCCCTTAGACTCTCCAAGACCGGAATCACAGTCACTGACTTCTAGTCCTGACTCTTGACTCACATTTAACTCTTTTGTTTCATTTGATACATTCAAGCATGCCTGGGGCACCTGCCAATTATCTGGTTCACCATTAGATGTTGTCGATGAAGCTGTTCCCTCACTAGTGTTAACCGTTTTAGGTGTATAATCTGCTGAAGTTGCACCAAGACTAGAATTGTCTATATCTCCATTTGGTAAATTTGCATTTTCTTCCACATTAGATTCTTGGTTTTGCACTTGTGAGGCTGTGAAAGTTTTCATCACTGACTGAACTATAGCATTAGCAAGCTGTGTCAGCTCTGTATCAGGACTACTGGGTTTACTGGTCTCTAGGAACACTTGAGATGGGGTATCTTCTAGAGTTTGTGAAACAGGAGATGAATCATCCTTACTTGGTGATTCTATGCTTCCTCCACCTTTTCGTTTTTCGTAAATTTTCAACAACCGGTCATTCAGTTCATTTCTCTTCTCATCATACATCAGTGATCGAATTTCCTCCAGCAAATTTGTGAGCTCCACATCCTCAAAGAAGTGAGATTTGAGGATTTTTTCCAGATCCTGGCAGCGTTTATAAACAGCAATTATATCCCTAAGATATCTATAAGTAATGGTTATCTTTCCAGTGTATGTAAAAAATATTTTCTGTAAGTTCTCCAGGGCTGACTGTGCTCGGGACATTAGTGCATCCAGCTCCTCTTTCTTTTCCTTTGTTATAAACATCAAAGAAATGCCTCCATCAGCACTAAAAATAAGGAAATCTTGTGGGTCATAAAAATTACTTATCATTATATTAACAAAATGAGAAAATGTGTGCTTTAAGAATTTGAGTAACAAAGCTCATTAAATACTGTTAATATAAATTGATACTATTAAATAGCACAGTCAAGTAGTCTCCAAGACCCAATTCAAACAATATCTTACATTTCATCTGAGCTTACAGCTTCCTCATCCTCAGTTTCCCAGCTCATGTTGGAGTTATCATCCTCCTCTGTCTCCTCCTCCTCCTCTGTGGACCAGCTCGAGCTATCAAACTCACTCATCTAAAAAACAACTCAAAGTGTCAAACTCGCTCATTTACAAAACAAGGCAAGATGTCAGTCTCATTCATTTACAAAACAACCCCAGCTGTCAAGTTCACTCATCTATAAATCAACTTTATGTGTCAATCTTACTCAAACAACTCAAGGTGTCAATCTTACTCATCTATAAAAAAAAAAAATTGAGTTGTAAAACTCCCTCATCTACAAAACAACTCGAAGCTCAAAATTTTTTGTTAAGCACACTCATCTACAAAACAACTGGAGCTGTCAGCTCTCTCATTTCATCTACAAAACAACTAAAATTGTTTTACTGGCTCATCTACAAATTAACCCAAACCCCCAATCTCACTTGTGGAACTCCCTCATCTACAAAACAACTCAAGCTGTCAAACTCACACACCTACAAAACAATTCATATCGTAAACCTTGCTATTTCATAAAACAATCTGAGCTGTATAACTCATTCATCAATAAAGTAACACAAGCTTTCAAACTCACTTATCTACAAACAACTCAAACTGTCAAACTAACTGATCTTCCAAACATAATGTATATGTACAGTGCTCCCCAGTTATAATTCCCCCTGTTATAATGCGACCCCCGCTTACCGCCAAAAAAATTCAAAGTTCCAATTTTCTTGCTATATAATACCCCATTTTAATGCTATTCCCCCGCCTACCACCATCCGTATTTCGAGTACAAATCTGTCTGTTACCATTATTGTCACCCCTGTTATTACCGCCAATTAGAATACTTTTTTCAAAAATCAGATCGGTAGGTCCGCGTCAAAAGATAAAGTTAAATGAGAAACATATATTTACACCCCTCTAAAAAATTATTCAGCATGTTCAAATTATATATTTCTCGGTAAATGATCATAATTTATATCGTTAAGTTATATTTTTTATCTGTCTCTACAACCGGTTAAGTCTGCAGTAATCAAATATGTAGAAAAATAAAACATGTTTGTAAGAATAATGGACGCATAAATAATCAGTCAAATTACGTTTTATGTACATGTATTAAATTAATGAGAAGCAAATTACACAATGAAGTATCAATTTCACAGGTGACATGTGCAATGGAGTGTATCTAATCCCTGTCGGTTCCATAGTTAGCTGAAAATTCACAAGATAACCAAGCCATGTTGTGTTTACAAGCTGTAATTGAGGTTTCAATGTTTCCTAGGTGTAAAAAAGAATACTACGAGTACATAGCTATATTTTGTTCCATTTTAACAAGTGTTGAATAAGGAGGTGTGTTATATTACGACGCCCGACATGGAGCTGAAGTTGGGTTTAAAATTGTGAATTGATTGTGAATGTGATGCGCTATTTGGAATCTAAGGACTTTGCATCAGAAAATAACACAGACGTTTTATTATTAAACAATAAAATAACATTAAAAAAATCAATAATAGATAAATGTTTTAAAAATTAAAGACACCAACATTATAATAAAGATTTAGTAGCAATAAGTGCCAATTTCTTCAGTTTTCAAGTGCCTAATTACATTCCCCCTGTTTCAATGCCACCCCCGTTATAACGCCAAATCTGCCAAGGAACAAATGTTGGCAGTAAAATGGGGTAGCACTGTATATGGTTTGATCTATGATTTGTAAAGCTTTACTGATTCAAATTTATGTAAAGATTACTCATGTTGTCTAATCCTGCCAATTTCTCTGGAACCGTGGTAACCAGATTAAACAAGTTTTACTGTATTACATTCTGTTAAAACTGATTTTTTTTTAAATTTTTCAATTTATTTCTCAAAGTTTTTATTACTGAGAGATCAAGTAAATTCACTGTAATGTTATGTTTGTGCTTTATAAGGAAAAGTAAATGTAAGGTAAATGTTATTTTTTTATATTAGTGCAATAAATGTATGTGCGACATTCTTGGCATGACTGATGCAGTGTTGTAACCTGTAAAGTACATGTATATCTAATTCAGTCAAACAATGGCCAGTCATTAGTAAATCTTGCCTTACCTCATCCCCAACAATATAAAGTTCCTGGGGGTAACATCGTGTGATCTCTCCTGAGGGCCAACGAACATAAATAGCCCCCTGAGGGTCCAAACTGTGGATCTGCCCCACTGCTTCTTTGCCTTCCTTCTGATCAATTAAAGAAATACATGTATATAATGTAGTTAGTCAAAGTATCAATAAATATTACTTTTGAGAAGGTAATTCAAAATGTAGACAATGGGTCAAAACATTGAACATTAACTTAAGTATCTACAATTCAAAACACTGATTATACATGTATGTGTAAAATACAGCACCCTACCTGTATATCTATAACTCTGATCACTGTTTGGGCTGGTCTGAATTTGAAGTCTGGGTGATCCTTGAGGTCATATGCACTAACCTCAACTGGCTCAACATTTTCCTCTGGTCTAAAGTTATCAACACAAACATGTATAAGCAATAAAATTTTCAAGAGAATAAACACTTTACACATATACTGCACATGCCTTACAAACACAAAATTGAACCTTGCAATACAAACCCTTTTACCTCAAGTTGACAAATGAGGAGAATTTATTTAATGTTGATGATAGAAAAATCTTTGTAAAAGGATTTGGTCTTCAATAAATATAAATATACAATTTTGTAACTGACTTTCTGAATACAAATATACAATTAATCTCTGGTAACAGTAACAAAACCATCTAATAAAACACTATTTTGTACTTAGTGCATAACTTCTCACGAAAGTGATGACATGTACATTTACTTGTGATGTAGCTATAAATGACTTTCTATTGACCTGTATTGATATGCTGATATTCACCTTTCTCCTTTGTATATATCTACTGTCTTTATCCATTTGACAAAACATGTTCTCTCTTTGTGGTTACAGCTCACAACTACACCATAGTCACAGTTCTTTAAGGCAACTTCTGAAAAAAAGACAGGCACATCTTTGAGGTTTGAGCCATTTCAGTAAGAATTATCTATGGAAAGAGGAGGGCACTTGTGTATTAAACAGTTGATACAATTACTCATATACATCATTAATGGTTAACTTTTTCAGCTGATTCAACTTACATAGCTAAGTTTTAAAAAATAAAAAAAATAAAAAAAATTATGAATTTAAAATTATAAATATGCAAATATCTTTTACATGTATAAGTCAGTCAAAAATGTAAATACAGTCAAACCTCGTTATCTTGAACTCGATGGGACCGAGTAAAAACTTCAAGATATCCGAGGATTCGAGATATCAGGGGTAAAATACTTTAAGAATAAGTTGCTGGGACTTCAAAATCATTTCGACATACCCATGGTATTCAAGATATCAGTGTTCAAGATATCGAAGTAATAAGGTATCATTTTGAAACATCTATGATATAGATAGGGGTTGGTACAAGATCAAATCTACCATAAAGCCCTCAGGGCATGTTATTCAAAATAACACAACATATGTACATCTACTGTCCATACTAAGAAGCAATAAAAGAATTGAAAGTTAAGCAACTGAGAAAATATGATTCTATTTTTAAATTGATGAATTAATACACTAGTGTGTTCCAAGGAATGCATGTGTCGCCTGCACTGTAGCTTCATTAAAGATGTAAATAAAATTATGAATGGCCAGCTATTTATTTACTACTAACATTATAGCTCATGCATTTGCCTGCAAAGAAAAAAAAAATCCACGGATAGCATTAGACTGCGATAGAATCTGACAATCAAAGAAAATATGGTCCCCCAACCTTCAAATGAATAATTAAATTGAAATTATCAAAAATAATTATTTATCATTTTATGAATATGTCTGTCCAATAATCCCCCAAAAGAGATTTCAGTCTGTATTTACTGCAATTGTCAGTCTACATGATCCATTGTGGAATACCGCTCCCGATGTATTTTCATAGCATTTAAATATAAGTTTGTGTGGTAGCTTAATATCATAAAGTTTCAATTAAAGTACAGTATGAGCTCATAAACATGTATAAATGCTAATTATGTAAACTCTGCCTATCAAAAGTCTTAAGTTAAATTAAACTGTCAGGGGTATTTTTTGTAAAGTAGGTCATAGGCTAACCTCTTTAATGTCAAATTTCATATGCTGTTTATCGGCGCTATAAAATATTTTGAAAAGTAGGTCAAGGGTCACGAGGTCAGTAACAATGGTTATTTACAAAAGACATAGTGCCAAGCAATATACATATATAATTTTTCTGGGACGCATCAAATTTAGCTGGGACGCAACCTTCTCAGAAATCTTGAGTCCTGGGACTCAAGTTAGCAAAATCCTAGTGAGAACCCTGTGTATGTGCAAAATATCAAATCCATACCTCTTACAGTTCTCGAGATAAAAGGTGTGACAGATGGACAGACAGACAGACACCGGGTAAAGTGATCCTTAAGTGTCACTTTGCTCTGCAGGCGACACAAAAATATGTGCACATCTCCAATGTGTGTACAGTTAAAAGTATCACTAATTTGGAATTAAATCTGTGGGAGAAACCATTACATGAAAAAGGTACCCCTGTTTACATAATGAGTTGATAGTCTGGCAGGGTAGAGCAGTTACTGGACTTGTGGTCATCCTTGGCAACAACAAGGGGAAAAAAAAATACCACTTGTTTAAAAAAGTAGCAGTGGAAAAAAAACAATCTACATGTAACTGCCTGAATTGCAGGGTTTGATTAAATTGTATCTTTTTTTCAATAATTTTGTGACTATGTTATTCTGTAGCTCAAAACCTGAAGACACCCCCTTCTCCAAGAGCAATGATTAAATCACTTACCTCTACACTCAAGATTTTAACAACCACTTCCAATAAGCAAGAGGCTCAAGGGCCAAAATGTACACCACACTCACCTTCCCCTCCCCCAGTTTTTCAGCAGATTTTTTAAAAGTTTTAACAGATTTTTCTCCCCTCTTGGCCAATTGGTTCTGGAGAAGAAGTTTAAGAAATGAAAAGTATACAGGCAAAATGACAGAGAGATTGATACAGCAAGATGAATGCCAGACATTAATTGATCAGAACCCTAAATACACATGTACCTTTGACTTTGGACATTAAATCAAATTTTTATCAACTGTCAACTTACCCTTGGCATCTACAACATAATCTCCAGGGAAGAATTCCAGCTCATCAAGGTAGTGTATTGGGAAAAGAACTGGGGAGGGAATGTCCGATTCCACAGAGCCATCCTGTAATAGAGTACATATAATGCTTGATCCTAGCAACATTTCAAAATAATCTTGAAATATTTTTGCACTCTTGCAACTAAGCCAGTCGTTTCAGACAAAATAAAATTTTGTTGCAATATTGAAGAGATTATTAAATCAACAATGTATCCTTAATTTTTAAGCAAATAATGCAAGTACTATACCACTGAATTTAGCAAAAGTTAAAAAATTCATGCAGGCAGCATCTTTACGATATTGACTAACAAATTGTACCTGCCACATGACAGTTGCCATGGAGAAGGTATAACACACGCCTACAGCCACCTTCTCCCCAGGTAAACACTTAGGGATTTCTGGTTCAAACTTCACAGTCTGCTTTGTTCTTTTGGCTCCTTTCTTCCCTCCAGATTTACGCCCCTTTTTTCCTTTATGCCTATTGCGAGCTGACGAGTGCTTTTTCTGAATTTGTTCTTCCTCGGTTTCAGACTCTGTTGTGTCAATATCTTCATATTCATCATCCTCTGCTTCTTCTGCTTCGTTAGCAATGACTCCATTGACCAGAGCTGCAGCCTCAGTCCTTTTATCCGGAGTGTTATCTTCAGTTTCATGTACCTCACTTTCTGTCAATTCATTTTGAGCTACTGGATTGTCTAATAGAATATCTGGTATAAAGCTTAGTTTGGGTGGAATGTCAGAGAATTCATCACTAGGTTTAATGACATACTGAGCAAAGTCACCAATTTGCAGACTGCAGTGTGAAAACCAATCTAAAATCTGTAACCTACAAAGTCAAAAAAAAAAATGTTTATTTGTAATTTTAAAGACTTTTTGGTCTCATTAGATTTTAAAGAGGATAGAAAACCCTTTGTCAGCTGCTATGACAACATATTGACAATAGGCTCAATGACAACAATGCTCAAACAAGTCACATTCCTCTTCCTGCAGAATGAATTATATACAAGTAGATCTGTTTGAAGACAATTTTGATATATAACTCTGCGTCTATGAATACCTTTGGAGATCTGGCTCCTTAACTAGGGAGGGAGGAGGTGTCATTCTTAAGAGAGGGTTATCTGACTTGGTAAATCCTCTACACATCCAGTAGACCTCCACAGACTTCAGCCTGGTCTAAAATTAACAGTAAAAAAATCAATTAATAACTGGCTCATGTTGCATTATAAATAGCAAGTACAGTTGGATCTCATTATTACGGTGACATTTTTATAAGATAGAACGCTTTTTATGTTGTTAATTCAAAGCACAAAACCATATCTTAAATCTATACAAAATAGGACCATTTATTACGATGTCCAAAAATGCTGGAACTCGGCATTACAATGTAAAGATTTTTACCAAATAAAATTTTCCATCCATGTTTATTCAATATTGATCGATAATTGACACTTAAGGAGATGCTAAATAAACATTGGAACACCTGTTGTCTGACAGGGTGCCCATGTGTACACTTCCAGACCTGTTAGGTGATTAGTGACGCTCGACTGATCACTCTTTGACAAGTCAGGAGGGGTTCGTAGAAGTGAAGCCATTGTGTCCAAGCCATTGATAAATTATGAAAGTGTGCATATCTATAGCTTCCAGTTTATTTATTTCCGTAAATTTACTTTATTTTTCCATAAGTTGGTTACCAAATTAATAAAACTAATTTATTAAATAAAACATTGCATTTAATTGTGTTGATGCATGTTAAACCCACTGTGTAATTACATTTGCCGTCACATCTGTGTTAATGGACAGCTTGGGTATAAAACATTATTCTGAAAAAAAATTAACCTCAGTGAAGTTTTAACTGCTTGGATAATGCCTTGGATTAATGTACAAGTGTTAACAGGAACAAGGAATGATAATTATCAATTGAACTACGACTTATACCTTGTGTGCAATCAAATCTTGTGAAACTCTCGTTTTCAGGGAATTGAAGTTAGCTTTTTTTATTTAAAATAAATATAAATTTAAAAAAATAAATAAAAATGATGTTTTTGGTTGTCTATTAAGTAATGAACGTATGTTGAATATGAAACCGTTTTCCAGTGAAGTTTTTCGAACGCATTATCTAAGTACACATTACAGTGAAAGTAAAAGAAAATGTCAGGAATGAATGCACAAAGCCAATGTTTTACTACAAAATATGATTGCTGCATTAGAAAATACAGCAAAAAGAGTTCAACAGCATGAAGAAATAAGCATTTACAAGATAAGTTGTCAATAAATTAAAGTGTTTAAACAGTGTTTAAACTGAGATATTTAAGGTAGAATGGAAGAAGAATACAGAATGGAAAAAATACACCTCCATACACGGAAAACATAAGCTTTCAAAACAATGTTTTAATGGATTTTACTGGGACTTCTATTATGTTACCTCAGTATTATGATATTTTACCATGACAAAATGAACATCGTAATAACAAGACCCCAATGTATTAAAACTAATATAGAACATATTTTCACCTACAGGTTTTACAAGTGCTGTCAAAAGGCCAATTAAAAGAAGTAAAAGTCATTCCAGTGGTAGATTTATTCCTATCTTTTTTATCATTATGTCAAATAGAGAGGAAACGAAATTTCGCTTTGTATCTAAAATATGCTGTACTCCAGATACATTTTTTAAAATTTTTGATCTTTAAATATGACCTTAACTTTGACCTGATTTGTAGCATTAAATATTTTTAAGGTTAGAAGTTACTTACCTCTTCAATGCGGACAGTGACAGTGTGATTTGGTGACTTTTTGATAGCTTTTGGTCCATGTTTATGAGTGGTAGATAACCAGACAACATCATTCAGATCCCCTATACATCCCTTCATAACCAGCCCTTTGTAAAGGAATGTGTCACTGCTACATAGGGACTTGAACTGCAAAATATACCAATATCAAAGATTACAAAGCTCATCTCACTGATACAGTGTTATCTATAAGTAAGTTAAAGTCTGACACCAAATTAAGTTCAGTAAGATTCATGAATTCCATGAAGTTCATCATTATATGCCATTCATTAAACACCTCAAGACACATATCATTTGAAAAATCTTAAGCAATTAAATAATCTTCATATATATGTATATCAGTTGCATCAAGATTAAATAACTTTCTTTCTGGTTTCAGGTTCATCCTGGGTTGAGAAATTTGAATCATGAACATGCCGTATCGGGGGGAGGGGGGGGGGGTCGAGACCCCCCCTTGGAATTTGCAGAGTTACAAAAAGTATATATTGAAGCAAATAAATCAAAAGCCTGAAAGGCTTCAATGGCATTGAAGAAGAAAAACAATTTCAAAACATTTTCTGTAATTTAAAGATAGCAGTAGGTCAAATAACTGACTAATAAACATAGGTAATCAAAGATTACGAAGCTCACCTCGACGAATGTTATCTACATGTAAGGCAAATTTCACATCATATTTTTTTTCTAGTTAGGGTACATCCCAAGATCAATATCCATGCAAGTTTGATTTAATTATAGACCTGCTCAAAAAACTTTTGACCTGTTTAGTAATCAAAAAAATTTTGGTCAGTTCCAACATCCAAAGCAAGTCTGGAAGTTTTCATCCTTAGATGCACCATCTATGCAAGTTTAATCATAACAGGCCATAATATTATATAGCTACTCCAAAAAAATTACCCTGGTCACTCATCTGGAAAATGTACGTCAGATTCAGAATCCAAGGCAAGTCTGGAAGTGTCCATCCCTAGATACATCATCCATGCTAATTTGGTTAAAATATGGCTAAAATTCACTCATATGGAAAATCTAGGTCAGATCCAGCATTCGAAGCAGGTTGGTTAGTGTACATCCCTAGATGCATCATCCATGAAACTTTGGTCCAGATAGGGCTTATAGTTACTTGGGAACGAGACTAATCCTAAATCTAAACCTGGTCTCACACGTGGAAAATCTAGGTCAGATCCAGCATCCGAAGCAAGTGTGGTAGTGTCCATCCCTAGATGCATCATCCATGCAAGTTTGATCCAGGTAGGGCTTATAGTTACTTGGGAATGGACCTGCTCCTAAAACTTTAACCTGGTCACTCATCCGGAAAATCTAGGTCAGATCCAGCATCCGAAGCAAGTGTGGTAGTGTCCATCCCTAGATGCATCATCCATGCAAGTTTGATCCAGGTAGGGCTTATAGTTACTTAGGAATGGACCTGCTCCTAAAACTTTAACCTGGTCACTCATGTGGAAAATCTAGGTCAGATCCAGCATCCGAAGCAAGTGTGGTAGTGTCCATCCCTAGCTGCATCATCCATGCAAGTTTGGTCCAGGTAGGGCTTATAGTTACTTGGGAATGGGACTTGCTCCTAAAACTTTAACCTGGGACGCCGACGCCGGGGGTATAGCATAAGCTCATCTCGACTTCGTCGAGGTGAGCTAAAAATGTTAAGTTTTAAACAAAATGTCAAATTTAAAGTCTGGGGCATTATGCCATGGTCCGAATAGAGCAGGGTTCGAATTGACTAGACACCAAAGAACATGTTCATGCTGAATATCAAACTCATCTTTTTTCAGTCAATTAAATAAACATCAAGGATTTAATGAATTTATATGAATATTATTTTAATTTTCAATGTCTAAGCATTGTTTTAGTGCATCTAAACAACAACCGTAACTCGCTCTGTTGCGACTACGATCGAGATATGATCGGGCATGGTAGGCCTATACGGTAAAATGCAATATGGAAGAAATGGTGAAATACAGTAAAAACTTCAGTTTTTTTATGATAAAATTGGCTATAAGATTGTAAAAGTAAGGTTTACATTTGGAAATTCAATCCTTTTAGTCTTCTAGCATTCATGGTAATTTAATATTGTGGTTATTTTACCGCCTATTAATATAAGTTATAAGTTGTTTATGTTTACATGGTTCTCCTTCGTAAATGTTATTCATGTCATTCAACACAGCCTTTCTTTACAAATTCATCCGCAAGAACTGTCACGTTTTCTTGTGTGAAAATAAAAATTAAAACAGGGTATCTTTGTTATGTGACAAATTAGGCTATTTGTAGATATAATTGATGCAATTTTATTTTCAAGCTATTATTCACTGTGAATATTTTCAAAGAAATCGATGCATTGTTATTGCTATTTTCTTTTGCGGATGCATGGACTGACACATTCGGTCACGTAAAGTTTGGTCGCCCACTAAATGGCATTCGACCTCAAGAGCTCGATGCCATAAAAATGACTTTGGACCCTCCCCCCTTAGAAAACGTGAACTCCACCATGAAATAGGTGTTTTTCACGTTTGGAAAATGGAATTTTTTTTTTTTTTTTTTTTTTTTGGCTTGCCAAGAAATTTTCTTGGTTTATTATGTTTGGGATGGGAATTTATTTTTATTTTTTTTTTTTTTTACATGTCAAGAAATTTTGGGGTTAGAATTTTTTTTTGACTGGGATGGAACCCCCCCCCCCCCCCCCCCCCCGGAAAAAATTCCTGGATCCGTATAAGGAGATAACCAACATAATTTTTTTCAGCAGTCTAGAAAATGATGAAAAAATAAATGATAATAAATTATAGATATAAATAAGCAATTTCAGCAGTTTCCAGTAATTTACTATAACCATGTTTTACTCTAAATTAAAGGATTGTTAAACTCACATGGTCTTTGACAGGCTCAAAATCATCCAGCTGATCTGTGTCTAGTACTTTACACATAGCTCCATCTGAAAACTTGAGTACCAGCTCTTCATTTACTCTCTCCACTTTTCCAACCCATGAGTCCATCACCACGTCACAGAATGAGTTGCTAAGGGGCTACAATAAATTATCGGACAGAATTACATTTCTATTCAAATACAAAGTGTATAATGTAAATATACCTTTGGAAAATTCTTGCCCTCTTTTCAGTCTGCATGATATAACTTTCTAAGTTTGTTGAAATCAATTTCAAAATAAAAAGGCACAAATTGTCAGTAACATTTTTTTTTTATTTTTAATACCACAGCTTCAGTAAAATTTTAATTTAATTTTGAGATTTAACAAAGTTACCCTTTTTGCAATTTCTTCAACATTCATGCTGCATAATTCTTTGCTGTTGACATTATACAAGAATTTGTTGGTGCCCCTTATGTGGATGTGACATTTCCCAATCAGGTCCTGGACAAAGCCTCTTTGACTATTGGCACCCTCCTCAAACCTTCTGATGACATCCCCTGGCATTAATGAACGGTCAGTCAGTATCAACTGGAATAAAGCATACAGAAATATTGATCATCGTAAGCAGGGAAGTTACTCTAATGATTATACAAATAACAATTAACTCAAATGTCATGACTGTATTTATCATAGGATTCATTGTAGCACTTAAGCAATATTATGTATCCAAAAATATAAAACAATATACTGTATTTATCACAGATTCATTCTTGCACTAAAGCAATATCATGTATCAGTAAAAAAAAAAAAACACAAGTCTCTGATGAGACTGTAGCTCTAATGGTTTGTACTTATGACAAAGGAAGGGAAAAGTAGCACTCGGACTTGAAACTTTACAATAGCAGTCTATGCGAAAGTCTAAAATCTTTAAAGAACATAAGGTCTGATAAAGATATATATATTTTACCAGACCAAGCATTTACTTACCAGACAAACCTTTTTTCTTTAAATTCGTTTATCATTATGATACAGAGATTCACTGTTAAATTGAACCTTAAGGTAGTATGGGATACCTCCACGTTATGACATATTTCCGTTTGAAATTTTGTTTTGATTTGCATGAGTGCTTATTATCGGGTCAAAATTTGTAGATATTTGTAGATATTTGTGGTGTATCTTTTTATTTCTAATATGAATTTGTTTTATATTTTGTTTTGTTTTATTTTCCTGTTCTGTGATTGTCCATATGCATGCTAGTCATATGTATAATTACTATCTATGTTGCTTTCCTTGTGTTTTCAGTTTTCTCTTCTATCGGTGCTAGTAAATGTGCTATGTGATTGTACTTACTTGTGATAGTCATATATGTCAATGTTATTTGTGCTCCTTTGCTTATTTTAGTTTTTATTCTTTCCATTAGCATGATCAGTGATAGTAAATGTGTGTTTTGTATTGTGCTTTGTCAGATTCTTTCTTACTTGTGATAGTTATACATTACAATTTCTGCTGTTATTGCTAGACTAGTATATGTGCTTATTTCCTATGGTTTATTTACATTATGTTTTTTTACTAACTATGTATACTTTTACTAACTTTTATCTATGTAAATTTGTTAAAGTCGGTTAAAGAGCTATCATAGCTCATGTTATTATGTTACACTGTATATATATGCCGACTATAAATAAAATTTACTTGACTTGACCGTTTAAAAGAACACTCTGAAGCTATTTCAATTTTAGCTCTCACAAGTAAGCATTTTAAGTAAAAATAGACAAAAAAATTGCATAAATTAAATAAATATAAATTTATATTACTTATATTTGTACTATGGACATTTAAAAAGCAAACCCCTGTAAAAGGTAGTTTCAACATTGCTGCTTTTGAACACAATTAAGCAAAAGCTGTATTTCAATTGTCTGAGTAACTGTACAGCACCTAGTGTGCGGTGAGGCATGGAGAAGTGCGATTACTTCACACTGTGCTGAATTATGACCAATCAATTATCACGTTAACCAGAGCTGGTCTTCTTTGTTATTTATTTCAAGAAGTAACTGTTTGGTCATATACATCAGCTAGCTGTGGTATACAGTCCCAAAACGTTTAGATGAATGCAATTGCTCTGAACGAGACACGTCTTGCAAAGCGATTGTCCATGTATTGTTTTCAAAACAGTTCAAAGTTGAAAACTACCACTGCAACGAAGTGCAATTTTTTTTAAGTTTGGGAAGAAATGCTCATCATTTCTGAAATAGCATCCAGGTTTTTTCAACCCCGAAAAATAAAGAAGGAAAACTCTTCCGTTCGGATCTTTTAATTAAAAAAAATTTAATGTGTCTTATAATTCCATTTATATATATTTTTTCAATTTGTTCATTTCACTTTGTTAACATATTAAAGATACATTCTAATTGTAGATTTTCATGAAATATTATCCGTCTATTTTCAAGAAATGAAACTTTCCCAGGTTTTTACGCTTATTTTTTGTTGAAAATTAAAAAAAAATACCAATACATATTTCTTGTCATTTTTGTTTTTATATACATTTTATATTAGTAAACTCCTGCCTATAATATTAAGCTTTTGAAAAAAGAATTATATAAGAAAAAATCATTTTCTGTATTTCTCATTTAAATAATTTAACAAATATTAAAATTACAATTTAACATACTGAAAGGCGGGGGTATTTCAAATCCTCCTAATTTGGGTAAATAAATATGTAGGAGAAGTTTCGTTTGGTATCCCATACCACCTTAAATAGATCCAGAGTTGAAATTATAAAAAAAAAAAAATGATTTTATTGAAATGAACAAGCTTACAATTAATAATTTCCCTTTTTAAAAGGTAGTATACAACTGCATAATTTTTTTTCTGGTTATTTGACACATACAAACAAAATACACAGTGTCAAAGATTTTTTTTATAAACTTAAAATGCACTTAAAATATATATATTTCTTTCCTGAAGTAACTCAAAATGGTTATTCTTGTTTTTAATTATGAAAATAATTTCCCCCAACCAAATCTACATATGAGCTATTTTTATATCTATATTCCACAACAGAGGAAATTCAAATCAGAAATAAAAGATCATGACAGGCTTGATATAGATTAAAATTAATCATGCATTACTGTTAAATGGATCAAATAAAGAATATATGCAGAAATTAAGACCATATGTACACATAAATTCAGATTTTAGGCCATGTACATGTAAATTCAGATTTTTACGCCTTATTTTTTCATCGGACAATCAGTCCTGAATCCTGAATTTTTTTTACCGACCCAAACCAAATTTTACCAGTAAAAACCGACAGTCTAGTAGCTTTTGCATAGACTGCAACAGCAATAAATAGAATCATGATTCTGCTTTGGTCTCTTTTTTGTGGCAAGATTGCAATCAGACTTAAACTGTAGACATGGTAGAGAAGTAGCCTTTTGAAAGAATTTTACAGAATTTTCTAATTTTAGTAACCATGGCAACACAGTTCATGGAAATCAAAAAAATGATAAACAGAATTATGTATCATAATGTAGTCTATTTGTTTGCCAAGTTATATTGAAATCAGACCAAAATTGTAGGAGGATGAGTATTTCGAAAGAATTTCACAGAAATTTCTAGTTCTAGTAACAATGGCAACACAGTTCATGAAATTAAAAAACAGATAAATAGAATTATGCATCTTAGTGTAGTCTACTTGTGTACCAAGTAATATTGAAATCAGACCAAAACTGTACGATGAATGGCATTTTAAAAATTTATTTACAGACAAACAGATGGACCAATGACAGATACCTTACAATCGCATAAGCTCTTCTAGTCTCTGACCAGTAGAGCTAAATACTACAACCTGTTGTCAATTTTTATCGGAAGTTCAAAATCAACATAATCAAAAGCATGCAGTATGTAAATTAACTTCTCAAGTGAGATCAAAATTACTATGGAGGGAGAACCCCCAGTACTTTTGATAGGGATCTAATGAAATTTGTGTTTTCAGTATCATGTGTAAGAAAGCTGTATCAAAAGAAGACGAGGGTGATACAAAAGATTTGAAAAAAGATGGCTTGTATATTGACATAACAGCAAATTCAATGTCCAAGGGGATTTAACATTAAGAAAATAGTAGTCACTTTGGAAAGGGGTTTATCATTATTCGTAACTTTCCTTTGCTTGTCGTCAATAATGCAATGATATAGAATACGTTTGGAATCAAATATATGTCACACTCTATCTCTGGAAATAGTTAAAACTTCCTTGCATACAAATACAATGGTAAAAATTTCTGTATAGGCCTACTGTAAAACATCATTTAAGTGTTTGTTTCAAGTTTAGTATCCAATCTGGCCAAAACTGGTTTGGAAGTCAGGGAATTTTACTGGCTATATTTTCTTTAAATACAGTTCAAAATTTGCTATCATTTAAAATGTGGTGGAAGCACTCATCATGGAAAGAATATAATGGAAGATTTGCTTATATATAGTATATCTCTGGAAAATACCCCTTAAACAGGTTGGGCACACCCCACCAAATGGTCATTTATCCCCCGTTTGGTGGACAATCTCCCATATCGGAGATGACTTTTACTGACCAAATGGTGGACTTTTTTATTCTATTCCAAATTTTATTTAAATGAAGTAAAAGCGCATTTGCATAGGCATAGGGGAATTTTAGTGAACATATTCCTTGCACAATTAAAATAGTTCGGTCGATTTTCCATGTGCAATTTCTCCATAACTTCGTAAAAATGATACCCATAGTTGTCCATAACAGCTGAAATTCTTGATCAATCGATCAAAAAAAAAAAGTTGATTGTGTCTAGTAGGATAAAAATTCTATTTTATCCAGTGGTTTAACTTTTGATTAGTTAACTTTCAATCGCTCTTTGGATCTTTGTCAATATTTATCTCTAAAAAATCCCGTTAAACACGAGCTCCTCATTACCTAACTGGTATGGTGGGCACTTATTGCTATAAAGTCAAAAGTTTTTTGAAATGAACGTAATATCTTTTGTTATTTTCTTTTAGGATGAAGTTCCACATTCCATGTGACCTTTTGTGGTTTAATATGTATATTACTGATGAATTTTAATATATTTGATAAATAATTTTTTAATAAAAGTTTTACAAAGTGACTTTTACAATTATTCTTGTTTTTGTTCCAAGTACATCGTTTTAAAACAATAATTATATCATAATCCAACTTCATTTACTATTTCTATAAATAACAAAGCCATCACGTACAAAATAAAACGAAATAAAGGTGAAAACTTATTTTTCTTTTGATTTTCTAATTGAAAATTAACACAAATGTGCCTCCTTACTTAAATCCGACTTTTGACCAGGTTAAAAAAAGATCATTGTTTTTATTGGTTTGCATTTTTGATTGGTTGCCCGGATAATCGAAATAGAAAGTTACGAACATGATTGACAGGTGCAGTATCATTGGATGAGGGAATTTTCTTTTTAAGTAAAAATTGAGAAATGTTGCACTTGTTTACGTACGTGACGTTTTTTTGTCAAATTTTTGAACGACTCTGCGCAAAAAATTACACATTGAATTTCCAATTTTTTCACTCAGAACACCGATAAATATCTAAATTTTATTCCACATGGTTTAAAGTTATGCGCCATTCCACGCCATTCTAAAGAATTGAATACAACCATTTTTCTGTCCCAAATGGTCAGTAAAATTCGTCTCTGATATGGGAGATTGTCCACCAAACGGGGGATAAATGACCATTTGGTGGGGTGTGCCCAACCTGTTAAACATTTATCAAATTGAGAGGCATTTCGGAATATTTACAGTGCATTCCGGTGTTTTCAAAAGGCATTTCGGTGAATCAGGATATTTCAGTGATTTATGCACCGATATAAGTTTGGCCCATTATCCCCATATAAAGTAACCATTGGCATTCATTGATTCAATGGATATTCAGACCTCGCTCTCCGAGACGACAGTTTCTTTGCCAGACGGATGCCATGATACACGGACTTTCCCCTTCTCTAAGCGATCCTCATCATCCTCTTCTTCATCACTGCTCATATAAAGCGAATTCTTAGTTACAATGCCATACACAAACGAGTCATCTGACGTTTTTCTACACACTTCATCTTCTTCGAAGAGGCTCCAGCTCCCATCAGCCATTTTTAGTGACTAAACCTTGAAACCGGAAACGGAAAGAGCACCTGCTTCTTTCGTACTTTCCGAAATAATCGATAAAGTTGCGTGTCACAGTACAGTGAAATAAAATAAACCTCCCGAGTCCGTGAGGTAGAGGAAACAATACTCTCTTTAGAGAAATGGACAGGCATTCACCTGCATCTAGATGTGGGTGTAGGCGAATGCCTGTCCAATATTCTGTACAGAGAATAGAGAAGGAGGGACTGGGAATTGCATGATTTCAATAAATCATTCAAAATATACTGCTAACAAATTCTAGAGTAACATCTCTAAAACAACCAAAATCAACCATGTATTTTACACGAATGGTCTCTCAAGTTTCATCCATTCAGACAACTTTCATAGAACAGTTATAGGCATTTATGCCTGCTGTTCGATCCATTTCATTTATAATGAAAAAAATATATTTAAAACTAAAACTTTCATCAATGTTTGAAATACCTGTAATCTAAAAGACTCCTTCAGTTAATATATAAAAGTAATTGTTAACATTGTACTCTTTGTTTTTGGTTTTTTTTTCTCCAATAATGTAACATTAAAAGTTTAAATCTAAAGATTAGAAATGAGATAGTTTTAGATAAGTTTAAACTTTAGATTTAAACTTTTAATGTAACAATAATCTCACATCAAGATTTAACCATGGGACAGTAACTTTTTTATAAGTCTAAAGGCATGGGACAAATATTTTTTTTTTTTCAATACGAAAGCCATGGGACATGTAATTTTTTTTAATGAGAATTTTTTTTTTATACCGGTCCCATCATGGTGATAAATTTTGCCTAGTCCCTAACGCGAAAATATTTTTTTAACCTACGAAAATGAGCTCAATGGGCTTTCGCACAATAGGCTTTCGTAGATACTAAATTTACAGTAAAAGATTATCTTTTTGGCAAAAAGTACCCCACCCCCCGATTTTTTTTTCTTTTTGACAAAACTTGCATTGGGGTCAGTGCTAAATTGATTGGAAAGTTGCATCGAAATAGACATTTCAGTGAAAACATTTGTGTCGGATTTCATTTCTTTATAGTCCCAAAATCAATTTTCCTTCATAGCGGATAATTTTTCTCACTTACGTCGATCAGGCCCGTAGATCTAAAACAGATGTAGAACGCTGGGGGGGGGGGGGGGGTTGGCACTTTTTTCTGGGTGTTTAGTATTTTGCTATGGTAATTTTTTATTTAGATGCCCCCCCCCCCCCATACACTTTTTGTTCCTGTGAGGCAAATTCTAGGATTTGGACAATTTAGTTTTCTTTTTAATGTCGGATTACTTTGCTGGGAAGTTGACCCCCCCCCCCCCCAACACACACACACACTTTTGAAACTTTTGCTACGGGCCTGTTGACTGATCAAACTTTACCAGAGAAATTACTGATAAAATATATTATTTGATAATTATTTTCTTCTTAAGACTAATAATAATCTAAAAACGTATATAAATTTTAAAAAAGAAGAAGATAATTTTAGAGAACAATTTTAATATAAAATGATATATATAAAAGTTAATTAGACTTCGTAGCTACTGTAGTCTGTATTATACTACTCAAAACGATTACTTAGGCTAACGCCACTTATTTATATTGTAGTAAAAATAAAATACTACCCACAATTAAAAATTATTTACTCCAGTAAAACTATTTACATCAATAACAGGGACATAGCATCGTTTTTCAATGGTGGATGACTGAGGTATCAAGAACTGAAGAACGGGGAGCCGGAGGGGCACAATTATTTATTTTTCCATTTCTCTCTCTAAGCAAAACAAAATTATTTCACAGATTTTTTTTGATTTCTGAAATATTACATTGTTAATTATATAGCCTTACACTGTGCAGTTACAAAGCACCGTGATGATAAATTTAATATTACTCGTCTTGAACTTTAAACAGAAGTAACCCGGGTTCTGTTGAAAGCATTTCGCAATGCGGAAATTCTGCAATGGTTTCGACTTCTACTTTTCTGCTTGAACAAACATGGCGACCCGACTGGTTGGAGTACTGTCAACACGCCTTAAACCACTAAGTTTTTCCCAAAATAATTCTGCACGTTTGTTGAATCTTATACAGAAACGAACAATGGTGTGTAAGGAAACGGGGGCACTTTTACCTAAACCTGAGAAGACCTCGTTTGGTCTTACAAAGGTGGGCATTGTGGTGGCTCCATTTCTGACTCTAGGAACAATCATGGGCAGAGAAGGCGCTTCATTTCTGGAGGAGAGTGAAATATTTGTTCCTGATGATGATGACGATTAATTACCACTTTATATAGAATTTAATGTTTCTGTAAGTATTAAAGTAATAGTCGCTTGAATGAGGTTGGGATCATCTGCCCGAATGGGATATAAAATAGGTTGGGACTGATCGCGAAATGGAATATAATAGCCCGTTTGGGATATAATATCCCAAATAGGTTATAAATTAACAGGGCAAAAATGACAATTTTTATTTTGGCTATAAATATCAAAAATCCGCATGAAGATACTTATAAAGGAATAACTTTTGGTGGAACGACTTTACCGGTTCCCAGAAAAACACGCTAAAATATAGTGTCGCCGTAGGTGACTTCAGTATATATGAGATTGCGTGAGCGATGGAAAAAATTAAAATATGAGGTTTTAAGCCTTTTTGACCCCAAAATCGAATTCTACGGTTAAAAGTTTAGTTTAAAACTTAGTCTTTAAACGAAGTTTTTAACCTTGTCTCTGAAAAAAAGTAATAACTCTTGTTTATTCAGTGAAAAGGACACAAGATAATTGTGAACGGAGCGCGTGCGGTGCATGCTTAGTACCATTTCTTTTGTACTTAGCCATTTTTTTCTTGTAAACAAACCAACGAGATGTCGTTGAAGCTGAATTAAGGTCTGCAAAAAATACAGATGCAACTGAATTTCTTAATTAATCTAAAAGAACAAGACACTAATCCTAATCTCTCTGATTGGTATGCGAGGACTATAACCCAAATCTCCCAACCCGTGTGCGAGGACTAACCCTAATCTCTCGGATGGATGCAAGACTAACCCTAATCAGTTGAAAACTTATGGAAGGACTAACCCTAATCTTTCAGGTGGGTGCAAGACTAACCCTAACCAGTCGAAAAATGTGCAAAACCAACCCTAATCAGTTGAGTGACGTAAGTCTTACATCATAGTGCAATGAGCCCGCGGCTCTTGCGGATTTGGGGACCGGTAAAGTAAAGTCTACCCCTTTTGGTTAACAAGTTTTTCTGTATGCCCACTGTGTAGGAGATTGATCCTTCGGAAGTTCCTAAACTTCTTGGGGATCAATCTAACTGTAGGGTTGCAGATAAACTTGCTCGCCAAAAGTTATCCCTTTTTAAGTATTTTGATGCAGATTTATGATATTTATGCTCAAAATAAACATTTTCATTTTTGCACTGTAAATTTATATGCCATTTGGGATATTATATCCCAGATGGATTATTATATCTCATTTGGGCACAGCTCACCAAATGATGGTTTAACCCCTGTTTGGTGGTCAATTACCCATACTGGAGTCCGTATTTACTGACCATTTGGGAGAGAAAAATTGTTTTGTTCAATTCCATGAAGTAGCGTGGGATGGCACACAATTTTAACTTGTGTGGTATAAAATATAGACATTTATTGATGATTATCTATGAAAGAAAAAATTAGAAATTCTACATGGAATTATTTGCGCAGTGTCCTTCAAATATTTGACAAAATTGTCACCTCACGTAAACAAGTGCAACAGTTCTATGCTTAAATGTTCCCTTCTTCCCAAACATTGTTGCAACTGTCAATCATGTTTTTTACTTTATATTTAAATTTGATCATCCAGGCAACCAATTAAATAAAAATGATCTATAGATCTCAAACCAATCAAAAGGCTGATATAACTACAAGGCATATTGATGCTAATTTTCAATTAGGAAATGAAAGATAAAATTTTTGCTTTCTATTATTTTTTACCCCATGCTTTATGGAATAGGATACACAGTGAGATCAGGAATAGTTGTTGTTTTAAAACAGAATGTTCTTGGATTAAAAACAAGAATAATTGCAACCGTCACTAAATCTTTTATCAAAAATCATTGATCAAACATATTAGATTCATCATATTAAATATGCATACTGAAACACAGGCACATGGAATTTGCAACTTCATCCTAAAACAAATTAATAATAAATATTACATTCAAAATCTAAAAATTAAAATGAAATATTGTTGCAATAAGTGCTCACCATATCAATAAGGAATGAAGAGCTTGTGTTTAGTGGGATTTTATAGAGATAAAAAGACAGTATTGATGAAGACCAAAATTGTGATTGAAAGTTATTTTTTCAAAAGTTATACCACTGGAAAAACTAGAATTTTTATCCAACTTGACACAGAGAATATTTTTTTTGATTGCTTTAGCAAGAAGTTTGGTCATTACGTACATGTATAGGTATCGTTTTTATGAAGTTCCACAGAAATTACAAATGGAAAATTGACCAAACTTTATTGTGTGAGGAATATTAAAAATTCCTCGATGCCTATGAGTTTATGCACTTTTTCAATTATATCCAAAGAAATGAAAAAGGTGTAGATAACGAACAGTGATTGATCTCTAAAAATCTTCAAACAATACAATTTTGTGAAGAGGCATAAAATACGAACCCCTGTAAATTCCAGAGGTGGGATCAGGTGTCTAGGAGGAGTAAGCATCCCCTGTTGACCAGTCACACCTGCCGTGAGCCCTATGTTTTGATCAGGTAGACAGAACATTACATAGTCAAATTCAGTAAAAGAACAAAGGCCTAACAAAGGGTAAATTTTACAGCCATAACATAATTTATAAAATATTGAGCATAGGTCTGCTCAGACTTTATCTTTTGATATAATGTGTAGAACAGTAATATCATGACAAAATGATCAGTGAATTATGTGAAAATGTTCCTGAGCAAGTTTGTACTACATTTATATAAAAACTTAAGTCAAAATTAAACAAAATTCCTGCATTTTTTCTCTGTTTTAAAAAATAAAAGGAAATCTCAATAGTTTGTGACATCACAGAGACAAAAATGCCAATATTTTTTCTCCATTCAATAGTCCGTACATTATGTTCATTCAAACTCATTTTATACAAATATATACAATTGTCCACATTTCAAGAGATTTTCAAAATTTGACTTTTATGGGGACAAGGATATGCCTTTACTGTGTATACATGTAGTTCTTTGAATCCCCTTTACCCAAGAATACTTTATGGCAAGTTTGATTGAAATTGCTCCAGTGGTTCTTGAGAAGTTGAAAATGTTAAAAGTTCACTCATGATGGCATATTTTATGCACATAGACATGCCAACACAATGAAGAACTAGAACAGATAGCATTAGGTCACCTGAGTGGCTCAAGTGACCTAAAAATCTTTAAACATCTTCTCAAAAACAGCAAGACTATGATAACTCATATTTATATTGAAGCATCCTCAGGTAGTGCAGATTCAAGTTTGTTCAAATGATGACCCACTGGGTAATCATTAATCAATGTTTTACATAAGAAGGTATAGTTCTTTCAAGGAAATTGCTTTTGACTTTAATAATTTAGATTTACAATGTACACGATATTAATTTTTTTTTTTAAACACTTTTCAGGTATTTCATCTAGGAGTAATGGTGATCAGAGAAATCTCATATTGGCTTTTTAACCAAAGTAGATGTTTCGCCTTTCGGATCTACCTGTATTTTTTGTTCCCTGGATTCTTCACGACTTATTTATCATACTATATTGAATAGAGTTGTTCAAAGTCTTTTGAATGTCCATCTTTGAAAATGTATGTATCAATAAAACTTTGTTATAATATTTATTTATATTAAAGGTATGTTTCAAATTAATTGTTTAAGATTTATCTCTTCACCATTATGTTGCGAGTGCACTGTGTTTAAGAGCTACAATTTTAGGTCACCTGAAACTTCAGTTTCTTCTTTCTATTTGTTCCTGTTTGTCTTCAAGTACATCAGTTTTCAGCACAAAGCACTTCTTCGTGAACAGAAATTTATGAATGTTATAGTCCCTTCCCATTTAGGGTGGGCCTAACACCTCAAAAATAATCATTACATGTACTACTGTCTAAGTAGTACATAAATTGTTCGAATATGAAAGGCAAGTCCTCTGCTGAGATTCTACAATTTGTTTTCCCTAAGAGGGTTCATACTTCAGAACAGGATTAAGGTATCCATAGGTGTGAATTAGATAATAATTTCTGGTTTTTTCGCATTTTTAGGTTAAAATTGTTTTGTTGCATGGAAAAAATTACAGTAAATTTGCATTTATTTTGAGGGTACCAGTATTTTATTTTTTTCTCTGTTTAAGCATTGAATTTCGGCAACGATATAAAAGAATAGATTTTGGGAGGGAAATTTCATAATAAATACGTTTATTAATAATTAAGGAGGTTGGATCCTATATGGAAGCATCTTCAGGTAGTGAAGATTCAAGTTTGTTCAAAATCATGACCCCCTCCCGTCCCTCCCAGGAAGGGACTTGCACATTTTTAATTCTGTGTGATATTTTAGTTTTAATCACCTGATTTTAAGCTGCAATTCATATTTTTCTACAGATGTACAAAGGGGGGGGGGGCACTTTTATAATTAAACTTTAATACTGAACCGATACCTGCTTTTCTCTAGCTGAAGTGGTCAGTGAGCAATGTGGCCTATGAGCCTCTTGTTTTATTGTGTATGATGCTTAGGATTTTAATTTCTCTGACAAGGATGCATTAACAGAGAATAACGTGTTACCCACAGTCCGATAAATGGTTTTGGTCCTTTCTTAAAGAAGGATATTAAATCTACACATTTTACCTAGGATTCCACTTACACATGTACCTAAATTAAAAGTATTTAAAAAGAGTCCATTTTGCTGTGGCTGTATGTATTTATTTGTAACAATATAACAACAAAGTAACAAGATTGATCATGAGATTGAAAAATGAAGAACAAGTGTAATGTACATAAAACATTTAAATACACAACATCACAGATTCTTTGATGAGACTTAACAAATATCAAATAACATCTGATTAAGCTTGTTCATGTATAAATTACTGTTAGAAAAAAAACTCCATCAAATTATTTCATTTTAATCAACTGCAGTAGAGACAAAAATATTTTTACCATATGCCATACAATAATATATCCAGAATAGTAATGGCTGCTTGCATGATTTGATTATTGAGCATAGTGTGTTGTTACAACTTTTGAAGCTTGTAGTGTTTTCCCATACAGAGTACTTGTGGTTCCATCGACAAGATCTGTGAGTGTATGTGTCACTACATGTGAATCTGGATCTCTGGAACTGCTCTGTATCATTACTGTGCTCTGGAAAGCCCCTCTTTTCTCACAATCATTCTGAAAAAAAAAAAAACAGAAACGGAAAACATCAACTGAATTGACAATGAACTATACATAGATGAGATAACACTATCTCAAAGGGACCCATTAACAAAAGACATAAAGATGAAAGACTCATTATCCAAGGGCACTCTTTAAGTGAAGTTTGAGCCAGATGGCCAAGAGAATAAAAAAAAATGATCAAGAAAAAAATTACAGAAATTTGCTATAACCTTGACCACTAACCTAGAAACTTTGCTCAATGACAATGCACACCCTCTACCAAATGGCACACTATAGGTAAAGTTTAAGCTTGAAAGGGCCAAGAGGAGAGAAAATATGCTCTGCAAAAGGATTTTATGCAAAGGAGTTTTCTGAACTTGACCTTTCATTTAGAAAATTGGTTTAAGGTCATTGCACACCCTCTACCCACTGTGTGTGAAGTTTTAGCCAGGTAGGGGCTAGGGGAGAGAAAATATGCTCTGGACAAGGATTTTATAAAGATAGGTTTTCTGACCTTGATCTTTCATCTAAGAAATTGACTCAAGGTCACAGCACATCCTCTACCAAAAGGCACTCTAAGGGTAAAGTTTGAACCCCACTGGGCCAAAGGGAGAGAAAAAATGCCCAGGACAAGGATTTTACATTAAGAAATTTATTCAAGGTCACTGACCTGACTGGGTCAAGTTGAGAGAAAATATGCTTTTACAAAGAGAGGTTTTCTGACCTCAACCTTTCATTTATAAAATTGGTTCAAGGTCACTGAACACCCTCTACCCCATGGGCACTCTATAGCTGAAGTTTGAGTCCAACTGGGCCAAGTGTAGAGAAAATATGCTCTGAAAAAAGATTTTACATACAGCAGTTTTCTGACCTTGACCTTTCATTTATAAAATTGGTTCAGGGTCACTGCTCACTTTCTACCCATGGGCACCCCATGTGTGAAGCTTGAGCCCAACTTGGCCAAAGCGAGAAAATATGCTTCAGAAAAGGATTTTACACAGAGGTTTTTCAACACTGACATTTGGTCTAGAAAATTGGTTCAAGGTCACTGCACACCCTTTGCCCAAGGTCACTCTATGGGTGAAGTTTGAGCATGAATGGACCAAGGGGAGAGAAATACGCTCCAGACAAATGGATGGATAGACAGACTGGTTACTAAAGGGGACACAAAGAGAGGGGTCCTAATAAATCAAGATACTGTAAAGTCATTTTTTATAGGGTGTCAAATTTTTGTTGTTTTTGTAATATGAAGAGGTTCATGAATTCATGCCCTCAATAACACGTTAAAATTTTAATTTATAGTATCATGTTTTTTCTGCAACTTTAAAATCAAATTCCCTCAAAGTAATATTTTTCTTCAAACCATGAAAATTTGACCCCATGAAAAAAAGTGATTTTGCAGTAATTTTTTTCCAATCTATTATTCATTCTACAGTGTATGTCCATGTAAATATCCTATAAAAAGAAAGGATATTAATGAAATATTTATGGTGTTAGTGACAGAATATCTCAAATTGTAACTCCACTAACTGATATGTAATGCATGAACATATGCTTTAAATTCACAAATTATGCTTTTAATATCAGGTAAGTTGGCATGTTTGTGCTTGAATTGATCAAACCTGGAGCTGATTCATTCACCTTGATCTTCTCATACTGTAACACTGATGTAGCTGGTACATATCTAGGACACGGTCCAGGTGAAGAACCAGGGAGCTCCATCTTTCTGTTGTTCCTCTCTATAGGATCTGTTGTGATACATGGAAAATATTTTAAAAACAGAAAAGAAAAAGAATAAAATCTTACTAAATCTTCTTAAACCATAAATGTATAAAGAACTAGGTTCACTTTATGCATAAAATGGTCCTGTCCTTATATCAATTAATTGACTATCACCCTCTGTCCCATTTCATATATCAAAATAAAGTAGAGACTTAGTGATTTCATTTCCTATAACAAAATTTCTTTTTGAGAATCCAGGTATTGGAAAACAAGCTTTGAGAAAATGTAATGCTCTTGAATTTTGCAGAAAACATGCGTATTTGACTACCTTCAGCAAAAAATTAAACTATGAGCACAGCCCACGATCCAAAAATTAAAACATGTTTTGTGATCTTCAGAAACCGATCTTTCATTATGTAATTGCATATTTTGGATCAGAGGTTGTGCTCTATATGAAATACTGAAAAAATACCTCAACTTTTGGCCATTTTTAAGGAATTTTACAGGATATGGGAAAAATGATGCATTTTATGACGTCATAATGCACTGACTAGAGAGAAAATTACGTCATGTTCAATAGATACACGGTCACCAAGTGTTCAAGTTATAAATACTGCATTCTCAACCAAAACTGAGCAGTTTCGATTTTTCAGAAATTCTCAGGGCCAAAAAAGGCCCTAAGTGGCTCTTGCTGTTTGTTAGTACTAGTATGTGGTAAAGTTCTACCAAGAATGGATTGATCTATTGATTGTCATCACCTGGGCACACAGTTATAGTTCGATCAACATACATAATTGAACATGAAAGATACTATGAACAAAATTCAGAGGGTTTGACATACCGGTCCACACAACTCAAACTACATTCTCCAATCCAAGACACCAAATGCAATCCAAGATACCAAATGCAATAGAAGATAAAATTTTTATGACTGGACCTGAAATTGAACCTAGGATCCCTACATTACTACTCTGGTGCCTTAACCACTAAGCTATCTAGGCCGATGTTCATGGTCCATATAGCCCAAACCATTGTCATCAGACAATTCTGGTAAAAAGATCATTACAAGAAACCCATGGGCCACAATGCCCATCTGAGTCACTATATATTCCTATGTAAAAATTTTAACCACATATTGTGGCCCCACCCTATCCCAAGGGATCATAATTTAAACTTGGACTGTCCAAAATGGACAAAGTACCCCCTGCAGAATTTTCAGAGAAGGTGCCAAGTCACTAATACTAGTATTTGATGGATCTAAGAGGTGTTCACAACTTGTTTAAACATTTAGAGTGAAAATTTACCTGTAATTGCTCATTATACTTTTTAATGAATGTAACTAAGGTGCAGCCTAATAAAACATCAATACTTAAAATAACAATTTTTTAATTATATTGAAAAAATAAATAACAATTTTTCAAGTATTCCTCTACTGGAAAGTATGGATGCATTATTTATCCATTTTTTCTACAGTGACTATAGGTCAAGATCATGAGTATTCATGACACACCCTCAGGTCATAAGCAATCTTTGTGTGAAGTGGAAAACTCCCAACATCCCAACATTATTCTCCATTAGAAAGATACAGCTGGACATGTATTATGAACTTTTTCTGTCAGTGACCTTGAACTTGCACAAATGACATTGGGTCAAGGTCATGACACACCCTCAGGTCATAGCAATCTTTGTGTAAAATGGAAACTCACCAAGTTTATCCATAAGAAAGATATGGACCGGACACAAATTATGAACTTTTTCATTCAGTGACCTTGAACTTGCCCAAATGACTTTGGGTCAAGGTCTTGACACACCCTCAGATCATGAACAATCTTTGTGTATAGTAGTAGATTCTAATGTGCCTCTGTAAGAAAGATATGGACCGGACACGATTGCACAGACAGACAGCTAGACAGACCCACGGACTGACAGATGGACAAGGTGATTCCTATATACCCCCCAAACTTCGTTTGCGGGGGGTATAACAAACTTGAATCCACACAACCTAAGGATGCTTCAGTATAAATATGACAAATAATGGCTTTGATGTTCTTGAGATCTTTCCTAAATGTTATTACGTATAAGTTTTATCTCCTATTGTGGTCCCACCCTACTACCAGGGGTCGTGATTTAATAAACTTGAATCTACACTACTTGAGGATGCTTCCATATAGATATCATATGACTAATAATGCTTTCTTTTTTCTTGAGAAGAAGAATAATGCTTTCTTTTTTCTTGAGAAGCAGACTTTTTAAAAATTCTTCCTGTATATGTATTTCTATGTTTAATGTTGATTATCCATTGTGGCCAAACCCTACCCAAGGTTCATGATTTGAACAAACTTGAATCCACACTTTTGAGGATGCTTCAAAATTAATATGACTAATCATGGCTTTGCTGTTCTTGAGAAGAATTTTAAAGGTTCTTCCTGTGATTTCCTATGTAAAACTTCGCCCATTGTGGCCCACCCTAACTAAACCTACCTAAGGATGCATCCACATGTTAATTCTTTACAAGATTTTTTCTATCTCTTACTATGTAAAACTTTGATTGCTAATTGTGGCCCCACCTTACCCAAGGGGTACAAACTTGAATCTACACTACCTGAGGATGATTCCATATTCTTATGACCAATCATGGCTTTGCTGTTCTTGAGCAAAAGATTTTTTTAAGTTTATTTTCTTATATATTCCTATGTATAAGATAAACCTCCTATTGTGACCCTCTCCTACCCCTGAGGGTCAGGATTTAAATAAACTTGAATCTACATTACCTGAGGATCACTGCATTGCTGTTCTTGAGAAAAAATATTTTTAAAGACGTTTCCTATATACTACTTTGTAAGACTGAGTGGCTCCGCCCTACCCCTGGGGGTCATGATTTTAACAAAATTGAAACTACACTACCTGAGAAGGTTCCATATCATTATGACTATAATCATGGTTTTCCTGTTCTTCAGGAGAAATTTTTTTTCAAGATTCTGTCCTTTTCCTTCCTAGTATATTGTAAGTTTGATCTCCTATTGTGCCCCCTACCTACCCCCATGGGTCATGATCTGAACAAATTTGAATCTACATTATCTGAGGATACTTCCATATAAATATGACTAATCATGGGCTTTGCTGTTTTTGAGGAGATTTTTAAAGGTTTTTTTTCTGATATATATTTTGGGGTTGAGGAGACTCTTGGAGTAAGAAAAAATACTCGTGTATATACAGGGACATTTTTGCCCCCATTTTAATTCTGTCCCTTTAGACCCCCTCCTTGCAAGAGGACACATTAAAACCATGCAAATTCAAAAAAGACACCCTCATCTCTTAAACACAACTTTGTCTAAGAAATTAGTCTGGGCAAAATTGTTTTCAGGTTTGAAATGGTGAAAATAACATGGGGTGAAAGTAACACTGTATACAGTAGATCTGATTATATATGCCCAATTTTAAAAAGAGCTCGATTTTAAATGAATGAATCGTAATTAAAACTAAGTTTTTAACAATTCATATCTTAATTTCTATATTCCTTTGAAATATCTTAGTTGTTATGTCAGATTGGATGAGGGGCTTACTAAGGCCCTTACAAACCTTGTCCATTTTGCCTCTTTTCCCAAAGAGATGTTTTATTTTGTACATATTTAATTTTACTGCAATAAAAACAACCAGCTGCTACACCATCCTCAATGATAACATATTACGACATTGTTTAGCTTGCTCAGGTTACCAAAATAAAGTAACAGTTCTCATGGCTAAGCTATAGACTATGCACAGAAAACTAAGGTACAAAATCAATGAATTCTTTGAATTAACCTAATCCCATACTCAGGTAGTTTAACTTAGGGTTAATATTCTACATCTCTAAAGGTCCTGTGAAATGATCCAATCCCAACTGGAAATTGCCAATTTTTTTCTTAAATTGAAGATTATACTTTCCAACCTAAATGTATATTGTTCCATATTATTATACTTTCCTACCTAAACGTATTGTTCCATAAAATATGGAAATGCAGTGATTAATTGGGAAGGGCTTGCACCGTGCACCACTATAAGTCACATTGAAGTAAAAATTAGACCATTAATCAATCATTAACAGTGCCAAGGTGCGCATTCAATTTTTCGTGATTTTTGCTGCAATACTGGAAATATTTTGTGTATACAACTCTCTTACTTGTTTTACTTTCGTTTTAAATACAGTCATTTTAATACATGATCTCATTGGTTAAAACCAATCAAAAACTGCTTCCTGTTATATGAAACACTCAATAGGACAATGAAAGTACCGATACATTACCTCACTCATTTACAATGCTCAATCCAAATTTTGACATTATTGATCCAAAAATACAGATTAATAATCATGCATGTATGTGCTGCACTGTCTACATAAAAAAATTAGATTCAGTTATTAAAAAGCATTTTGACATTTGTGCCACAGTCTCATTTACCTTCATGGCCTTCCCAATCACTCATGGAAATGTGCTAAAATCTAGTAAATTTTGCATCCCAATTTCATACAATTTTACATTTTAATTCTCATATGAAAAGAAACACAACCCTGTCCTAAAAGACTTATCAAAAGCCTGCAACTCACCTGGCTCATTAAGATTGGAGGGAATGTCATGAAAAGAACTTCTTATATTATTGTCATACTGCTTTAGTTTGCCAGGTAAGAATGGTTTCTGCAATCTCATGTGACTTTCCTCTTGAATATTTTTGTTCCTCAGATCATCATCAAAGTAGAACTCTTCAATATCACACCTCTCATTTTTCTTATTCTTTAAAAAAAGAAAAATCCAGTTTCAACTCCTTGACAACTATTGTATTGTACGTATTTTTGTATATGTACTTATTTTAGTGGTAATAACATTTTAGTGCTTTTCACGCTGTTTCTTGTCGCTAATTTATGCATACACTAATATCATTAAAACTTAAACTTCATAGTTAAAAGTCAAGTGCACTGTTTTACGATTGCACTTATCAATTGTAAAAATGATAGTGCTAAATTTTAAGTGTGCTATTTTATGTATGTTTACATTATGTGATAAACAAAGGTGATCAAAGACTGCATGCATAATCTTTGCTCACCTATGAGTTTGCTGAGTATTTTACTCAGCAAATACTTTCTATAAGCCAGACAAAGACACAGCATCAGAAGCAAAACTTCTCACTTTTTATTTGCAAGAACTTTATTTTCGCATAATTATGCAAGACCATATGCTCAGGAAAATTTTATTCTAGCACATGATACTATAGCTGAAGATTATACAGGGCAAAATATCCAAAATTCAAGGAAATTTTGTTTTGCTTGTAAATACCAAAGAACAATATATCATGAAAATAAGGTGTTGCAAAAATTGATTGATCTACAGTATGCTGACTCAATTGCAATTTTGGTTAAAGTAAGGCTTAATGTTACTTTAGAATGAGCCTGCTCTTAACACATTAACTTGGCCATTGACTTATTTGAAAAGTTCACATGCAGCACTGAAGAATGAAGATAAGAAGTTATACCTAAATGCAGAGTCTCACTGATCTGGAAAAATAGTTTAAATGTTTCTTCTGAAGCATGAAAGTATTAAGCATTCCTATATGCCTTATCCCTGCAAGATGGCTTACAATTTCTTGAAAACTTTTGCAGAAACTTTACAACAGTCACATCAGATCCAGCATCTGAATTATGAATGATAGTATGCATAATCAATACAAGTTTGGTCTAGTCTAGGCAGGGAAAATAGTTTCTTAAGAATATGGCACTGCAACAAAACTTTTTACCTACAAGTTCATCCAAAACAAAAATAAATCAAGCGCAGCATTCAAAGCATGGCTAGTTTAAAGCATTCCTGCATTATTCCTGCAAGTCTAGTCCAGGTAGGGACAGGTAACAGTTTCATTAAAATATAAATTGGGTCATGGACTTCCAAGGCATGGGGTATACAAAAAAAAAAATCATCTCAACTTTGTTGAGGTGAATTAAAAATGAGGCTTTATAATATCTTACTCACTTTTTTTGCAGACTTATTTTTCTTTTTCTTGTGATGCTTTTTAGTTTTTCCAGACTCTTCCTTCAATTCATCTTCTGTAACAATAATGGCTGCACTAAGACTTTAAAGCCAAAATGCCATTATTTTTTAAGCTAATCATGTTATCTTTTGCTCACCTACACAATAATTCTAAAATTACAACCCCGGTTATTTGCTCCCCCCCCCCCCCCCCCCCAATTTCCTTTACAAATCTCTTTTACACTAAAGGAAGGGCTTTGAAATTATATTTGGCATTTTTCATCACAGGCACTTCACATTTATTTATATATTTTTCTGATCATAAAAATTATCTAGAAGACATTCAATGTTTTGTAGTAGGATATGAAATTTATTTCATGATTGGGACAGGAATTTTTTTTAATTTTCACAAGACCAAAGCACATGGGAAAGTTTGCATATAAATTTATGACTTAATATTCTCTGTTCCTCAATTTTTTAAAATTTACTATATCTTCCCATAGTTACTGACAGCATGACCAAGATGAATTAGGTACACTTCACTGCACAAAGTGTGACCATTACCTGTGCTTGGATTAAGTGTCAGTGTTATTTTCAGGTCTGTTATATAAAGAAAATCATCGGACAGGTTTCAAAGTAGCCTTTGAGACATGAGACCTCTAAAAGCAGGTGGCCTTTAAAGCAGATTAGACTTTATAACTTTGGTTGCCTATTGTGGCCCAACCCTACCCAAAGTGGTCATCATTAAACAACTACAAGAGGCCCATGGGCTAATGCTCACCTTACCCTTATAAATCCCCCCTCTTTATAAAAAAAATTAGCTAATTCCCCGAATTTGTGCCCCCTCCCACCCCCACCATCCCACTTATGGAAAAAAAAGAAGAGAGTGGAAGAACTGGAAAAATATGCAGATGGAGAAAGGAAAGAAGAACAACCTTGACTTTTCAACTTTTGGCCTGAAAGGCAATAAGGGTCTCTTTTTTAAGTTAAAGAAATTCGTGACCTTAAGTTTCATTGCAAAAGCTTACAGAGAACTTAGGTTATCACCTGAAAACTATGTATGCAATATATAAATACTGACCCTAGTCTTTCACTTTTTTTAAAGGTATAAAATTTCATTGCAAAATGTGATAGAGAATAGAGTTATCACCAGGAAACCATTTTATGCAATATATGAATTTCTGACCTTGACCTTTTGATCTCAAAAATCAAGTTGCTGGGAGTTATAATATACAGTTTCCTTTAAAAAGGTCAAAGAGAACTAAAGTAATCAACTGGAAACCAATTTTTGCAATATATGAATTTGTAATCTTGACATTTTGACCTGAAATCATAAGGAATCTTCTTTAGGCCATGAAGAGTCATGATTTTTTAGGCCATAGAAAATTGTGATATAAAGTTCAAGGGCTTTTAGAGATATTGGAAATGAAACTGTTATACACAGACAAAATGTATTTATTTTTGACCTTTTGGCCTCAAAATCAGTTTTCTTTAGGCCATAGAAAATTGTGATATAAAATTTCATTGCAAAAGCTTGAAGGCTTTTTGAGGTATCATCCAGAATCGAAAGTGTTTCACACAGACAGAATAACAGACAGATAGATGGATGAAATGATGGACAGACCCAAATGAATGCAAACCTCGTTATCTCAAACTCAATGGGACCAAAAAAAACAAGAGGCCCATAGGCCACAACCCTCAGCCTGAGTCACCTGCTGTTCTGCATCATATTTTCCCCTAATATACATGTATTCCTATGTCAAATTTTGATCACCTTTTTGACACCACTCTATATGCAGGGGCTGTGGTTTGAACAAAAATGATTCTGCATACCAGAGGAGGCTTCCACCATTGATATGATTCATTATGGCTTTGCTTTTTTTGACAAGAGGAGTTTTAAAGATTTTCCCCTATATAATCCCTACTGTAGCCCCATCTACCCATAGGGACCATGATCTGAACAATTTACTATCTAAGCTATCTCAGTAAACCTTCACCTAAGTTTCATCTTCTCTGGTCTAGTGGTTCTTAAGAAGAAGATTTTTTGAAGATTTTTCCTAAATATATATTTCAATGTAAAACTTTGATTCCCTATTGTGGCCCCATCCTACCCCCAAGGGCCATGATCTGAATAATTTAGAATCTACACTACTTTAGAAAGTTTCCACATAAGTTTCAGCTTTTTTGGCCCAATGGTTTTTGAGAAGAAAATTTTTCAATAACCCTTCCCCAATTTTGTTTTTTCTTGATTATCTCCCCTCAGGAGGGGCCATGGCCCTTTATTGAGACAATTTAAAATCCCCTTTAACCATGGATGCTTTGTACCAACTTTGGTTGATTTTGCCCAGTGGTTCTTGTGAAGAAGTTAAAAATGTGAAAATTTAAGTTTACAGACGGACAGACAGTTTACGGATGGACAGACAGACAGCTAGATGGACGCTGTACAATGGGTGATCAGAAAAGCTCACTTGAGCTTTCAGCTCAGGTGAGCTAAAAACTTGGAGATATCCGAGGATTCAAGACATCAAAGATAAAATACTAAAGAATAAGCCATTGGGACTTCTTAATCACTTTGACATATCCATGATATTTGAGATATCAGTGTTCAAGATACCAAAGTTCAACTGTATCTCCCATTTTCAGTGAAAGCAGAGGACAAAAAGTTTACAGACAACACATCACAGACAGACAGCTCGAATGTCTGACACTCTTAGATCAGAAACTTGAGACTTTGATTCTGATTAGCTAAGAAAAAACTTGTCCAGTAAGAAATTATTCTGCAAGTTTGAATTATTTTCTTAATACTTACAAACCATACACATATATACATGAATATTTTTATTTCATTATTACTTAATTTGTAGCTTTAGTTTGTTTGTATCATTTCACTATACTAGTCACTCAGATTTTTTTGAGGTTTGACTGTGGACAGGTCATAATTAGATTTGGAGGAGAAAGTTTGCCGAGCATAACAGGAAGTCTGTGAGCGAATGCTCACTAGTAATACCCCCGCTCTGATGTGAATATACACTCTCATGTTGACATCAAATTCATACAAAAATGAATCCCACCATATGGCATGCCTAAACAAAGATTGTGCTAAATTTTCAAGCATCTGTGATGATTAGTTGCTGAGAAAACTGCGACAAAAATTTGTTACGGACACAAAGAAACACACACAAGGGTAAAAGAGTATACCCCCTCTCCTTCGGACCGGGGGTATAATGAATAAGTGGAGGAGATGATAGTGATTAATTATGTCTAGACTGTAGCTAAGTAGAAGAGGAGGTAAGGGGAATGGGTCAATTGATTATATAAACAGGCTATAAATTTAATAATTAGTGAGATTTGTTTAGAAATTTTGATAGAGATAAATAAATTGAAGATTTGGTTCTTATAATTTGGATATTTTACTACTTGTGATTAGAATTTTTAGTGCCTTTCATTCATTTATATTTTGGATTTACTTTGTTTTAATTGCTATGGATTATATTTTATTTTACTTTGGATATAATAAACATTTGTAACCTTTTTTATTGTGTCTTATTACAAAAAGGAGGAACTTGTGGAATGATTAATATACCAGAATTACTATAGAGACTATTTCAGTGACAATTTTATACAAAAGGAATTGAATTAGACAACTTGAAAATGCTACAATTACATGGTATAAAGAAATATGGTTCTCACAAGAACAGTTTTATCAGGCAGAGGAGGTTTGCTTAGGTTTCACTGTTCAAAGAATTTAAATGGGTTATTTTTAAAAAGGATTCATAACAGTACCTGCTTTATTGGCCAGTTCATTGAAGATTTCATCTGTAAGCGAGTTCTGACATTTCTGTAAACTCCGTGACACCCATCTGTCCAATAAAGCAGACTCCAAACTACTACTTTCCTTCACATTATTTTCCTGACCTGTAACCAATTAATTGAAGTCAATTCACCAAGTACATGCATGGACGGACTTGTAAGCAGCTAGACAGACCTTGATCAGAATAGCTACCAAGTAACATCATTTATATGTATGTATACAACAAACTGCTAAGGACCATATATGATTAGAGTCAATTTTGGCCCCCAAAAATCAACATTCAAATGTGTATTTTTATTTTGTAGAAGAGATTATATTAGAGATTTTTCCAATACATTTTTCATATTTAAATGCACTTACAGGCTGTAAATGACATCAGAAATGAAGCTATTTTTGCAATCCAATCAAAATAAGACAAGAATGTGTCTTTTTCTTGACATTTTTCTTATGGGAAACATAGAGCGCAGCTAAAAACATGCAAAAATTTTCTGTCAATAATTAGTCTTGGAAAGATGCATCTTTGGTAAAAATATAAAGTTTGTTCAAGTCTGCACTCAATATTTTCTGGAAGAAAAACTGCTTGAAAATGAGCAGTTTCATACAAATTATGCTAAAATGGCAGAAAAGGTGAACTTTATGATGTCATACTTCTAAATTAATGGCACTTTGATCAAATTAAAAATTAAAATTACAAATAAAGGTCACATGTACAACAGTGCAAAGTGAAGCTATATATTAAATTAAGATAATTTTTTCCTATGTTTTCCTATGTAAAACTTTGATAACCCATTGTGGCCCCACCATACCCCTGGGGGTCATGATTTGTACAAACATGAATTAACACTATTTGAGGATGCTTCCACATCAATATCACTAATCATGCCTTTGCTGTTCTTGAGAAGAAGATTTTAAAGATTATTTCCAATATATTCCTATGTAAAACTTTGATCACCCACTGTGGCCCCACCCTACTTCCATGGGGTCATGATTTGAAGAAACTTAATTATAAACTACCTGAGGATGCTTCCATATTAATATGACTAATCATGCCTTTGCAGGCCGATTGGTTTTTGAGAAAAAAACTTTTAAGACTTTTTATTATACATTCTAAGGTATAAGGTAAAACTTTGATTGCCCATTGTGGCCCCATCCTACCCCAAGGGGTCATGATATGAACAAACTTACATCTACACTATGTAATGAAGCTTTCACATAAGTTTTACCTTTTCTGGCCCTATGGTTCTTGAGAAGAAGATTTTTGAAAGATGCCATTTTATTTTCAATAATTCTTAATCATCTTTCCTTGAAAGAGGACCTGGCCTTCATTTGAACTAACTTGAATCTCCTTCACCCAAGCATGCTTTGAGGAAAGTTTGGCTGAAATTGGCCAGACGGTTCTGGAATGTGAAAAGTTCACAATGTCAACGATGCCAGTGACAGACATCAGACAAATTTCAAGCAGAAATCTCACTTTAGCCTTTAGCTCAAAGGAGCTAAAGATGTTTCAAAGTTTAAGCCAGACAGATGATGAACAATGTACAACAGACAGCAATAGATCATGACTCAGGTGACCTAAAATTCTTATCTATCTAGAGCTTACTCCCTGAAGAAGATACTGTTGTTAAGCTACTGCAAGCTGTCACAGTGTCTTCAATATTGGGGTATAAGGGTGGAGCTGATGGAATACTGCCAGCTTTCTTGGATGGACTTGGTGATTTTGTATTCTTCTCTTCAAAAACAAAAGAAAAATATCTTCAATTATTTTGTGTAAATCAAAATAAATTTAAGCATTACAGAGTTTAATTGAATTCTCTATATGTTAAATGTGCCTGTGAAATTTCGAAGTCTTTCAACACATTAGAGATATACCTATACACTATACATGTATAAGGCTCTTTATCAAGATGCTAAAATTATTGATATAAAAAATTTTCAGTTTTTATTTATATTGTTCATCCACCAAACATTCAACAAACAAGAGGTCCATGGGCCACAATGCTCACCACAGTTACTAATGGCAGTTACTATGGAAGATCTTTTGAAAGATGGCATTAAATTTTCACCAATTCTTTATTTTTATCCCTTGAAATAGGGCATGACATTCATTAACCCACTTACCCAGGGATGCTTTGTGGCAATTTTGGTTGGAATTGAGAAGATGATATTGTAAAAAGTTTTTGAAGACAGAAAATGGACAAATTTTGATTAGAAAAGGTCTCTTGACCTTCACCTGGTGAGCTGAAAGCAGAAAAAAATTCCCTTAATACCAAGCACCTAAACTATTGATGAAATACCTTTTTCTTCGGCATTATAAAAATCAATCTTTCTAGGATGTACTGGTGACTTCAGCTGAGAAGACTACAAAAATATGAACAAGAATGCTGGATTTTTTTTTTTCAAATCAGAATGTAAAAAAACTGCCTTTACTAAAGAAATCAGTAGCAAGAAAACCACCAGTACCTCTTTGAACTCTTTGGCACGTCCACACAGAACTGCTTGCTGGAAGCTGTGCTGATTTATGGAAAAAAAATGTACAGGTATATCATTTGACATTCACATGTTGTACAGACATAGCAGACCCTTTTCATTGAAACAGACACTTAAATGTAGGCAACAAATTTCTGATCAAACTAGTCTTGAAGCAATATAAGCTTGGCAGTTAATTTATCGCTGCTGATACTTACACCTTTGACAAATCCCTAGCTGAATGATACTTTTATTGTTGAATATGGCTTATATATACATAAATCTCAATGTTGAAGGTCAATTTTGTTTTCAGTATATAGTGATATCCTCAACATAAAGATTTTTCCTATTTATGTCCCCTTACACATATCGTATCGCCATGTATGTATCGTGATACAGTACAAGTTTATTTTTCATAGCCTTTTTTGAGAGATCTACATACAACTTAACAAATTTTAATGTTCCAAAATGCTGAAAACAAGGTAACAAAGAAATAATACAATGCTAAGACTGTAAGTCTACCTATAATTAACTTTGGTAAGGGGTATTAAGATATTCCTTTTACATTTTCTTTAGCTGTGGAGGTAAGCAAACAAGAATATGTAAAGATATCAGTTAATTCAATTGCTGACAGCTGTATCATGATACATGTTGTATTGCATTACCGTATTACAATATGTATCGTATCGCTAGGTAGCTTGCGATACTCAGGCCTATTGCAAATTTCAAAAACTACATCACAGTGATCTATTTTTTTCATTAATATGTTCCAAGGCCCCAAGATGCATCAACTGAAGAGGTTTGATGATTCTAAACCTTTCAGTATCCCAAATAATGAATTAAAATGTTTTGAAAATGATTAGCCATAAAATTCATGGTGACCTACTTTTTAGTTGACACACTTCACAGCCCCATGATGCATCAACTGAAAAGTTTTGATGATCCTAAACTTTATTGTGTCCAAGATATGAATCAAAATCAATTTGAAAATGAATAGCTGTAAAATTCAACAAGAGGCCCAGGGGCCACATCGCTCACCTGAGTACTGTGGCTAAGAAAAAAGCAAAAATCAATTTAGTATTGCAATGCTTAAATGCATAAGTGGTCCCGACCTACCCCTAAAAGGGAGGGGGGTAGGATTTGAACAACATTGAATCTACACTAACTAAGGATGCTTACATATTTTTTTTGATTAACTGTGACTTTTTTCTTAAAAGTTTAAACTTTCATTGTGGCCACTACCTACCCCTGAAGGGTCATGATTTCATCAAACTTGAATCTACACTATCTGAAGATGCTTCCATATAAATATGACCAATCATGGCTTTGCTGTTCTTTAGAATATTTTTTAAGATTTCTCCTATATATTCCTATGTAAAACTTTGATTTTCCATTGTGGCCCCATCCTACCCCAGGGTCATGATTTGATCAAATTTTAATCTACACCACCTGAGGATGCTTCCATATAAATCATAGCTTTGTTGTTCTTGAGAAGATTTTTTTGAAATTTTTCTTATGTACTCCTATGTAAAACTTTAATTGTTCATTGTGGTCCTACCCCACCCCAGGGGTCATGGTATGAACAAATTTGAATCTACACCACCTGAGAATTCTTCCATATAAATATGATCAATCATAGCTCTGCTGTTTTTGAGAAGATTTCTGAATATTTTCCCTATATATTCCTATGTAAAACTTTGTTTGCCCACTGTGACCCCACCCTTCCACCAGGGGTCGATTTGAACAAACTTGAATCTTCACTACCTGAGGATGCTTCCATCTAAATATGACCAATCATGGCTTTGTTGTTCTTGAGAAGGTTTTTAAAGATTTTCCCTATGTATTCCTATGTAAAACTTTGATCGCCCACTGTGGCCCAACCCTACCCCGGGGTCATGATTTGAATAAACTTGAATCAACACTACCTGAGGATGCTTCCATATAAATATGACCAATCAAGACTTTGCTGTTCTTGAGAAGAAGATTTTTAAAGATTTTCCCTATGTATTCCTATGTAAAACTTTGATCACCCACTGTGGCCCAACCCAACCCATGGGGGTCATTATTTGAACAAACTTATATCTTAACTACCGAGGATGCTTCCATATAAATATGACCACTCAAGGCTTTGCTGTTCTTGAGAAGAAGATTTTTAAAGATTTTCCCTATGTATTCCTATGTAAAACTTTGATCACCCACTGTGACCCAACCTTACCCTTGGGGGTCATTATTTGAACAAACTTTAATCCCTTTCACCCCAAGGATACTCTGTGCCAAGTTTGGTTGAAATTGGCCCAGTAGTTCTGGTCAGGAGGAGAAGATGAAAATGAGAAAAGTTTACGACAACAACAACGACGCCAATGACAGACAACGGACAAATTTTGATCAGAACAGCTCACTTGATCCTTTGGCTCAGGTGAGCTAAAATGTAGTCACCATGACCAACTTTTAGGTAAACCTTATCGATGCATCAACTGACAAGATTTGATAATCCTAGTCCTCAAGGTGGGAAAAATATTAAAAAAAATTAACAAAATATCATTTTAGGTCAACTCTGATGTGACCTTGAGACCACGTCCTTTGCCCCAAGGTGATGCCTTGAAGAATTTTTTTTTCTACAACATATCCTCATCATTATATATAAATTTCCTGATCATCTGCCCAGTGGTTCTTGTGGTGGTGATTTTTTAGCAACCACTTTTGTTTTTATTTTCCCAATTATCTCCCCTTGCTTACAGATCACATCCCTATTTTTAATATAAATGAAAGCCCTTGGGCCAAGGATACTCTGTGACAAATTTGACAAAACTTGAGGAGTCCTTCAGATTTGGCCCACATTCCAAAATTATGACGCAACCCACACACTGCTAGATTCTACTCAGAAGAGTTAAAAATTACTTTCCTATAATGCATGCAATTATCTTTTTCAACTTACTTCATTCTGTTGTGTTTGAAATAGTTCCACTAAATTTCTCACACTCCCTCTTCCTGGACAATATTCCTCTCTTAAGGGAAAAAAAATTAAAATTTATTCATAAGATGCAAATGAGCATTAGACAATACAATGAATACATTTATGAGACAAAAATCATAAACACTTAACTTTTTTCAAACAAGAGGCCCAAGGGTCTTAACGGTCACCTGAGTATAATACAAAGCTGTAAAGGATCCATAGAATTGCATATTATTTACATCCACTGAAAACAATCTCCTTTATTTCTTATAAAAACCACAATTGCTTATTAAAACTGAATACTTTAACACCACTAAGCCACTCTGTATCATACATACCAACCTTCCCGATTTAGGCAGAATCCTCTTGATTTACCCTTTGATCCCACTTTCCCGATTGGGTAGCAATATTGCCTTAAAATCACGATTTGAAAAATTTCACTCAAAAATTTCTCATTTTCAGAGTTTACCAAACCCCCATATTACGTCAACTGGGATAAGAATATCAGATTTGTTTTATGTTCAATGCACACAGATTAGTCTCCTTGTTTATCTAATCCATGCAGATGTGTTAACTGGGCCCAGGGAATCACTTCTTGCTTGAATATAGCTCTCATAGAATTAGGGGTTAATTAAATATCCCTACATTGAAAACAAAAATTTAATACAATATGATAAAATCAGAATCCATATAGATCATTTTTTAAAACCGAAAGTAGAAAACTACACAGCTTATAGCTGCTGATTTTATCTGCTTATATCAAAATATTGTAAAGTTAAAAAATGATGAAAATAATTAAGATGAAACAACAGTATCCTGTCATGTAGACCTACACTAAATTTCTTCTCCCTTCCCTCTCCAAAAGGTAATGTTGTGCATGTATTTCTTTGTTGTGACAAGGGGATACCAACAGGGCACTGCCAAGATTGCAAAAGTTCATACCGACTATAAGAATTTTAATTTTTGTTTGGGTTAAGGGGTATCCTTGTGTTCTATAATTAATGACCTTCAAAGTAAATTTATCTTCAAATTGTTTTGTGTGTGTGTGTGAGGGAGGGTGTGTGTGTGTGTAATATTAAATTAATCATGTTTACTTATTAATAGGGAATAAAACACTCTTTATATTAAAGCTGTATAAATGAGGATATTAATATTATGAATTATAAAAAAAAAAAAAAAATGGGATAACATTTATTTTCACGACATGAAATGTAGCAAATTTAAAGCTTTGAAAATTGCCATTACTCCCAAAATCCTCCATGGGAATTTTCAAAAGTTGGCATGTATGCTGTATAGATTTGAGCAGTGGCTCCATCAATGAAACATACAATGACTTATATACCGATAACACAATATTTAACATACTTAATCCTACTTGATATGATTTGAATAATGGACATAAATAAATATGTCTTCTAAATGTCTCGATCTTCATTAGAATGGGGATTAAAGTTGCAGCTATTGCATAAACAAGCAACAGTTGCTGCATAAAAAAGTAAAAGCTGCCTTATTAATTCCCATACTAACAACCAAAGAAAGCATTTTATTGTTTAAACAAAAGAAAATTAATTGATAGATGAAGATATATTGCTCAGTAACAAAAGAAATAGGATGATAAGGGATCAACAGAATAGTTAGTCTGGTAATCAGCAACAACTCAGAAAACAGATCTACATTATGTTCCAGCTAGTGCTCCTACATTCTCTAAATTTGAAACATAATAAAGCCATTACAATCCCTAAATCACTGGCATCTTTTGGTCTTTAAATAACACTTCATGTACAAATATAAAATATTTCCGACTCATATTTATTTATCTATTAGTTGCAAGACTACCTGACTTTTAAAAAATACTAAAAAATTATACATGTACATTAAAAATTCTTGAATGATATTTTTTTTTTATTCATTTAATTGACCTATCAGTTAAAATTTTTTAGAGTCAATTAATTCTCAGAGAAGAATAATAAAAATGAGGAATAACTTCTCTCAAAGTAGAGTACAAATCTTTCCTACATATTCACTGCCCAAGACCAGAACCCTTGATCAAGTGGTCAAGTATTTCACATATCTGGTAAAACACCCATTACAACTTTGTACTTTATTTCTCTTCTAGATGCACAGAAGAATTAATGCTTTAAAAGTAATAATATTGGTTGACCCATTTACAGAGACTGTTCCAAATTTTACAAACAACATGCAACTGTTAAGAAAGTATAGCAAAAGGTATCTTGAGTGAGCCAAAAATTTGAACCTTGGTCTCATGTCAGGCGTAGCCCCCATTCTTTTCCTTTTCCTTGGCATTGTTGAGTATGGGTTTCTTCTGTTGTCATCTATGTTGATTGCTTTTGGACTCTTATATTCTTCCTCCCCATAGTGAGAGTTGTAGAGTGCATAGATACTGCCTGCAGTAGTCAGCTGTTTTTCTATGGGTTTATCAATATTCCCAGCAGTACAGTGGCTAGCAGGTTTAACCATACACTGTCCCTTAGGGGGGCTGCACTTTTCCTGAGCCTTAAGATAACTGTACTTCCTAGCCAATGACTGCACTTCATGTTGCTCCACATCTTGCCTGCAAATATAATTATTTATATTTCATATCATGTTTAAGGTGTTCTTTTTATGAAATTTTACACAACCAATACCATATAGTAAAAATAAAGTGTAGATGCTGGAGTATACTGACATAACCAACCTTAAAACAGCAAAATTTTTATACCTGTGTCATATCACCACCTTTTCACAATATGAATTGTTACTGAATACTAACTAGAGGTATTGTGAGTGAGCTCACAAATTTATACCCCTAGCTGCTACAATTTTTTCAAGAGTGCCCATATACATGCAGTCAAGGTCATAACACACCCTCAGGTCATAAACAATCTTTGTTCCAAGTATGAGCTTCCAATGATTCTCCATTAAAGTTTTGGTTCTGAAATAATTTCACACACAGAGGCAGACAAGATGATGGCTGGGCGAGGGGGGGGGGGGAGGGGGAGGGATAAAATTAGAATTATGGTACTATATTTCGAAAGCCATTGTGACTGGTGTAAAATTTTACTGTGCATAAATAGAAAAAAAAATTTTTCCAACACCAGGCTATAGTTTTTTGAAATAAAAAATTCACCTCTTGGTATATATACTGACTTTAATTGACTGTCACTTTGAAGTTCACTTTCACTATCTGAGATCTGCTTTCGATAATCTTTGAGAGATGTTTGAGGACTTCTGGGTGGTGGAGAACCTTTGACTCCTACAGTGTAGTAATACTTATCTCCCTCTTGCTCCTCCTGCAGTTTCCAACTCACACTGTACAAAGCAATTCATAGAATGTAATAAATTTTTGTCACTGAAGCAAAAGAATTTTTTATACTTGTTAAAAATCTAAACAAAAAGGTCAGAGCTTAAATCTAACTGAAAAGATAAATATACTCTATACATACTTTTTATGAGTAAAGTTCATTTCATCAACAAATCTCATGTTATGGTCATATCCATGCTTGTACCCATTCTGGTTGCTATGAATTAATTTACATATATAATGTCATTAAACAAAATATTGTCTGCAAATTATGTCTAATTCTACATATGTCATTGAAATAAACCAAAACTTCTTAAAATCTTATATAAATGCCATAGTATTACAAAGTAAATGGCTTTAGTGTGAGGATCTCGAGACATGCATGCTGTATGTATGAAAAAATAAAGATGGACAGACATAGTCTCCAAGGTCTGGAAACTTTATTAAATGAAAACTACAACTGTCCAAAACGGACAAATACCCCCCGCTGGGTTTTTCAGAAAAGGTACCAAGTACTAAAAGTATTTTATGGATCTAAGAGGTGTTCACAATTTTGTTTGAACATTTAATCGCTCATTATATTTTTTCATGAATGATGAACTAAGGTGCAGCCCAATAAAACATCAATACTGATAATTAGGGATGTCAACGAATATTCGAGTACTCCACTATGTTTGATCATACCAACTATCGACTAATTTTTTTTTACTTGGTTATTCAAAATTTGCTACTTAATACTATTCTTAAATTCAAGGTAATGAAACTGTTGCTATCACAATTGTCTACCTCTTAGTGTTGTAAATAGAGAGGGCTTTCAAGAACTATTTGATTTGCTAGCTCAAAATTATGAAGTTTCAACCTGCAATACCATAAGATCAGGCCTAATGCAACTAATAATTAATTAAACAGCTGTTACATATTTGTACATACATGTAAACTGGGGAAAATTTATGAGCGTTATGGTCTTTCTGATGTTAAAGGACTTATCGCATGATCTTTCAAAAATCGTAATTTTATGAAAAATATTATCTATAACCTTATTTATTAAAATACTGAATACAATAAACGTTGTTGAAAGCATATTTTAAGGTAGGTCGCGCGTTTACTGCTTAAAAATTCTTAACGAGAAAACATATCCTGAAAATTTGATATAATGTTCCTTAGAATTTATAGCATTTTATCTGTAATTTTTATCAAATTTGTCTACGTAGTTTTTATGCTGTATTACTGTAACGCGGTATAGTTTTTCGTACTATTTTTACGCTTTACAATTGAAATATATAGAAAAATGACGTTTTTAAGCCAATTTTGCGGAAAGAGTTTCTTTAAAAAAGGTTGGATAACTTTTTAAAGACGTAGACGAATTAATCAGGAATTTCAAAATATCCAGATGAGGTAAAATTAAAACTCTTGAGATAAAAAAATCAATATGTCTTCTCGCTAGTTTTTTTGCTATATAATTTCAAAGTTTGTTTTATATTGCCAAAATGTTGCATTTATGGCGTTATTTATGACTACAATGTCATGTGTTGAACGTAATCACGTTTACATACGAGTATAAATATCTTTACATTTGGAATATGCAAGATCTAAAAGGTGACATAGTTGCAAAATGTCATTTTATTCATCTTTTCACTTATTGCGGAAACATTTATGATGACCAGCAACTTATTTCACTAGTATTGTGAAATTCATATTCTGCCCACAAAGTCAGAATGAACGGTATATTAAACATTTCTCGTGTATTAGAATTAACATGCAGCGATAGAACGGCGAGTGATAAAATATTAATTCATGTATTTTTAGGATGTTCATGTTCAGTAAGATTTCAGGCATACCACATGAATTTGATCACTTCATTCGAAAACGGTGAAGAAAAAACATCCCAATACTGAGAAAAATGGGGGGGGGGTGTTACCGGCAATGTTCTTTCTATATTAGTCGCAAGCTGGTATATAGCCCTAACTCTCAAACATTTCTTCATTTCGAATTCTCTCAATCAAATTTCCGTACTCAAAATGTAGAACACTTGCATTTAGCTTATACACAGAGAGCTTTTCTTATATAGAAAAAAAATATACTTGACACTTGTAAATTGTTTACAGTGTCATATAGGTCTGATAGTCCGGGTGTTTGTTTAAATTTATTTTTTAAATGCATTTCACAGTTTGTTAGCCTGCATATACATAGCGACTACACGAGATTCAAATACAAAATAAACAAATAATAATTATGATGATTGAAATAATAATAACAAATAAAAGGAAAATACAGGTACTGTGATTAAATTTCATCCGTTTTTTGGTGTTGAGGATTTATTCCAACCTGAAAAAGTTTCGCCCCGGCAAACATGGTGTAATATTATACGCACTTCCCTTTGAGGTGCAAATTACGTGCGCACATACATGTTCAACCCTTCAGGTTTTTGGCTGAGAAATTTCTTTTTGCATACCATAACTTTTAAGCTGACTCATTTTGATCGACTTTTAGCAGTTTAGTAACACTTACAATATAAACTATTCCTTTCATTTGGTATCGTATTTAGTTTGTTCTAAGACATTACACATAATCACATCAGAATTCAGACTGTCATTTAATAATACCCGATCTTGGTTCATACATGTACGAGGTTTACGTACCATAGCATGCACTTTGAATTAATCTACTTGATTTGTACCTATAGACTATTTATGAAATTATTTTCAGAGAATTATACGGGAAACAACGCAACGTCGCCTTTATGACGTAATTGACGTCATAATCAAATGTGCACAAAACAACCGCTCAAATCGTCGAAATTGTGTACCAAAATTGATGACAAAAGCAAACCCGCGACCTACCTTAAGAGATATTGAGAGTTGAAATTCAAATACGGCAATATGCATATTTCAGTCGGATTTCGGCTAAATACTGCTCTGACGTCATAGGCGACAATTCGGTGATAGAGAGATGAGAATATGCACACTACTGATTAACGGAGTTATCAATGACAAATGCAACTAAATTACAAAAAATGCTGAAAAAATAATTCCTTATATGATTCTCAATTACTATAGAAACATTTATTAGTTCCAAAGTACAAGGCTTTTAAGATATTTCCGTTTTTTATTTAAAACATTTAGAACCTGTAGCTCTAATTACGGCAATGTTTCATGATCGGGAAATTATTTTTCAAGATCGCCATCTTTTAAAAACAAATGAAGACTTGCATAAATTAATATTATATATAAAACGAAGAATAACAAAGTTATATAATGTTTAATTTGTGAATCAAATAAGTTAATACTGTTACATGTGATAAGAAGACAAATCAAACTGCATTGTTATGGCGAGTTTCTTCGTCTTCGCTATCTTCCCTCGCTATCGTCGCTGCTATTTTACAATGTTAACAGATTTTTCAGATTTTTTCTTGCTGACAATTCTAACATATAAGGTTGAATATTCAAATAAGTGATTTGGTCGTCCACAACGCAGAAAATTCAGGTTGTATCGCGTATATTTTAGTAAGATTAATGAAGAGATGATCAGCCATTGTCGCCTTTGACGTCACAGGGTCACGTGATCGCTATCTAATTAACGTAGATTTTTAATTCAAGGGTTTAATTTGAGTCAATAATTGGTTAATTACCGCGATTTATCCACAGTAAAAACACAGAATTTATAAATTGTGGACATAAGGACTTAATACGCTTTTAATTTCAAATAATTTAGAAACATGCGATAAGTCCTTTAATATCAGTCATTTCAAGATTGCATAGATTGTTTGCATAAAGCCTCATAATTAAAATTTATCGCATGCTCTCTATGTTGTTATAAGAGGTACACTTTAATTGTTTAACAGTCAAAGGTCATTGATTTAGCTGGGACTATAGACACATTCAAATGGCCTCAAGTGATAGATCAATCACAGGTATATGTACTAGCATCATGAAAAGAAAGGACAAATGCGAGTGCTTGATGTCCTGTATTTAGACAAGAGGCCCAAGGGCCTTAACGGTCACCTGAGTATAAAACAACAATCCATAGAGGATCCATAGAGTATAAAATAAACTGATAGAAGCATATTTGTTGCCAAAAAAGCAAGAGAAATAGGATGATCAGGATCATCAAAATAATTAGTCTAGTATTCAGTAACAAATAACAAGTCTAGTATTCAGTAACAACTCATAAATTAAGTTCTAATCTGTCCCCCATTTAGATTTTTTCCTATAAGTTTTATTTTCTATTATGGCCCCACCCTACCCCCCGGAGTGATGTTTTGAACAATCTTGAATCTACACTACTGTAAACCACTTTTTATTCGCAAGAACTTTTTTCGCGTAATTACGCGAGACGGCGTGCTCATGAAAATTTCATTCTCACGTATATTAGTATTCCTAAAGATTATATAGAACAATAACCACAATTCGTGAATATTCCATCTCGCTAATAAAGAGTCAATGTCTACCTCGCAAAAAATAAGGTGTCACGAAAATTTAGTGATCTACAGTTCCTGAAGATGCTTCTGTATTAAAATGACTAATCATGGCTTTGTTGTTCTTGAGAAGAAGATTTTTAAATATTTTTTCCTATATATTCCGAACTAAAACTTTGATCACCTGTTGAGTCCCCTTCCTACCCCAGGGGTTCATGATTTGAACAAATGGAATAACATTACCCAAGGATGCTTCCATATAAATAAGAAAATTTTTAAAGATTTTTCTTATGTATTCATATGTAAATCTTTGATCATCCATTGTGGCCCCATCCTATTCCCCGAGTCATGATTTGAACAAACTTGAATCTATACTACCTGAGGATGCTTCAATGTATATATATCCAATCATTGTTTTGCTGTTCTTGAGAAAAGAATTTTTCAAGATTTTTCCTACGTATTCCAATGTAAAACTTTCATTGTCCATTGTGGCCCCATCCTACCCCCAGGGATCATGATTTTGAAAAATTTGAATGAATCTACATTACCAGAATGAGTTTCATCTTTCTTGGCCCTATGGTTCTGGAGAAGAAGATTTTTAAAGATTTTTCCTATGTATTCCTATGTTAAACTTTGATCATCCATTGTGGCCCCACCCTACCCCTGGGGGTTATGATTTTAACAAACTTGAGTCTACACTACCTGAGGATGTTTCCATATAAGTTTCATTTTACCTGGTCCAGTGGTTCTTGAGATTTTTAAAAGATGCCATTAATTTTTCACTAATTCTTAATTATCTCCCCTTGGAAGAAGATGTGGCCCTTCATTTGAACAAACTTGAATCACCTTTAACCAAGGATACTTTATGACCAGTTTGGTTGAAATTGGCCCAATGGTTCTTGAGAAGAAGTCGAAAATGTGAAAAGTTTAAGTTGAGTGACTCAGGTGACCTAATAAAATGTGTAGTAAATATTATATTTGAAATCAAATACATTAGATGCATACATTTATTACTACATAAATGTTTACAATTCAGAAACATGTTGTATAATGGTGACAGCACAGGTTAAATGTTATACAAGCAGTCTGTAAAAGGCAAAGAGTAAAAATGACGTAAAAATTAAATTTCAACGAGTACTTGACTATCGTTTGACTAAAGCCTCCGACTATTTCACTAAGCTGTCCGAGTAAAATTGACATCAATACTAATAATTATTTTGTTTTTTATTAGCTTGAAAACTGCAACTACCTATCTTCTTTGTGAGACATGACACTCTGCAATTTGTTGAAAAAAAATAAAAATATCAGATTATACAATATCTAATTAATCTTGATAACTTTATACCAAATTCATTTTAAAAATAAAAGGCTGTTGATCCAGTAATCATGTATTTTAATTTGCCAGACTATAAATTGCAATTAAGAGATTTAGAGATCCTTAATTCTTTTGCCCAATTCCCAGGAGATAAAGATAACACCAGCTAGATCAGAGATGCTCTAAGAGCTTCCCACATTGAACTCATTACCGGGGTAGTTAATCTTTCACTGGATGCATGTCCACTCATTACTCCCAAGGTACTAATGGATTTACACTATCTGCTGTGTAATGCACTGTGAGTCTGTGGTACAATAGAAAATGCATAATTATGCCATTCTTGTAAAAGCAAAGATTTTTTTCTTAAATTTTTATAAAGCTTTATATAATGAGAAAAAAGAACTGTGTAGTCTTGATGCAACATTTTTTAATAAGGTTACTGCTTGACTCTTAAATTTATAGGGACTATCCACCTAAAAACTTTTTTTAATGCTTGGTGATTTTTGAGTTTAAATGAGTGGTTTTAAGCTGTAATTCACATTTTTGTACAGATGTACCAATGCAGTTCTAGATTCTATGTCTCAAACCTACACAAATCCAGAATGACTAAGTCAACAAAAATTTAAAAAAAAAACACCTGTAAAATGCAGAAAAATTATCCAATCATAATGAAAATATCAGATGCACACCTTCATATGGTGAATAATGATTGTACATATTTTCAGACAAATCCATGCAATAATCTCTGAGAACAGGTCCAGACAAAATTATGTCTACAACAGATAGACATGCTGAATCCAATATACCCCCTCCCCCACCAAAAAAACTTTGTTTGCTGGGGGTATAATTAGCCATACATGACAGATTCTAAATATTCCTTGATACATTTCACTTTGGAATTACCAGTTATCTTGCATTCCATTGGCTGCTTTAGACCACTTTGCTTTTCTTTTCCCTTTAGATTTATTGTTAAACTCATCATACTGTGCCATCTCCTTGCGTAATACTGTTTCATTGACTGAATCTGATGAAGCTGTTTCCTGGGGATGTCTCACTTGTTTATGCCTTTTTCTATTTGATTTTTTCTGGATTTCGTTTACCTTTTCTTTTTGATAAACCATCTTCAAATATTTTTCTATTTCCTAAAAATGCAATTACACATCAATAATATTTTCAAATCTTGCTTTGGCAAAAACATGAAGTCTGAGTAATGTGAGGTAAAATGTGCTCAAGCAGAAAGCCTCTTAATTAAGAGACATACAGTTTTCGTCTTAAAATTTTTTGAGGTACATATATGAAGAGACCAATGAATTATTGTCCCCAAGGAGAGGTAAAATTCAAATGAATAATAAGACAAATTGCATTGAGAAAGACAATATGTTGACGGTGCGACCGTTAGGGCTAGCTCAGATACCTATTCAGTTTTAATTTACATCCGTCTCTTCAAATCACATGTGACATTTGGTACGTCGATCTAGACTCTGACATCACACGACGTCGTAAGTTGCATTACTAAATCGAAGCCTGAACATTGCTAATTTTAATAATTTGTCATCAACAGTAAATAATCCAAATTGATAACTGAATCAGGATTTTGGTTATGTGAAAATATGTTGCATTTTGATTGCACAAATAAAGTATACCTGATCAGACATCTGAAGGATCTGTTGCACATTACAAAAGTCCAGCACTCTGTGCATGGGATCTCTTTGCAGGCCATGGTGCAATATACCATGGTACTTCTCTGGAATACGGCTCATGTCTACTGGTAAGGATTCTTCTTCACGTAAAACTTTTTTTCTGATTTTTTCAGCACTACATTTCTGCCATGGAATTTCACCTGCATTATTTTGATTAGGAAAACCTAACTTTTCTTTAATAAAACATTCAAACAACAAATTCAAATATAACCTTCACCAAATTTCATAACCTAAAAATTTATATGGTGCTGCTACTATAAATATGTGTTCCAGAAAATGAAAATAATCACTTACAATGACAAGAAATACTTGATGTATTGGAATAAAAACTTATGATCAAGAATAAAGATTTATATTCAAAACCACTCTGGTGACCAAATGAGTTCAGAGGCCACTTTTACTAAGTAGTCGCTTTGAATCCCTCATGTCAATTTTGCACTTTAACTCATTTCAGTTGCCCCCAGTTCGACGTCCATCAACCAATCTTTTTATTATACCCACCTTCAGCAGTCATTTTACACTACTATCAAAATTATTTGAAGCTCACTCCACTTTATTTTTCCTGAAAATTCCACAATTTTCTAATTTCTGTATTGTTTATGTATCAGCCTATATGTTTATGTTCAAAATAATACATATATATTGCATTTTCAGAAAGGTACATAATTTTCTGAAGTAAGATTTTAGAGATTTCCTAATGCCTTTATTGTTGACATGTTGATCTGCATTTGACATGTTTGACAAGAATATAAATTTTGCAGCGACTGATGCCATTGATAAAAGCTTTATTTTTCTATATATTTCTATATCAAAAAATGCAAAACTATTTGAAACAAACAAAATCTGAATTATTTAATAGTAATTATTAGAGATTTCTGAATTTGGAAACAATCAACACCATGCATATTTCATAATCCATAAAAACAAAACATCAATTAGAGAAAAATTCCAATCTCTTTACCACGAACTGAACTTTGTGAATACAATAAGTTATTGAAAAGAAAGTTAACTGATAGTTAAAAGCAACAAAGTAAAATTTTTAAGAGAGAGAAAGAGAGGCCGGCCCATGGGCCACAAAGCTCACCTGAGTGACTTTTGACTTTGATGTTCTCTATAGATTTTTTCCCCAGCTATTCCTATGTAAAATTTGATCTTTTGATCTATCGTGGCTTCCCCCCCCCCCCCCCCCCCCCCCAGGTGGTCATGATTTTAACAAAATTAAATCTACACTGACCAAGGATTCTTCTATATTAATATGACTAATCTTGACTCTGCTGTTCTTGAGAAGAAGATTTTAAAAGACTTTTTCCTGTATATCCCTATGTAAAACTTTGATCTACTGTGGCCCAACCCTACTGTGGGGGTAATGATTTGAACAAACTTTTATCTACATTTCCTGAGGATGGTTCCATATTAATATGACTAATTATGGTTTCCCTATTCTTGAGAAAAATAAATGAAATACTTTCATGTTTCTATGTAAAACTTTGATCTCCTATTGTGGCCCCACCCAACCCCTAGGGTCATGATTTGAACAAACTTGAATCTACACTACCTGAAGATATTTCCATATGAATATGTCTAATCATGGCTTTGCTGTTCTTGAAAAGATTTTAAAAGATTTTTCATATTTATTCACATGTAAAACTTTGATCTATTGTGGCCTCATCCTACTCCAGTAGGCCATGATTTGAACAAACTTGAATCTACACTTGGTCAGGAAGCTCTCACTTAAGTTTCATTGCTGGCCAAGTGGTTCTTGAGAAGATTTTTTGAAGACACCCACCCTATATTTTTGCTTTTCTTGATTACTGTATAGGGGGAAAATAACTCGTAGTGTTAATATTTGCTATATTCACTGTGTTAATAAATCCGCAAATTCAAGAAACAGTGAATAAGTTTTCAATAACCTTCATTTTTTTATTTGGAAATTTGCGAATAGACTACGATAGGCAGATGTACGTGCAGTACATGGTCATCTCAGTAATTACGAGTAGTTTTTGTCATTCATTTATTTTAGTTATCACACTTTACTTTAATTCAAATCAGCAGACAATAACCTGCATTTGTTAAAAAGCTGTTTTAATAGCCAACGCTACATGTTCCATCAATCAAAACACATGGGTCATGGGTTTTGATTACCGGTGCATAACTAATGTTACTACATGTATTTGTTACCTGCATTATCATTTTTATTGACAGTTTGGCTTTAAAAAGTCTTTCAAATAGCTATTGAACTTGCTGAAGATATGGAAAGATATTATTTCATCGACCTAAATTAACACATTTATTACCGTCCAGTGGTTTTTCGCCATGATGTATTATCCCTTCGAAAAGATCTTGGGGTGTACATGCACTCATCGTAATAGCATAAAGGATGGTCATTCAACGTTTATAGTCAAGGACTTTTAATAACTGCACTTGTTTATATTATTCGTCAATTAATTATTAACTAAACGATATAAAAAAGATCACCAACACTTCGTGAGAATGCAGCAGTAAATTTATTTGGTTGACCGGTTTCGACCAGAGACAGTCGTCATCAGAACAAATATACATGAAATGATTATACATGAAGTAAAAATTGCGGACTACATTACTCTGTAAATAAAAAATGCAGACGTCATAACAACTTGCGGACTAGAATCTTTACATTAATAATTTAACAACCATAATTGTGTGAAATTGTCACAAAACTTTACATTACATTATTTATGCTTAATGATTAATTAAACAGTCCATAAATTCCGTGGATGGTTATTGTTCTATTTTTTAAGGACTCCGGTAATTCATCTTGGCAGACAGTTTTTGTAGATTCATTGGATGCGGACTTTACAGGTAAGGACTCCGGTAATTCATCTTGGCAGACAGTTTTTGTAGATTCATTGGATGCGGACTTTAATAGTGAACTTGCTTGATATTTGTTTGCTGGTTTAATTCTGAAGATAGGGGTCTTAGTTGATTTTGGGCGGCTCTCGAATGGCGGAACATATTTCTTCGGTTTCTCTGCTGTTTCACGTGGATTTGAACATGTAAATATTAAAGAATCACTGTATTCCGTTTGTGGATCCTTTATAATATGTCTCCTTACAACATCTTTACGGCAGTACGATTTTTTACATATCTCACAGTAATATCTTGTGATCGTTGGATTGTGGGTGAGATTGAAGTGTCTCTTTAAATTGCTTAAATCCTTGAATTTCCGTTCACATCTGTTGCAGGTGATGTTGGCTTTTGGTTGCGGATTATTTGGGTCATCTGGGTTTTTCCTCTTGGTGTATTTAACTTTAGCCATATTTCTGGTTAAGTCCTAGTGGATGTAAAGTTTTAAAGATGTGGATAAAGACCTCTTCTGTTCTTAAGCGTTGATTAATGTTGTTATTGATTTTTAATAGCGGCGTTATGGAAACATCCTGTATGCTATGTCATTGTGACGTATCTGATTGTGACGTTGTGGATTGTGCCGTGAAATGGCGGGACACGGGTTTGTGTTGATTTGCATTTTTGATGTCAGCGAAGTGTCCATACATGCGTTCTCTAAGGGAATTGCTCGTTTGTCCGATGTATTGGATAGAACATTTTTTACATGTGATTACGTAAATGACTGATGTGCTATTGCAGTTAAGGTTCTGTTTGATGGAATAAGTTTTTCCAGTTGAAGTAATACGGATACTGTTGGTTTTCCTGACAAATGGGCAGATTTTACAGTTCTCATAACACGGACTGCTTCCTTTACCTTCTGGAGTGGGGTTAAGGTTAGAATGGACTAAAATGCTTCTTAGGTTTGGGGGTCTTTTGTATGCTATTATAATTCTGTCCTTCAGATCACATGTGTCAGGTGATTGTTCTAGTATGGTTTTGTATTTGTTTATTATAGATCGAAAATCTGGATTCAAGTTATTAAAAGTTGTTACTAAAGGAATGACACGTTTGCTTGTAGATTTTTGGTTTCCAATGAATAAGTTATTTCGGTTATGTTTCCTGGCCTTCTCTATTGCGTGGTCTAGTATAGATGGTGGATAATTCCTTGCTAAAAACTGTTCTTTTAATTTTATTGTGTGTGCTTCGAAGTCTGTATCAGATGAGCATATGCGTCTAATTCTCAATGCTTGGCTAAATGGGATGCTTTTCAACATGTGCTTCGGGTGGTTAGAATTGAAGTGTAGATATAAGTGGGCATCCGTGGGTTTGGTATATAGCGTGGTTGATAATTCTCCAAGCTGGTTTATTCGCACTGTGGTATCAAGGAAATGGATCGCTTCTGTAGACTGTTCATAGATGAATTTGATAGTTTGATGGAAATCGTTTAGACGGCACATGAAGGTGTGTAGATCCTCGCTACTGTGTGTCCAAATAAAGAATATATCATCTATATATCTCCACCATATTAGTGGTTTCTGAACTGACTCTTGGAGGAATTTATTTTCTAATTGGTCCATGAATATAATTGCATAGTTAGGTGCACATTTTTTACCCATACTCGTTCCTTGAGTTTGTAAATAGTAATTGCCATTAAATTCGAAGCATGTTTTGGTTAAGATAAGATGTAGAAAACGGAGTATAATCCATGTTGGTACAGTAGGATTTTCTCTAGTATCGAGTGCTTGTTTGCTAGCTAGTATGCCATCTCGGTGTGGGATTGATGTGTAGAGAGAAGAGACATCTGCTGTGACCAGGATGCTATTCGCCGGAACTGTTCCCAACTTATTGATTTTTACTAGGAAATCATTTGTGTCCTTTATATATGATTTAATATTCTGTGCAAGAGGTTTGAGAAAATAATCAACTGTGGCTGATAGTTTTTCAGTGGGACCGCTCACTGCAGATACTATGGGGCGGCCAGGATTGCCTTGTTTGTGTATTTTCGGTAGCATATAGAAGACTGGGGTGCGTATTTGATTACTCTGCAGTTTATTAAATTTCAGTATCTCAGGTGGTATCAAGTGTTTGGTTTTTTGTAAAAATTCATTGATAGTTTTGATTATTTTTGGTATAATGTCCGTTTCTAATTGGGCGTAATTTTCTTGGTTGTAGAGTTGTCTGTGGGCTTCTGTTATGTAATCTTCTCGGTTCATAATGACTATAGCCCCACCTTTATCGGCAGGTTTAATAATAATATCGGAATTGTTTTTTAAAGTTGATATTGCGGAAAATTCTTCTCTTGAGAGGTTGCGATGCGGAGCTCTTTTTTCATTCGTTTGATTACACTGGTGGGTTATTATATTGATGAATGAGTCTAGGAACTGGTTTTTTCCACTGGGGGGTGTCCATCCTGATGAAATGTGGAATGGGTTAGGGTTATCATTTTCTATTTGGTCTTTGAAGTGTAAATTTAATCCAGAAGGTAAAGGAAGCAGTCCGTGTTATGAGAACTGTAAAATCTGCCCATTTGTCAGGAAAACCAACAGTATCCGTATTACTTCAACTGGAAAAACTTATTCCATCAAACAGAACCTTAACTGCAATAGCACATCAGTCATTTACGTAATCACATGTAAAAAATGTTCTATCCAATACATCGGACAAACGAGCAATTCCCTTAGAGAACGCATGTATGGACACTTCGCTGACATCAAAAATGCAAATCAACACAAACCCGTGTCCCGCCATTTCACGGCACAATCCACAACGTCACAATCAGATACGTCACAATGACATAGCATACAGGATGTTTCCATAACGCCGCTATTAAAAATCAATAACAACATTAATCAACGCTTAAGAACAGAAGAGGTCTTTATCCACATCTTTAAAACTTTACATCCACTAGGACTTAACCAGAAATATGGCTAAAGTTAAATACACCAAGAGGAAAAACCCAGATGACCCAAATAATCCGCAACCAAAAGCCAACATCACCTGCAACAGATGTGAACGGAAATTCAAGGATTTAAGCAATTTAAAGAGACACTTCAATCTCACCCACAATCCAACGATCACAAGATATTACTGTGAGATATGTAAAAAATCGTACTGCCGTAAAGATGTTGTAAGGAGACATATTATAAAGGATCCACAAACGGAATACAGTGATTCTTTAATATTTACATGTTCAAATCCACGTGAAACAGCAGAGAAACCGAAGAAATATGTTCCGCCATTCGAGAGCCGCCCAAAATCAACTAAGACCCCTATCTTCAGAATTAAACCAGCAAACAAATATCAAGCAAGTTCACTATTAAAGTCCGCATCCAATGAATCTACAAAAACTGTCTGCCAAGATGAATTACCGGAGTCCTTACCTGTAAAGTCCGCATCCAATGAATCTACAAAAACTGTCTGCCAAGATGAATTACCGGAGTCCTTAAAAAATAGAACAATAACCATCCACGGAATTTATGGACTGTTTAATTAATCATTAAGCATAAATAATGTAATGTAAAGTTTTGTGACAATTTCACACAATTATGGTTGTTAAATTATTAATGTAAAGATTCTAGTCCGCAAGTTGTTATGACGTCCGCATTTTTTATTTACAGAGTAACGTAGTCCGCAATTTTTACTTCATGTATAATCATTTCATGTATATTTGTTCTGATGACGACCGTCTCTGGTCGAAACCGGTCAACCAAATAAATTTACTGCTGCATTCTTACGAAGTGTTGGTGATCTGTTTCATATCGTTTAGTTTATAACTTTAGGTACAGACCCTATTGAATACCTTTTGGTATCCACACTTGAGAATCTTCCGCAATTTGAACCTCAGGGTGTTGGTCTCCAGTTTTTATTGTTTTGTAATTAATTATTAAATCTAACTATTTTATATAAACCTACCCTGTTGTTTGTGAAGTGAATACATAATGCTGATTAATGTCATTCTAGCTATGCTATGGATTAAATGGATATAGACAAGGGAGGTAACCTTTATTATATACCAATTCCAAAAATTCAACGAACCGTGATCATGTCAGAGGAGAGAAAAATGTGAAAATTACAACCGTGAAATTAATCCCCTATACAGTATCTCCCCTTTAAAGAGGACATGGCCCTTTCTTTAAACAAACTTGAATCCCCTTGACCCAAGAATGCTTCAAGGTAAGTTTGTTTGAATTTAGTTCTGGAGAAGTCGAAAATGTGAAACGTTAACAGACGGACAGATGATGGATGACAGGTTATCAGAAAAGTTCATTTGAACCTTCGGTTCAGGTGAGCTAAAAACAAAATGTGTAAAATGACTTGCACTTGATCATTTCCCAGAGTACACAGCAGTAGCTGTACATGTCAGATGCAAAACTTGGTGAACTTTCATTTATTATTTCTGGTGCCATCCAGTTGTATGCCACATCATCAGAATGATTAGATGAAACCGCACTTGTTTTTCCCATTTCACAACGATCACTTAAAAAATTTGTAAATGATGGATTATGTGTCATAATTCTTGTAATAGTAGTATAGTGGAGCCTCAATAATTTGGATGCCAACAATCCAGATGCTTCACCTTCCAGGAAGATTTTTTGGAACAAAATTTACTTTTTTATCTATCAATCACAAAGGGTCTGTTTCAGTAATAGGGACATTTCAATAATCTGTATAATATGCTTGGGAACACAAACATCTGGATTAGTGAGGCTTGAATGTATATTTGTGATTATCTTAGTGAAATAATGATTACATATACTAACAAAAACCCATTTTATGTTTCAGGTGTTAAATACATGCATGTACATATAAATGACTAACACTTCAGAGGTTTAACAAACAAACATTCTATTTACTATAAAATTTGAAACATTAAGTATACTTTATGCTAAAATTTGTATAATATTAATTTTAGTATTTGACAATAAATACATACCGTTCCATCATGTATTCAAAGTTGCCAAGCTTAGCTTGGTGTGGATTTATGATATTGATGGCATGTGATGTAACAAAACAGTGGATCAAGTTTTGTTCATGTAAAAACAACAAAGCATTGCAAATCTGTCTACACACATCAAGTATCTGGTTAGAGTGCATTTTTTCTACCTAGGAAAAAGAGAATTTTAAAAAAAATTGAGTATAGCTTATTTCAACAATAAAAAAAATATTACCACAAGGATACAATATAGGAGCATCCTTCAATGTTCAATGAGGTCTTACTTAAAAGAGTATGAAGAGCATAAAGATGTTAACCAAAGCCCTTACTGACAAGAAAATACAGAACTTCATGACAAACCGTTCAAGTATAACTAAGCCCCACTACTGGTGTAGAGCATGTGTTCAAGTGTATACAGTGGCCTTCAAGCAAGAATCGAACAGGTAAGTGAATATGGAAAACAAATTGTGTTTTTCAAACACTAATGCCCCCATTTGGCAACTCATGGCCAAAGTTAGTTTTTCAAAAGTAGGTCAAACTCCAAGGTCAAGGACATGACATCAAAAATGTTGGTACCCAAAGAAAGACGGTGTCACAAGAAATACACAGTCAAGTGAAATATGAAAACCATCAAAATGTTATGGCCAAGCTTAAAGCTAGGTTAAAGTTTTACAAAAGTAGGTGAAACTCCAAGGTCATGATGTCAAAAGAAAGGTCTCATCTCATCACAAAGAAAAGAAAATTGAAATAAGACAGCCTTTGCACCAACCATTCAAAAGTTATGGCCAAGAATACAGTTTGAGCGGACAAACAGACCTAAAACAATATGACCCCAAATGGAGGCACTGAAAAAGACATTTATGTAAACAATTTAAACATACTTATTTATTTATAATAACCAGCAAACATTGCCTATATAGGTAAACTTAGTTATCTCAAACACAGATATGTTGAATACCCCAGATATGTCGAAGTTGTTTGCCAGCTAGGTGCATGGCCATCCTTAAAAGCACAGTCAGTTGAATTTCACACCTTTCTAAACCAGATAACCCTTCATCGATTGAAAATTTGAGGTCCATAAAACAACCAGTTTATTTATCAAATTTATTTTTTCAGATGACCCAATTAAGCCATTTCACTAATAAATTAATGACACAAAAATTGATCGACAGCTTTGTATATATAATCTTAAATCGGTGTCTGTTGATCTTTTATAAACAAAATCACAGTCCTTTCATCCTAACTGCATTTAACAATACATGTTTGGAACTTTATTAAATATTTCTAGAAAATGAAAACACCAAAGTTTAAAGGCATCTGATTGAATAAAATTCATTTTTATCATCGAATCACACCATATCACAAGACAACGCACTGTGATTAGCAATCTGTTGAAGGACCTTGTTTAAATCCCAGGGGATAGTTTGATCATCTGGTTGTTGTAAAACAAGAGGCCCAAGGGCCTTGAATTGCTCTTCTGATAAACTGTACAACCTATCACTTCTATTTGAAGCCTATAAGTATTCTGTATACATGTATTTAGATAAAGCCTTGAAATTCCAAAGGTAGGTGATCATGACCTACATTTTAGATAAAACACTCTGAGAACCCAAGATGATTCTAAGCCAATTATTACCTGAGAGTAGGTCATAGTGACCTACTTATCACTTCTCCGAGGACCCAAGATGCATCAAGTAAGTTTGATGATTCTAAGCCAATTAATACCTAAAATATTTTAAAAATTATAACCATAAAATTTCAAAAGTAGGTCAAGGTGACCTACTTTTCAGATGACATACTTTGAGGACCCAAGATGCATCAACTGACAAAGTTTGTTGATTCTAAGCCAATAAGTACCTGATATATTTAAAAAAAGCTGAAAAAAATTCAAAAGTAGGTCACAGTGACCTACATTTCAGTCAACTTACTCCGAGGACTCAAGATGCATCAACTGACAAAGTTTGATGATTCTAAGCTAATTAGTACCCGAAATATTTCATTATAGCCATATAAATTGAAAAAGTAGGTCACGGTGACCTACTTTTCAGTAGACGTACTCCGAGGACCCAAAAGCTTCAACTGACAAAGTCTGATGATTCTAAGTCAAATAGTACCCAAAAAAAATATTAAATACAGCCATAAAATTTCAAAAGTAGGTCACAATGACCTACTTTCCAGTTGTAATACTCTGAGGACCTAAAATGCATCAACTGATGAAGTTTGATGATTCTAAGCCAATTTGTACCTGAAATATTTAATTAAAGCCATAAATTTTCAAAAAGTAGGTCATGGTGACCTAATTTTCAGTAGACGTACTCCGAAGACCCAAGATGCATCAACTGAAAAAGATTGATGATTCTTAGCCAATTAGTACCCAAAATATTTAATTATAGTCATATAAATTGAAAAGTAGGTCACGGTGACCTACTTTTCAGTCGACCTACTCTGAGGACCCAAGATACATCAACTGACAAATTTTGATGATTCTAAGCAAAATATTACCTGATAAAATATTAAATACAGCCATAAATTTCAAAAGTAGGTCAAGGTGACCTACTTTTCAGTTGTCATACTCCAAGGACCCAAGATGCATCAACTGACAAAGTTTGATGATTCTAAGCCAATTAGTATCTGAAATATTTAATGAAAGCCATAAATTTTCAAAAGTAGGTCACGGTGTCCTACTTTTTAGTCGACTTACTCCGAAGACCCAAGATGCATCAACTGACAAAGTTTGATGATTCTAAGCCAATTAGTACCCGAAATATTTAATTATAGTCATATAAATTAAAAAGTAGGTCACGGTGACCTACTCTGAGGACCTAAGATACATCAACTGACAAATTTTGATGATTCTAAGCCAAATAGTATCCTAAAAATTTCAATATAGCCATAAAATTTCAAAAGTAGGACACAGTGACCTACTTTTCAGTTGACATTTTTTGAGGACCCAAAATGCATCAACTTACAAAGTTTTATGATCATAGGTCTTAAAATGTCCAAATTATGCCTCTAAAATGCTATGAAATCGAATGCCTGCAAAGTAAAAGTAGGTCACTGTGACCTACTTTTAAATAAATGTTTTATGGCCTCAAGATGCATCATCTTACAAGATTTAATGATTCTAAACCTCTCAGTATTCAAATTAATGACCTTAGTTGTTTTGAAAAAGATTAGCCATAAAATTCAAATAGTAGGTCAAGGTGACCTACTTTTAGTTGACCTACTCCGAGGAACCAAGATGCATCAACTGACAAAGTTTGATGATCATCGGCCTTAAAATGTTCACAATATGCCTCTAAATCATTTTGAAAAAGATTGGCTGCAAAATTTAAAAAGTAGGTTACAGTGACCTACTTTTGAGTCAACATGATATGAGGTCCTTTAAATGCATCAACTGACAAGATTTAATGATCCTAGTCCTTGTAGTAAGCAAAATATCAACATTTTAATAAAATGTAATTTTTGGTCAACTTTGAAGTGACCTGAGACCATGCCCTTTGCCCCAGGGTGATGCCTTGAACAATTTTTAATCTACAACATATCCTCATCCTTTTGTGTAAGTTTGGTGATAATCTGCCCAATGGTTCTTGAGAAGAAGACTTTTTAACAATCAGTACTTTTGTTTCTATTTTCCTAATTATCTCCCCTTGTTTAAGGGTCACAACCCTAGTTTTAGTATAAATGGGAGCCCTTGTGCCAAGGATACCCTGTGACAAATTTGACAATAATTGGCCAAGGGGTTCTTGAGCTATGGCCCATATTCTAAAAAGTTTATGCACACTGCACAAATGGCCATAGCATTAGCTCTTTGAGCCTCTGGCTCAGAAGAGCTAACAAGAGGCCCAGGGGCCACATCGCTCACCTGAGCACTGTGGCTAGGAAAAAAGAAAAAAATCAGTTTAGTTTTGAAAAGCTTAAATGCATAACTGGTCCCAACCTACCCCAAAAAGGGAGTGGGGGGTATGATTTGAACAAAATTAAATCTACACTTACTAATGATGCTTACGTAATTCTTTGACTAACTGTGGCATTTTTCTCTACAAGTTTGAACTTTCATTGTGGCCCAACCCTACCCCTGGAGGTCATGATTTGAACAAACTTGAATCTACACTATCTGAGGATGCTTCCATATAAATATGACAAACAGTGGCTTTGCTGTTCTTGAGAATATTTTTAGAAGATTTTTCCTATATATTCCTATGTAAAACTTTGATCGTTCATTATGGCCCCACCCTAGCCCCGGGGGTCATGATTTGAACAAACTTTAATCTACACCGCCTGAAGATGCTTCCACATAAATATAACCAATCATAGCTTTGCTGTTCTTGAGAAGATTTTTGAAGATTTTTCCTATATACACCTATGTTAAACTTTGATCGTCCATTGTGGCCCCACCCTATCCCTGGGGGTCATGATTTAAACAAGCTTGAATCTACACCACCTGAGGATGCTTCCACATAAATATAACCAATCATAGCTTTGCTGTTCTTGAGAAGTATTTTGAAGATTTTTCCTATATACACCTATGTTGAACTTTGATCGTCCATTGGGCCCCACCCTACCCCTGGGGGTCATGATTTAAACAAGCTTGAATCTACACCACCTGAGGATGCTTCCACATAAATATGACCAATCATAGCTTTGCTGTTCTTGAGAAGAAGATTTTTGAAGATTTTTTTCTATATATTCCTACGTAAAACTTTGATCGTCCATTGTGGCCCCACCCTAGCCCCGGGGTCATGATTTGAACAAACTTGAACCCACTCCACCTGAGGATGCTTCCACATAAATATTACCAATCATTGCTTTGCTGTTCTTGAGAAGAAGATTTTTGAAGATTTTTCCTATATATTCCTATGTAAAACTTTGATCCCCCATTGTGGCCCCACCCTACCCCCGGGGGTCATGATTTGAACAAACTTGAATCTACACTACCTGACAATAATTCACATGAGTTTCATCTTTCCTAGCCCATTGGTTCTTGAGGAGAAGATTTTTCAATAATGCAATTAATTTTTTGCTATTTAGTAATTATCTCCCTTTGGAGGAGGGCGTGGCCCTTCATTTGAACAAACTTGAATCCCCTTCACCCAAGGATACTTTGTGCCAAGTTTGGTTGAAATTGGCCCAGTAGTTCTGGAGAAGAAGATGAAAATGTGAAAAGTTTACGACAACAACGCCAACGACAACACCAACGACGACGACAGACAACGGACAAATTACGATCAGAAAAGCTCACTTGAGCCTTCGGCTCAGGTGAGTTAAAAAGTAAATGAACAGTTCACATTAATGAAACAAAGTATCATGTATCAGGGGTAAAAAGAATATCCTGACTTAAGCCACCATTCCCAAAAATTACAAATTTCTGTCAATACATCAACATGATTAAAAAATCTCTATGTTTATTTTATTTCTCATGTTTGTGTATAAAAATATTAATGCTTTACAATGTTAGGTTTAAATATTCATTTCTTGATTAAATAATGTGCAACAGATTTTTTTTTAAATTTGATCCAGCATTTAACCATCTATAATGAAGGTTATCGTATCTGGTTTTCAGTTTATATTAAGCGCCGTATGCAACATCCTACGCTGGCTGTATTGCAATCTCAAGACCCAATACATGCATGTTAACTTCACTGCTTTACTTTTGTTTTACTTTGGTAGCCATTGTTGAAACCACTGGGTCAAAAAATCTTAGGGTTTTTTGGGTTTTTTTAGATACATGTATTGCGTGATTTGAACTGGGAGCATTCAAATGCTTTTTTTGGGTACTAATATTAACAAAGCACATTGTTGACATTGGTTATGATAAATCACGTTCTTGACATTGGTTATTATAAATTTCGTTGACATCCCTGCTAAGAAAAAGGGAGATAGTATTCTAGAATCTGGATGAAAACTATTGACATCTTTCATAAAAGTAAAAAAAAGGGGAACCAGCATTCATTTAATTCTTTTTTTGCATCTGAACTTTAATTACTTTTGGTCATCTTGAGTGATCTATTTTTATTTAATGAAATACAAACAAGTTTTAAATCTGAGCTGGTTAATGTCATTATTTGTTCCCCTATTTAGTGACTAAATGAACACTGACAATCCAGCTTCCAGGCTGTATCAACAAAAAATCACTCCTGTTAAGGATAAAGCAGCCACTCAAAGCTAGAGCGATGAGTACAATGATCATAATTTTTAAGCAATTAAGCTGGATAATGGTTGAACCTTATAAAACCTCAAACCAATATGACATTCACAATTAATAAAATGCACATTTCCAGCATTTAATGATGCATACCTTTTGGTGTAAGTGGTAATACAGGGAACCATAAGCTACACTTTCAAACACCAAAACAATACCATCCAGGTTGTTGGTCTGACAGATACCCATCAACAGCAGCAGATTGGGATGTCTTAATTTTCTGCAACACAATTTTTTAATGAATAATGTGCCTTAAAATTTACAATATACTTGGATATGTGTGTAAATTTAAATGCACTGGGTTTACCCCATATAGTCAGCTTCTTTGATCAACAAGTCAACCTCTGTTCCAGCTTCCACATCTCTATGTAATCTCTTTGCAGTAACTTTTGTGTGTTTCCAAAGCATGCTAAAAAAGGGCCACATTCTTTTGTTATTTACAGTAGTACATTTATTTATCCTTCAGAAAATTAGACATTAAACTAGCTGACTTACATGTAGCTAGGTAGGATACAAATTCTATTGATTAGGCCTAAAAAAAAAAATTGTGTGTTTCGGGTAACCCGACCTAACCTATAAAAATGTGCCGATCCTAACATTTTTTTCGATGTCCGTATTTATCCGATTAAAATTCCTATTATTTCTATGTAAAATCCGTTTTTATCAGAATATTTTTTTCTCGTTCCTAAGAAACCTCTTTAAAACGCTTAGGCTTTCAGTGAACATTATCGATATTTAAATCAACATGCAAGCATTTTATGACGGGTCCGAGAGCATGGAATGGGAAATCTTTTCGATAATTTTACACTGATATTTCTATAATTTAAAAGTTTTGTGACATAGCTGAAATGGTATTGGCTTGTTACGTTCCGACTATGTGTTCGACCCGCGTGATTTCGTACCTGAGTTGCGTATGTATAAGCCAACGTGTGTGTATACAAGCACACAGGTGAACGTATGAACCAACGTACACTTGTGTGTACAAACACACAGGTGTGTAGGAAACATACTGGTGTATGGTAGCTGTCAGTAGAGAGTAAATGGCTTAATAGATGTACGTGTCAATTAGATTGATTCTGTCATACAAACAGCACGAATAATGAATAAGTGCTTAAAATATTTTCTATCTAAGTATCTTTCAAAAAGATTTTTCTTAAAATCATAGATTTTGATGAATTTGTGTTAGAATAATTAAGATGGGTTTTTTTTTCATAAAACAAAGCCTGTTTGAATGTTTTGGAAAGAAGTAAACAATATTACTAGATAATTAACATTAACACAATTATAGCCTTCTTTGAATATCGAAAACCTAGGTTCACTGGTAAAAAAATATTATTGCTTCAAAATTACAATAATGAATTGTATAAATAAAGATGATATTGTTCAGAATTCAAACTGCATACGAAATGCAAATACATGTATAATATTTTTGACCAAGTTTCAGACTATTGTTACAAATCTTGCGTACCCACAACTTGACAATTAAGGGTCGAACTCATATTTGGAACTTAACCACTCGCATTTACTGAAATGAAGAGAAAATGGAAAAAAAATAAAATGATATGAAACTCTGTAAAATTTAGTTGTCTGATGTTTTTCAAACATGTTGGAGTTAAATACAATATAAAATTATATTCTCATTATTTTCTATTAACATTTCAGTGGTCATAAATAAAAAAAAAATTCAAAAAAAAAAAAATTCCCTACCTACCTACCCCAATTTTTTCATCAGTGTTACCCGAAACACACAATTTTTTTTTTAGGCCTTATGTAAACTTCCAAACCATCTTTCAAATGCGTTTTTATAACATTATCTTGAAGTAACCTCTGCATCACTATATTTGGTCCATTGTCATAGGTTGTTCCATCTGCATCATGTATCAACACATTGTCACTTACTAGAGGAATGGTACTCACGAAACCACCACAAGTATCATGATCAAGGTAAACCTTGAAAATAGAGATAAACTGTTGTCAAAATATCAGTTTCTTACTCATCTTTTGAAATAATTGACATTAGCTACTAAATATTTCCTTTCCTTTATTTTGTCTTCAGTTATGTTCTAAATTCTCAGTGTCATTCAGATCAAGCTTGTAAAAAATCATTCACAAATGTCTACTTATATAATTTAAAACAAGCCTTCTTCAATATTTTTAAAGTACCTTTCCATATCCGAGACTAGCAGAACTTTTCAGATCATCAAGATTCACACTAGACTGGCCTCTGATTCTTTCATTAAACATTCTTACCACTGGGTTATTTCTAATGCGGGCAATGACTCTGCTTGAACAACAAATTTAAGAAGAGCTAGAAAAGAATACCCTATAGTCTTCTAAACATGTCTCCTTGAAAACATACACATTCTAAATAGATAATTTTGAGAGTGCTGTGCACTGTACAGGATCAGGTCTTTTAATTATTTAAATTAGGCTTTAAATTATTATTGCAGCCATTGTCAATAACCAGAAATGAGACCTACAATGCAATTGAACAACACTAACCATAGCTGTCTTGCTCTAATGTAGAAATTTAATACTCAATATATAAAATCAATAAATTTCAATTCTCTCATTGTACATAATGAAATAATACATAATTAGGAATCTGGACCAAATAGAATCCATGCAGCTGTTTTGAAAACTAGCATTTTGATCTAATTGGAGACTTTTTCTTACAAATAAGTTTTGGTTGTTTTTTTTCATCAACATGCTATCTAGTTTTCACAGAAACAGCAAATAATTGGAATTTTTCTAAGTCCAAGGGGCATAACTCTGTCAAAAATTGCTCGATTGTACCCAAAACAGAACCTGACCTAGATATTCTTATGATGAATCTGTATACCAAATTTCATTTCAGTATGTGCAACCTCTGTGAAGAAAATGAACAGAAACTGCAAATAATTGGAGTTTTTCTAAGTCCAAGGGGCATAACTCTGTCAAAAATCGTTCGATCATACCCAAAACAAAACTTGAAGTAGATATTCTTATGATAAATCTGTATACCAAATTTCATTTCAGTATATGCAACCGCTGTGAAGAAAATGAACGGAAACTGTTGGTGGACCGACCGACAGACATCAACAAAGCAATAATTGCCCTCCCTTCTTCGAAGGGGGGCATAAAAATACTTAACAAGATCTAGAAGAAAATAAGAATCAACTGATATCTCTCAGAATTTTCTCAACTTCCTCAATTTCAATGTAATTAAGTTTTACTGTACTTGTAACGAACTAAAATTAATTTACTAGAATAGTTGTAATTTACAAGAGCATCTAAGTCCAAAACAGAAACAATTGACATCACTCTTGATATACCTATTTCCATGTTCGTTGTGTGTTGTATCCCGAAAATCATGGCCAGATTTTGTCAATGCAAACAACCTTGTTTTTTCTAAAAACTCAATCATTCTCAGTCTCTTTTTGTGGTTAGGCTGCATTAATGCCCAGTCTTTTGTTGTGCGACCATCTTTATCATGTAGTCGGAGATCTCCATTATGAGACAGTAGTTTTGAGAGGATTTCCAAATTTCCACAAAGAGCTGCGACATGCACAGGGGTTGCCCCACTATTACTTTTCCTAAAATAAGGAGGGAAAACTTTTAAAATCTAAGCTCAAATAATTTCACTTTACTTCTTGTGTCAAGTATATGTCATTACATACAAGTGAGATACAGTCATCTACACAAATTAAATCAAGAACTTATACATGAAAGGAAAATAAAACTCTACTTCCTACACTTTTATTTATTTTCTTTAACTCTCCAAAATTGTTATAAAATAAAAAAAAATTACTCATTTGGATTTGCTCCATTGCTAAGCAAGACATCAACTGTTCCTTCCTGATTTTCATAGCAAGCACAAAAGAGGGCTGTTTGTCCAAGACTGTTTGGATAATCAACTGAAATGCCTAACAGAATAAACGTGCTATTACACATCTGAATTAAGTTTTGCATCCTGATATATCTATATACACTGGATGCTAATTCTTCTATAGCTATGAAGACTGCTAGGCAGTGATGCTTATCCTTGTATAACTCCTCATTGTCTTGCAAAGTAAGCTGTATCTATTAAGATACTGGTGTGAAACAATGAAGACATTAAAATACATGTGCATACACAGATCTAATTAGATCTGTTTATTCTAGTAAAACTCAAGTGCCAAATCAGGTCAGCATTCACTCAATGCTTCCTCTCATAGTGAAGCTAAATAATTCAGTGAGGCAAAGGGACATGACTTTTGCTGTGAACTTGTCTAACCCTCAAAATCATAGAAGACCATGTCAAAAGTAAGTAAAAAACATTATTGTATACATGTACTAGCTTATTTTTTTTTTTAATTTTTATTACATTCATTCATCCAATGAAAATTTTGTGTGCAGAATCTAAGGACTCAATGTTATATTCATGAACATGCACTAGTTCCTATACCTGTGGCTAAAATTTTCTTCAATCTCTTTCTATTGCCATGTTTTGCAGCTGTGTGCAAATCATTGCCGAGTTTGTCGTTGGGATCCATTCTTCCAATCTGAACTGCATCTGTTGCCATTTTATTTTTGTATAATTTCTTTAAAAAAAGAAAAGAATTTTATCTATTAATTCATCTCACCAATTTGTATCAGCATTATGTGTTTAGATAAAATTATCTTGAATAGTTTCTTTGAAACTGAGCTAAACAAAAACTAAAGAAAAGTGAGGTCAAGGTAAAAGGAAAAGTCAAGGTAAAAAATGTTGATGCAGTCGAACAACTCTCATCAATATGTATCAGCATATGAAGCTTGATAAAAATATCTTGGATAGTTTCTTGGAAACTGAGCTATACACAAATTTAAGAAAAGTGAAGTCAGGGTCAAAGGAAAAGTCAAGGTCCAAAAATGTTGATGGAGTTGAATAGCTCTCATCAATATGTATCAGTATATGAAGTTTGATAAAAATAATTATCTTGAAAGTTTTTTTTTTTTTTTTTTTTTTTTTGCAAACTGACTCGCTAAAGCGCAAAGCATGATGAATGGACAAATGGAAGAACAGAAAGACAGACATGACAAACACTATATGCCCCAGCCATATTCATGGCAGCTAGGGTATAATAAAACAATAACATTAGATAAATTTTTTTGCAAATCATTATGAAGGTTTCGTACAACACAATTTGATCCTTGGGCCTGGTCCCTCCAGATTAGGAAAAGTTATGAATATTTATCAACTATTGACAAATTAGACCTCTAGTATAAACATTTATACTAAACGTAATTCCTTCAGGACCTCCTGGAAGTCCATATATGTACTTTATATAGGTCGAAAACAGTTACAAGATCTGAAGATGCTTTTAAATTTTTTCAAAGAAAACTGCACCCTCCTAATGTGACGGCTATGGCATGCCAATTTCACAAAAATTAGCGAAACTTAGTTTCACAGTTGATAAACTAGGTTTATCGACTGTAAACTATAGTTTACAAACCGTGAACTATAGTTAACGATTCGTTAACTATAGTTTACGAATACTAATCTAAGTTTATCTTTCTGTAATTTAACGTTAACAATAAATTTTGTTGATAAACATAGATTCACATCTGTAAACTACAATTTACAATCGTGAACTATAGTTAAGAGTTGTTAATCATAGTTTCACAAATCGTGAAACTATATTTATTAGATAAACTATGTTTTACATTTGTTAATTATAGTTTTCGGTTGTAAACTATAGTTTAGAGTTGTGAAATATAGTTTCACAGAAAATTATGCATCTCCGATACAAAATCCGAGATTCTGTTTGTAAACTGTGTTTCTCAAATGTAAAACTATATTTATCACAATTTTGTGAATTCGGCACCTTAAATATCCGTTAACTATAGTTTACAATCGTAAACTATAATTAACATTCGTTAACTATAGTTAAGAGTTGTAAACCATAGTTTACAAATTGTGAAACCGAATTTATTAGATAAAGTATGTTTTGCAATTGCTAATGATTGTTTTCGGTGCTAATTATAGTTTATGCTTCTGAAACATAGATTATCGTGTTAACTATGGTTTGCAGATGTGAAATATAGATCAACGTCGTTAACTATAGTTTACAATCCGTAAACTATAGTTTACAGTCGATAAACCTAGTTTATCGACTGTGAAACTAGGTTTAGCTCATTTTTGTGAATTTGGCGTGCCATAGACGGCATATATGATATAAATGAAGTGAACATAAATAACCTAGATTATATATTATTTTATTAGCTGACACATATTTAATCTTTTTGAGCTCTGATTTTTAATATTTTTATATATAATATACAAGTTTGCAATAAATCAACGTAATAATCTTTCTTTCTTTTTAGGAAATGTATTCTAATAATAATTTGAGCAAATGAAGCAAATCTCTCATCGTGGAATCTTCTCAAGAAAAATCCTTAACATGACATGTTAAGGATTTTTCTTGAGAAGATTCCAACTTCTTCGGGTTCTTATTATTTTCGGGATACAAAGTCGCTGGATTGGTAGCCCTCAATTCTGACGTATTTCAGGTTTTATTCACGAATTAGACATTTGACTTGCCTTTCAACGTTTCAGGTCAAATATCCAAATCTGGAATAAGGCACGGAAAATGTTAGATATCTATAGGCCTATATGACATGGCAAACTTCAGCTGTTCAGTCAATCAGTGGTCCATAAATATTTAACTTCGAAACATTGACAGAGGAATGTCAGAATAACTTACCTAGCAAGCTCCAATATAACCCATGTTAAGCATCGCTAAAGAGTCAAATCCTCAAAAGCTGGAATCGTAAATCATTTTTCAAACAATTTCACCTTATTTACAAGTTTACAGACGACAGTCTTATTTCCATGCATTTTCGCGCGAAATGTCATTCGGAACTCCTTGAGACTCATAGTTACTGTAAAGCTTTACCTGCTTGATGACGTTTTTTTTATCACTTTACATCTTTTTTTTATAATTAATTGATTTAGAGATAGGTGTAATTGAACTGAACCTATCTTTAATTATAAAGATACTGACAATAATAACTTCTCCCCATAAAAATGCACTGTGCAGTTCCCTCCATGTTCAAGTCGCTGTTAAAGGGAGCTTTCATATTTTCAATAACGAATTGAACCTAGGTATAATTGAATTGTACCTATCTTCAAATCGTTTGTGGATATGTTCTAATTGTACCTATCTTCAAATCAATTGTACCTATCTTCAAATCAATTGTACCTATCTTTAAATCAATTATACCTATCTTCATATGAATTAGAGATAGGTATAATTCCATTAAAGATAGGTATAATTTATTTGTACCTAGGTATAATTATTTAGAGATAGGTATAATTATTTACACCTATCTTCAATTAAATTGTACATTTGAAAATAGGTACAATTATTTGAAGATAGGTACAATTATTTGAAGATAGGTACAAATATTTGAATATATGTTAATTTGGCATTCCATAAAAATAGGCGAAAAATGAACTTTCACATTCACATGTACAGTATCATGCCAAATAAGAATTACTTTCTTTAACAGCACACAAGTGATATATAAATAAGAATTATATAGCATGCACAAGTACATGGTCATTTTTAATCTGTTAGAATGTTTTTATTCACCATATTTTAAATTTAGTCATCTCATTTTATTACAATAAATACTTCTACAATGAAATCTTTAACAAAAATTAAACATTTCATATAGATCACATTAAACATGACTTTTGACATAGGCTATTATTTTTTTACAGCTATTACCATTTCACTTGCTCATGAAACCCTGAAAAATAAAATCTAGGCCTGTCCAAAACAATATGAACTGGTATTCAATACAAAAAGTTGTAATGTTTTCATTTGCATGCCAGATAGCTCAAAGCTCATGATCTAATGTATGTATCTTATGTATCTAGCAAGCAACTTAAACATGTCCAACATTTTGTGCACATAAACAAATCATTTTTATATAAATGGCCTAGATACAATGTTTCTCTTAGTCATATATGGCATTTTTTTTATAAGTTCATACTAACTAAAATTAAAAAGATCTTTCCATTTGTTTTATTACTTTATATAAAGATAGGACTTTTCTGTAAATTACACAATTTAAATCATTCGCGTTTCATAGATATTAGAAATTTAAAACAATAACCTATTTATTTACTGACTCCGCATTTAAATATCAGACACAGTTTAAAGTCAATTTAACCATAGAAACTTGGGGTTATTCAAGTTCAGAATTGGTGAAAATTTTAATTTGATCGTAAATAACAAATATCATGTTCATCTGCATTCAATCTCATATTTTTATTTTCTAAATCAGATACACCATATATAGCTTTAAATGTCAAAAACATTTTATCTGCAAGTATAATAAAAACAAAATCTGATTTTTATGGGCCTCTACTGTAGTCAACATCTTAAGTTTGTTATATTATTGTATTAAGAAAACAACATGCAGAACAGTTTATATATACATTTATATTGTAAAAGAAAAACACAATCGTATAATTGTAAAAGCTGGAATAGAATAACAATTACATAAAATATGAATTTTGTACACACACATAATACATTCATGTATATAATACTATGTACACTTTCTCTTCACAAAATAAGCACATCTTTTATCATAACACATGTAATCACATGTAGATAAATAAGTAATTGTGTAAAATCACAAAAAAATAATTAACAACTCTGTATTAATGAACAAAGTTGGTATATTTTTAACAAACACAAAACCATCTCTGCAATCTAGAAGAAAGTAATTAATATATACAATTTAGTAACAGGTAAATCTTTATATTTCTATTTTTTTGAAAACAAATTCCTGTCAACTCTGTGACATGGAAAGAATGTTGGAAACTAAGACATTCCTGCTAAAATAAATAGACTTACAATGCTGTATCTGACAACTTTCTACATGAAGAATACTTCTACAAATATCATTTGAATCAGGCTTCCATGGATGAAGTTTTCTGGAGGGTTTTTGAGAATCACACAGGTCTACCATAAAATGTAAAGAGCTAGGTTCACTTTATGCATAAAATGGCCCTGTAGATATACCAATTTATTGACTAACACTTAATGTTCCATTTTAAACATCAAGATAAAGTAGAGACTTAGTGCTTTCATTTCCTATTAAAAAAATTCTCCTTAAAGCCAAGGTCTTGGAATACAGGCTCCATGGAATTGCAATGTTCTTGAATTTTAAGGAAAACAAGTATATTTGAGTACTTTCACAGAAGAGAAATAATATGAGCACACCCTCTGATCTAAAAAATAAAACATGTTTTGTAATCCTCAGAAATTTTTCTATCCTTTAATAGTTGCATATTTTAGATCAGAGGTTGCGCTCTATATTAAATATTGAAAAATAGCTTTAAAAATTGGCTGTTTTTGTAGAATTTTTCAGGATATGAGGAAAATGACGTCATTTTTGATAGACTCGCAGTCATCAAAGGTCTAAATGATATTTAATGCATTTTCAACTTAAACCAAGCAATTTTAGTTTTTCTGAAATTCACAGGGCCAAAAAAGGCCCTAAGTGAACCTTGTTCTTTATATATATAACCTACATGTATTTAATATCTAAAACTATCAGCCCAGAGCTGCATTCCAGATAGTGGCAGCTAGCCTAGGTGCCAAGTTAGATATCTAGGTCATATTGTGTGAATTAATGCTTGTTTGGCTAGGCTAGCATACCAAAATCATGGAGGCTATGTAGAGCCACTAAGATCTTGAATACAGCTCGGTTGTTTTGTTATGATGTCATGTAAGCATAATACATGTATCAACTATCAAACAACACTGTGAATGTTAATAATCACGATAACAACACAATTTATTCCATTTAGTCTTCATCTGATAACAAAGTGTACAATACATATATGATATTGCTTGAAATGAGGCAGCCCCAGTCTATATGGTATGTACAGGATGCTGAACTGATGAAGCTGGTGGAAGAATTATGGGTTTTCTATCACTGGGGGCCTGCTCTGCACTGTCTCGTGGCTTTCCTATAAGAAAAATAACTTATCCTATAGCAATAACAATCACTTCAAAGGCATGTACAATTCAGTTTTTGAGATTTTTTTTTCATATTGAATTTAGAAGAAAAAAATAATAAAAACATACAACCAAGAAAGAAAAATAAGCAAGAATGTTGGGAATTAAATTCTGTATTGATCATACTTCTACTTTCCTAAATTCTGGATTTAGACATCATAGAATGCAATAATAGCCATATTATAATACTATTCTAGATGTCTTTAGGTCGAGCACACATGCACATTCTCAAACCATGCTTCATTTTTCTCTTAGTTAAAATTAACCATTAAAAATAGTGAATCTAAACAATAAATCAAATGTTTTTGTCCATAGGAATTTTCTGATAATTTTCTATTTATAAACACAAGTGTATTAATTTCCATCAGAGATCTTCAAGTTCTATTACATGTATTGTTATTGCATACTAGTTTACATATATATGTCAACTTGTTACAATATACTATGTGCAAAACAAATTTATGCATTTACACAAGTAACTAGTAACTATGTAGAAGTTGTTTTCAAATAGAACATTATTTCTATAAATTAAAATCAAGTTGTTATCATTTTACAACTGCAAATAAATCTACTAGTACATTTGTTGTAACCATGTTTTCCTACATATAAACAACCATTTATAATTATTATTACAAAACATCGCTGAATGGTCTTTGGCATTTCAAAGTGCTTTAAATTATTATTTACTGTTGAACATACATAACCTTTTCTTTTATAAAAAAAAAAAAAAAAGGTCACAGCAAGCGAGCAAAATAGAAAAATAATTTTCCAATGAAAGGCTGTCAAGTATGAATCAAGAAATTAAATTAGCATTATGTGGGAAGGTCTGGTAAATATCATAAAGTGCAGAGGTTAGAGGGATAACAAGCTGTAAGATCACCATACTTATAAGAAATCTACTTTAAAATGACCAATGATAAAGTTTGGGGGATTCATCATTCCTATTGAGGTCCATACGTGAAAGCTGGAAAATTGGATTCAAGCTGACTATACAATCCTGTAACATTCTGATTAAATAAAAGTCCCAAGTTCCAAACCAATCCCATTCCCAGGTCATGCAGATTTACTTACTTGTGATGTAACAAACTGAATGGGTGCAGAGGGCATTATATCTGGGTGCAACAAAAGTGGAACAGGGGGGTCATGATTAATGTGGCTTTTATGCACGGAGACATGTGGATGGTGCCCCACTGAGGAGCAGTAGGGCTGACTAAGATAGTGTGACAGGGCCATATGAGGCTGTGGGGACGGGGAATCACCCTCTTCAGATGACCCACGGTAGTAGTCTGAAATACGACCAGTTAATACTCTCGTTATTGCCTGATATTTACATGCTGCTGTGGAATCTGTGAGATTACATATTATTTTCAATTCTGAATCAATAAAAACAGCAGAAAGCATATATTTAAATTATGTAGATTAGTATTCAAAAGAAAGTCTCAAAATTAGTTTATATTTTTATAACTTTTATTACCATGACTGTGTTCCTTAACAACAGTGATGCCCTCTAGTGGAACCTCAGGTGGGATTTGAGAGGGAGGTGACTCCGCTGTAGACTGCTGCTCATGTAGTGTCTGAGCTACTGGTGCAGTTGTACTAGGAACAGGTTGAGAGCTGATCACTGGTGTCTCCTCTAGAATAAAAATCAAGAACATGATACAGTCAATTACTTGTAGAATCCATCCTCATATACTTTTCAGTATCAAACAAAATACATATGATTAATATTTACAACTAGATTTTTGAATAATTGTGTTACAAAATGTACACATGTTTAAATAATCTCTAGGTGCTATATGTACAGAAATCACAATCAAAGGAGAAAGAGACAATAGTAAAGGAACAAGCATTTCTAGTAAGAAACTTTTGAAAACCATTAGATATACATGTAGATCTACATACAAACATAATTCTTTGCCCCCTTTTTGAATTATGTGGAATTTCATTACTAAACAGATTATAAAATATTGACATGTATATATATGATATGAACCTGAATTTTTGGGTTTAAAGAGCTCTTTTTGCAAATGAGGTAAGAAAGTATCTATTCTGTCCCATGTAAGTTTCCAGAGTTGTGACTCGCCACCATCTGATGTGTGGAATATATTGGCAGTGTCCATCACCAACAGCATGTTCTTCAAGGACTCTGGTATAGCCTCAGACTGTCAAATAAATATCCACCAATACTTCAGTTATAAATAACTCTAACTTAACCAAACATTTTCAATACCTGCCATTGAGAAATTTTTTTTTTTAAACTTCTCATTGGTATTAATTTTTTTTACTTGCACAACACATAAATAAATAGAGGATATTCAATATTTTGTACTTGGATATGGAATTTATTTCACAAGTGGGGCAGGATTTTTTATATATATTTAATATATATATTATTTATTTTCACAAGTACAAAGCATGAGTGTAAATATAGAAGAAATCCTGTCTCACAAGTGAAATAATTTTCACATCCAAGTTCAAAAACAAAAAAAATTCTGTTTATTACGTTTTCTTTGGTTTTCCCTTTGCCTGTTTTTTCATAAAACTGTGTGGCTTACATTATATTTGAGCATTTATGAGATATCATATATGTATCTCAATATGCTAGTAAATTGTAAGAATAAAATTTTAAACATGGATTTTAACAACAATTTGGAGAAATTTTGTCAATTTTAGCCTATGTCAGGATGGTTACATTCACTATACATGTACTCTCACTAACTTATAACAGGGAGCATTTTTTAATGACACTTTGGTGAAGGGAAGGAACATCTTGATTTTGCAGCATTTTTGATATTTTTTCACAGGAAAAAATATCACTTTGATATTTTTTCACTGTGAAATATCACTTTCATTAGATAGATCAATTACAGTATTTCACTTTTGAACATGTAATAAACACTTCTCCACTCTGATTATAATGAAGGAGTGTGAAGACTACATGCTGACTTACCAGTAGGTCACTGTTGTCAGTATGCATGTATTTGTCCATAAAATCTAGAATTGTCAGCCACAAAGCAGTGAAGGTGCTTAGTGACAATAGGGGGCTCAAGTGCTGGAGGAATACCTGAAACAAATCAATCACTTGTATTGATGGATGATATTGATATACTGAGAGCATTCCCATCTTACCAGTCAGCTGCTTAATTAGTTGGATTTTTACATGGCATCTATTTATTTCAGTCAGCATAGGTATGCTGTATCATCGCTTAAAGACTGATTAGATCTTGTGATTAATTTTTTTACCTTGCAGAGTAATGTGGAGGCTCTCATTCTGGTCTCTTCCATGCCAGAGGGGTCCTGAACATTGATGTTCTCCAACAGCTTTGTCAGGAGGGGGAATAATACCTAGTGCAACAAGAGGGAAGTGTAATCATTAGCTTGCTACATATATTTTCTATTACATAATCTTTTTCTGATACTATAAACTAAATGTGCACAATTCCAGAGTCAGGTAATCCAACCTTGTTAAAACAAGCCTCCCATTCAGCTGCTGACAGAGTTTGAAGGTCGTGAACTAACAGTGCCCTCTGTAGATATGTTAATGCCTGACTCCTGACCTGTCTCCTAGTATCACAGCATAACCTGGCTATTCCTAGAAAGGCATTGCATATATATTTTAAACATTTTTTGGTTGATGTTTTACAAAAATCTAAGTATTCACTTGATACAAGTTTTGGATGTAGTAAAAAAAAAAGGTACTTTAATACTGACTGGTTTTCCAAAACCATGATTGACAAGCATATAAGACTAATATGCAATATAGTTGTATTTTCTATGTTTGGGGAAGAAAACAGGGCTCACCTTGCAACAAAGGACACCAGCACTTTACCCATAATGCACTATGACAAGCATCAATTGCTTCCCTCTCTTCATTATTCTCCTCCTCTGCCCACGATGTAAATATAGTGGCAGCACGTGTATGGAGTGTGTGCATTAGATCCAACAGCTGAATTGATAATGAGGCTAAACTTCCCCCTGTTCCTTCCTCCTCCCCCTCATCATCTGAGGGGAAAATACTCTGGATATGACTTGGTGAGGAAGAAGACTTCTTCATTTTCCCTGTATCTTTCTTTGATTTTTTATGTACATGTTTGCTTTGTGGTTTTTGTTGTCTTGGAAAAGCAGGCATCCTTCTTCTACCTGGAATACCAAAATGAAAATTTTAGTCATGGCAGAGCTAATATTATATTCAACAAAGTTTAAATCACAAAAATAAAAAATAGATAATATGAATGAATGGATTTTAGTTGCCAGCAAATTATTTGCGAGTAACTCCAAAGACTTGATGTAATCCTAGTTAATCTCATGCTAGTGAGATTTTTCAGACCCAGTCTGTTACAAGTTACAATCTATCTTAATCCTTAATGCACAGGACATGTATATGCAGCTATCATAAACATGTACGTGTTTATAGGGTTATGCAAGTATTGAACTTAGTAACTTGATCATATTATGTGAGAGCCAAAATTTGAATAAGACTTTAAATTTCCCTCTGCCTTATCTCTTTGTGTAGATTTAATTTGCAAACCTAAAATTTAAATAAATCAAACCTGTAAAACTTTACTACTTTATGTGTTCATTTAAATGCACTTTCAAAGGAAATGCTACCGGTACTTCTCAGTGATATCATGTATACCACATACCTCCATTAACACTGGCCTCAACAAAAGCTCGGATAGAATGTACACAACTCTCAAAGTTGAGGGGCGTGACATGGGCGGCATCTCGGACTAGGAAAGCCAGGGTCTCCGAGGACTTCAGCAAGGCCTTACTGTCACAGTAATGTAAATCCTCATTCAACTCAATACTATATTGATTAGGAATCACTTTAGGAATGGTCACTGATGTATGATCCTCTCCAATTGGCTGGTGGGAATCCTTGTTTACCTTTTATAGATGATTTAAATTTCATTTGACACAAACATATCAAAGAGTTCTGAACTAACTTTCAATTTCTTGATAAGTGACACAGAAACAAAGAATTTGATACCTGCAATCTTAAATGATGATTTTGATTCAAACAATTAGTGGCAATATGAAAATTCTTGAATTATTTGTGTAACAGAATAATACCAGGAGCCAGCTTCCATTGTCAGGTATGGGTCTGATCTCCAGAGGGGAGGGGCTTCTGTTGACAGCTGCCTGTCTGACATAGCTGATCTCACTGTCTGATGTGTAGCCCCGGTCACTCAAATTGTCATTTACAGAAGTACTGGGTAACTCACTATCACTCTGGGCTCCTACAGAACAGGTTACATTCAAAATTCATCATGTAGAAAACTATTCAAATGTATGTTTAGCACTGTGTTGTTATTTTCTGGTAAAAAACTAAAGCTAACAAACCCTCGCTATTAACCAAAATGCAAGAACAACTGACACACATAATTTGGTATTAAGAAAGGTTGGTTGACAATAAGAAGTTGTTTAGATTTGAGGTACCGTACATTGTCCTGTTTTTGCTTTATTGCTAAAGCTTTTCCATAAGAAATTTAATTTATAAATATTTACATTCACTGATTGTCCCACTTTTAGTTATCTATTATTTACAAGTTTACCTGACCATTAAAAACTATGAAACTACTTTTTGTATTGAATTTAAATATTATAAAAGTCTTGTTAAATTCTGTTATTCAATTGGCTTTTCAGTTACAATATTCATAGTAATAGAAAAGGGGAAGAACTTCTTTTAGAAAACAAATTAATAAATTGACCAAGTGGTGCAGAATTTCAAAAATCTGGTAAAAATACCCTTGCTTATTACAACTTATAAATATTTACATTCACTGAATACCGGTACATGTATTGTCTCCTTTATTTCTTGTGAAAAACCACTTCCCTTAATTAATCCATCAACACTAAACTAGTTAGATGTTGACAAAATTTATCGTAACCAATGTGATAACAGAGATATACATGTATGTGCCTGTCATTGTCAAACACGTTTGTAAACATCAATGTGAAAAAAGCATTTGTATTCTCCTAGTTCAAATCACATGATATCTTAAAAGCCAACAAGACCTTATGACCTAGTGGTTTCAAAAATGGCTACCCAAGCAAACCAAAAATGGATTTTGTAGAAAAGCGGTTATTAATAAAAGCAGTATTCGGGATATGGAGTGAAAAAGTGGTAGACTTCTCATAGAGCAGTAGAGTTAACATGTATGCTTCAACCTTCTTTATAGGATTATTGATAGACATCAGAGGGTCAGAAAACCTTAAGATATACTTATATGTACCTGCATCAATGATGGCCTCAGACATTTCAATACCTGGGCAGACCTGTAAAAGAGGGGGAGGGTTAGCCCCTGCCCCCACAACCTCTAGCAGGGTAAACAGAGTGAACCAGTCCTGGCTTGTGTGGATGTTTGCTGCATTTGTCCTCAGTAGTTCATGCAGGGCATAGGATATCTGTCTAGTACAGGAATGGATCACTGTGGGTTTCATCATTAACAGAATACGGAGCGATGTAAGGACTTGTGGTGCCACCTCTTCTCTACGTAATAATCTGATAGCGAGACGTAACAAGCCTACTACTGCTCTCTCCACTAGGAATGTGCACTCATTAGAATTTACTATCAGACTGTATAAGTGGTCTCTTACATTCTGCCATATAGGAACAACTCTATCTCTGAAATAAATAAAAACCAGGAGCTAGACTTGCTCAAAGGCAAACTTTAATGTGAAGACGAATTAAACTAGTTCTATGCATATTGTTAATTAAAATATACCGGTATATACATTGTATCTTTAAAATACACAAAATGAAGAGAATTTACATGTTGCAGATCTGTGCCTTACCTATTTTGAAGAATAACTTTGATTAAAAGTTCTAGGAAAAATACGGCTGCATCTTCGTCAAATTGCAATTCTGAATTATGAACCTCGGGACCCTGGGAGGCAAATATCTGGGCCTGAAAATTAATCATTAAAATGCATTGATTTTGTAGCATCTAAATTTCAATATAGGAATCTTTAAAAAAAAAATAATCAAAAGCCTGAAAGGCTTCAATGACGTCGAACAAGAAAAACAATTTCAAAAGATAATTTTGAATTTGAAGATAGCGATAAGTCAAGTGAGTGACTCAGGAGACATAATAAAAAAATAGTTTTAAACAAAATATCACAATTACAGTCTGTGGCCTTATGTCATGGTCCGAATGGAGCAAGGTTCGAATTGACCAGACACCGTCGAACATGTTCATGCCAAATATTCTTTTCAGTCAATTATGAACTATGAAGGATTTCATGAATTTATGTATTTTTTCTAATTGCCAATGTCAAAGCGTTGTATTAGTGATTGCATCTAAACTACAACCAAGACTCTGTTCTGTTACAATTACGATCGAGTTACGATCGGGCGTGGTATACCGTATACTGGGAAATGGAGGAAATGGAGAAATACAGTAATACTGGTCAATATCATCGGTTTTTAGGATAGAGTTAGTTAGAAGATTGTATAAGTAAAGCTAAGATTTAGAAATTCAATCTTTTTAGTCTTGTAGAATTCGTGTTTATGTAATTTTGTAATTATTTTACCTCCTGTTGTGTTGTTTATGTTACACGGTTATCGTTCCGAGATGTTATTCATGTCATTCAACGCACCCTTTCTGTAGAAATTCATCCGCAACAACCATCACGTTTTTCTTATGTGAGAATAAAACATAATATTGTTGTTTTGCAATAGAATTAATTGCAGACATAATTGATGCAATTTTATTTTCAAGGTATTATTCATTTTGAGCGTTTTCAAAGAAATTGGTTTATAGCTATTGTTATTTTCTATTGCGGATGCATCGACTGACACATTCGGTCGCGTACATATCCGGTCGCGATTTCAACTGGGCGCTTGCTAGATGACGTTCGAGCTCCAAGAGCTCGACGTCATAAAAAGGCAACACTGGGACATGTAGATGTATTTATACTGTATACAAGGAAAATTTCGCCCTGTTTTATTTTCGCTCCTTTTGCCCTATTCACAGGTGGACGAATTTAAAACAGGACGAATTCAAAGAACACAGTATAATTTCTTAAACAGAAGCATGACTGGGCGAATTTAAAACAGGGTAAAATTGTTTGCAAATGTGAAAGAGCAAAAATAACACGGGGCGAAAATAACCCTGTATACAGTATATACAGGAATATTATTTGGGCTCACACTCACAGACACTACAGAACTATCATACAGCAGTAATATAACCTTTTTCAATTATTTAGAATTTCCTGCTTGACACACATTGTAAAATCTATTAAATAATAATAAAATAAATGCAGTCAACAGTTGACCTACTTTGATAAGTTCCTGTAATGAGTCCTCCCTAAGGAATTTACTGTCCAGAATCAGCTGTTCTAGATGGCAGTCCCTGATACAGCTCTGAGCCTGTTTGGAGGCTTCCTGCTCCTCCGGGGTGGGGCCTTTGTTCGTGGTTGGCTCAGAACTGGTGAAGTATGAGTAGAAACTGCTCAGAACTCCCTCAGACCTGGAATTAGCCAAGAAATAGTCAAACACAAAATAAACCTTACCTGCACAATGTCACCAAGAAAACATCTATGATTCAATGTTAATTACAATGGTAAGTAAGTAACTATGCCATCTAAAATATCCTAGGTATAAGCTACGGTAAAAAATGAAAATTCAATTTCTACCTCTGGGCAGCTGTGGTCTCTTCTCTCACTATACAAATTTTTCCTGAAGTATCTATGAAATCCTCTACCTGCAGAGAACAAAAAATACAATAATATTGTACTTTGGTATCTTGAACAATATCTCAAATACCATGGATATGTTGAAATACATGTATTGTGGAAGTTTCGACCACTTATTATTTAGGTATTTTACCCTCAATATCTCAAATCCTCAGATATCATGAAGTTTTTTTTTCTCGGTCCCATCAAGTTTGAGATAACAAGGTTTCACTGTATATGTAATTATGTATTTTAAAAAATCCTAAAATTTTTCCATTTTAAACTTACAGTGCAAAAGCCATTCTGTAACATCACTTTGTTCAAATAGAATATTCCATCATATACAGGCATAGAAGCAGAACTTTGATGGGATTTTCCAATTTGCTTACCTCAGTCAACCCCTTTGGTAATAATTTGGCACGATAAAGTTGTAGCATACAGTCCAATATATTCTTCCACCCTTCTCTTAAAATATCACCATGGCGATGAGCTAACCCAAACACAGTGCGAGCAGCTAACTGAGCTTTGGAGTTGCTCCCAAACATCACAGGTATATGTTCTGGACTCTGTGTATGTACACAATAAAGATGTCAAATACAAGTATAGGCTATGATAGAAAGATGTCACAGTTAAATCTTTATGTTCTCAGATCCACAGATTATAAACCTTCTTATTTCCTGATACATACCTCTACAGAACTCAGTAGGGTGGTGAATTTACAAAGTGATATGACTAGATTATCAAAAACATCACTCATTCCATAGTGAGCTGATATCATAGCACATTTCCTACAAATGAAGCAGATTTTTAAATGAGAAAAAATGTACAAGATTGCTCATAAAACTTAAATTTAAACAATCTGACTGACAAGTCAAGAACTAACCTAAATCCTGCTATTGCCTTCTGGATTATAGAATCATCGGAGCTTTTGTCAAACACAAATGACAGAGCTGCAACTGTTGGGCCCCATATAAGGGTGAACAAGTCATGATCAAATGACCCAGAAGGAACATGTAGGAAAAGGCCATCCTTTGTGGTGCCTCTTCTCAACAGAACCTACCAAAAAAATATAATTACTAAAGAATCAAATTAATTTCCTTGAATCTACAACACTGTAAAATTTTAAGTATTGGCTGATAAGATGTTGCATCATCCAGACTTCTAATTCACTATAACACTGTAAAATCTTAAGTATTGGCTGATAAGTTGTTGCATCATCTGAACTTCTAATTCAATATAACACTGTAAATCTTAACTATTGGCTGATAAGATGTTGCATCATCAGGACTTCTAATTCACTATAACACTGTAAATCTTAACTATTGGCTGATAAGATGTTGCGTCATCTGGACTTCTAATTCACTATAACACTGTAAATCTTAACTATTGGCTGATAAGATGTTGCATCATCCAGACTTCTAATTCACTATAACACTGTCTCTTGATCTCCAGCAAACTTACCTTCCAAAGATAGTTTTCTTTGACTAAACCTGTGTGTTCTGCTGGCATCACAATCTCCTCATTCCTACAACAGCAAAAACATTCAATAAAAAGGTTACCTTTACTGTGATCATAATTCTAACAAAAATGACAAATTCAAAGATGCTTTTTCAAACAAATTTATACTCTATTTATAATTTAACAGCATTAATAGAACATTCTACAACAAACACTACTTTACCAAGACAGTAATTTTACTTTTTGTTTATTTCATCACAATTTGTAGTATTTAGTTGTTTACTTTATTGCAACATAAATCTCCTCCAACATGTCCTGGTCAAAGTCTGCTCCTCCATTACATTTCTTTAAATTCTTTTTGAATTCCTGTAGATAAATAGCATACAATGTTTTTATGATTATCACTTAAAACCTCAAATGACTATGTGACACCTAAGTATGAAAAGGTAAAGGCTGCTTAGGGACCACACTATGCATTGTGTTGCTTGACACTTGTTTGAAATTCTACTGAAGATCAAATCTATTTCTGTAACAGGTGTTTTACCCATCTAAACCTATTGATTTGATTCTAAATAAACATAAAGTTTGTATTATCAATACATTTACATGTATTATTGAACTGCTTTTCAATTACATGTAACTTTTATTTCACTAAGTGGTTAAAATCATTTGTGTAGAAAATATTTCTCCCAATCAATTATAAAACTGTTATTGACCATATCATTTCATAATATGGCATAAATGCAAAACCAGTATTTCTCAAAAAAAAAAAAAAATCATCTAGTTGAGTTCTTTCACAAATACAGATTAAGGACTCACAGCTCCCGTCATGGGGATGTTCTGTTTCTTTGCATTGTGGTTGTGTTGATCTACATTGAGCATAATGATGGCATACGTCAAAGTAAATGCTGCATCAGCATTGGCAAATGGCTCACCATTACTCTTCTGCAGGAAACAAACATTAACCAACAATCAGACTCTATCCTGATGAAAAAGTCACCAAGTACATGTACAGGGTATCAAATCATTTACACAACACACTTCATACATATTGTGTCTCATATGTACAAAATCAGCAAGTACATGTACAGGGTATCAAACCATTTACACAACACACTTCACACATATTGTGTCTCAAATGTACAAAATTTGTTTGAAAAACATCTAGTGAGCATTTATGAACAAGATCAATATACTGCAAGTACCTACATGTACTTGTAATTAAAAAGGCCATGCAATGGAGTACTGACATATAATTCACAGATAAATTAAATTTAAGAATTGATAATGAAATCTCCTTCCTTACGTGCCAGTGGTCAGAGAAGTGCTCTATCAAGTAAGATATAACAGGGGCCTCTCCAGGTAGACGGAAGGCCTCAAGATACTGCCTCAGGGCCTCATCAACTCGAAGGTCCTCAAAGTTAAAAGATCTGTGAAGATACACTTTATTTAATAAGAATGCCTTAAAGCATATATTTTGTTACTTCTTAAAAAAAGGCAGAGGATTCTTCTAAACTGAACTGGATTCTTCTAAACTGAACTGCTATTCCCTATATGTAAGACAAGCAATGCATTATTACGAGCTTAAAACTTCACTGCGAGCATTTTTTATAAGAAATGTTACTATTATCTAAGGCAATAATACAGTTGACAGATACACCTACTTCACAAATGCCTCTAGGACTTTGCTGTTGGTTTTCTTGGCCACATACTCTCCTATCATGGCTTTGTCCAGTCTGGGGTTCTCCTTCAGAAAAGTGACCACTTCCCCCGGGTCCAGGGGATCTGACAAGAGGCCCTGTTCCTGGAGGTAAGTTATTCCCTTGGAGGGTTTTGTGTTAAACTGCTCTGTGCCAGTATAGTATAGCTGTGGTGGAAAAGATAGGAATTTATTCATTCTCAGTTACAGAAAAACTTCTGATATTGAGCTTTATACTATGAATAAAGATACAGTTTATATATCTGCTTCTAACAAAACAAATTAAGAGAAGTCTAGTTATGACATCACTTGAACATTATCTTACTCCCTTTATAATTACATGTATTTTATTTACAGTGTTTCATAGTTTTTGTATGACAACAATTTGCCCCTTAAAAATTGTTGTACATTTATGGATGTATCAATCACTTTCTGCTTGAGTTTTTCTTAATGACTCTAACACATATTTGTGTTTCAGTACAGTATTGATTGGAGTACACCCAGGAAACAGACCTTTTTCTTGTGTTTGATGGTGGCAATGTCCTCAGCTGTGGGAATTGTGGACGACACTTTCATTCTGTTTTGTCTAAAAGATGGAGACCTCTTGGCTGTGTCTTTCTGTTTTGGCTCTTCTTTAGAACTTTCTGTAAAAATGATGGGAAATTCTATTTAGATATTACATGTACCACTATATTAAGATGAACAAATACATATACATGTAGTACAATCCCTTCACAGTACATACTGAACTTTGGACTTCTGTAAAACATCTCTGTTCATGTATGCTGTACAAATTATTAAAATTAATGCATTGTAACAGAATCAAAACTGTGTATTTTTCAGTGATGTAAGATGTGAATTACCCTGAGTTTGTTCTTTATTGAGGAGTTTCTGCACCATTAAGAAACCATTAATATGAGAGTTTTGTGAATTACCTGAGTTTGTGCTTTACTGAGGAGTTTCTGGGCCATTAAGAAACCATTGATACGAGAGATTTGTGAATTACCCTGAGTTTGTTCTTTATTGAGGAGTTTCTGAGCCATTACGTAACCAGTGGTGGGGGGACTTGGTACTGAAGACTCCAATACTCCATTCTCAGTCACTGTCTGCGATGATTGGACAGTCTGCCTTCCTAAAACAAAATAAGAAAACATCTACATCACATCCATGTGTCACAACCTAACAGCAATTCAAGGATAATCTGTTTAACTTAAAGTACACAGGACCCTTTAAACAAGATGCCCATGAACCACAACACTCACATGAGTTAGCATTTTCTTCCCGAAAAGTGACTTTGTTCATGTAAATAAACCAAATCTTTTATTGTTGTCTAAAAGTTATAGTTCATAATTTCAACAATTTTACAGTATATTGAAGATTGATCATCAACTTAACAAAATGTAGCCTCTTTATTCTGTAAATGTCTATATTTCTGCTTCAAATTTTTCCTCCTAGTATGCCCCAACTTTGTCCCTGCAGCCATGCTCTGAACAGACTTGAATCCACATTAAATGGGGATGGTTTCATAGTAATATGATTAATTGAGACCCTGCTCTCTTGAGAAAAGGATAAAAGAATTTCCCTATAATTCCTAGGTAAAACTTCGATCCCTTAAATTTGCTCCACCCTTAACTGAGGGACAATGATTTGAATAAATCTGTATCTAAACCTTGCATTTCCCCATAAAATACACTTATTAGACAATACTGCTGTGAACTGCATCAACAAAGTCTTACCCTCAGCTCCCTGTTTGTTGATGCTGAGTATTCGACTGTGACAGTGCTGTTCAATGCTGTCAACTACTGTCAACAGAGCATCAAGTGACAAAAGGTGTGTGGAAAACAGGCCCTGAACTGGAAAGGCATTCTGAAACAAAAAAGTATTTTGTAACACAAAACAAATAAAAATACCATATATGACAAAAACAATAGGGGTCATTGGTATATAACAGCAAATCTGTGCTAAAAGTTTCTTTTAAGTTTAATGTTAAGCAACCAATTGATCTCAAGATACTGGTTGGAAACCATTTGAAGACTGATGGACTATATAAATCCAAGTGATTAACAGGTTCAAAGCAATTCTTCCAAACAGAGTTTACTGTACAAGTATCTACTGTTGGTTCATGTATACAATGTACTTTTAATAGATTACTGATTGCTAAACATTTTAAAAGACAATATTTTACTCAACAGAAACAGAATATGATTTACTTCTCAGAGCACACTTAAAAATTGTTTTCTATACACACACATTTATTACCTTTGATAAAAGTTTGGTAAGATCTTCAAACAAGTTGGAGCAGTATAGATCACAGTCATAGTTAAGGTAAAGTTCTGTAACAAGACCAGGAATTCTCCACAGCTGAACGATAGACTCAAGAGCTATCTCACGAATCTCGTATGAGATCCTGGGAGACTCAGATACTATGATATCTGTCAGTTTGGTCAAATAAAACTGAAATAAGAGTCATTTTGTTAATCACACATACACTGTAATGTAGATTAACACTGATACAGTAAAATATTGCAAGAATATTTGGTGTATAATATATACAAGTGCTCTTGGCACAGTCATATCTGTATTCTGAATAATATAGCATTCTAAATTATATTAAAATTAGTTATTTTTCTGAACCTAGATCATATACCCATTACATGTACATCAATTATTCATCAAGAACATGTATGCATTTCAATAATTAATTAAGGAATGAAGCTTATTTCAACCTATGTTATACAATATAACATAACTTGGGGCACTTTACGCTTTATAAACCGCGAAGCGGTTTATAAAAAAGTGTAAACTGCCCCAAGTTATGTTATATCGTATACATAGGTTAAAATAATTAAGCTTCATTCCTTATAATTTAATTTCAGTGTAGACAATAAGATAATTTTTCCTTCAAAAATGGCTTCAAATTGAGCATATTTTAAAAGTAACGTCAAGAGGAGTAATACATTTTTGACGTAACTCATTGTGACGTAGGCAACTTATGTTATACGATATAAACAAAATCTTTTATCCAATCAAATGACATGTTACAACTAAAATTAAATTATTGAGGAATATCAACTAAAATAGGCAAGACCTATATTTATTGTTAACAGTATTCAACTTTGCATAAGTGCTTGGTGTATTTATCAAAACTACATGTATATCAAGTACCTCTAGTTGTAGCTTTAGGTGACTTCTGATGGACTCAAACAACAGAAAACAAACTCGGAGAGAAGCTGAGAACAAAGAAAGTCTCTCGGACTGCAGCAACTGTAAAAATGTAAAACTACTCTCAACAAAACATGATTGTATAAATACAGTAGCAAGAACAAATTAGCTACTAGCTAAGAAATGAGCATTTACTGCAAAAAACAAATTTAGTCAGATTCTTAACTCCGAAACTAGCAAGCATGTATTATACTTTATTCATTGTCAAGAACAACCTATGGCCCCTTGTGACTTTACATACCAGGAAGAGGTGCCGACACATTTCATCTTTGACCAGGTACAGGAGAGAATTGTAATGGCCGATATGATCTGCCCCTGACTCCAGAGCTACGGACAGGAGACTGAGTCCCATGTGTATCATCACGTCTGTGTTGTGACGGTCCAGGGGATTGGTTAACGAGATCAGGAAGCGAAACAATTCACGCACACATGGTAAGCCATAGGGTAAAAGAGGACCAGAACCTGAAAATAAACATGAGCAATCAAACACCACAATTACATCTGGGATATCTATATATTAATGAGGATTTTCTTAAGAAAATTATCAATTTTTTTAAACATACATAAAGCACATTTTCAATTTTAATCAGAGTATCACAAAAATTCTTTTCAAATAGAAAAGATTTTATGTCAACAGGTCAAAACTTAATCTTTTACACAAGGCACAATATCTGCTTCAAACTTTACTAGTATTTGTATAGATTAGTTGAAATGTTAAATAAATGTTAGAGTTTTTAGATTAAAGGCTTTGCTAAAAACTGAATTGTTAATTGAGTGTACTCAAACAATCAGTTTTCCCCAAAAAGAACAGACTTCTGAAATTTAAAAAATCCCTGCTTTCCAGTGAATGAGCTTTAATAGGAAGTTTGCAGGTGAATAAAACATGAATTCTCTGCTTTATACCAAAAACTGAAATTGGATAAATGTTGATATCTGATAAAAGTATATTGACAGGTCTGTATTTGAATCTACTTGTATTTCTTTCACAACCTCAATATCTGCCTTACAAATAGCTAGTAAGAGTTACCTTCCTTGTGGTGGTGATGAGGGGTGAACCTGACTCCCTGAGGGTTGACAATCTCATCCACCACCATTGGTTCTGAATTCTCTGCAGTACTGTGTACAGACTCTGTGTCTTCTGAGTGTAAACTGACCCTGTCCATATCTCCACAGGTACCCAGCATGTCAGGGCCCTTCTGTCATAGAAAATACTCATAATTATTACCAAACTTTGTAAACTGACCCTAGTGTTGTTCTGATAATCAGAAAACATCGATTGTCGATGAAAAAATGATACCGATTCCGATGATCCATTATAATTTTTCAAAATCGATCATCGGAAACATACATTTAATACAATACACTCCGGAATTATCCATTTCTGGTTTAAAATTTATTTCTTCCCAATGAAAGAAAATGGCGTCTGCATCTGATACTAGCCACCTAGCATGAAGGAAAGGTGATTAAGAACTGAAAGGTGCATATATAGAGAGTGTAAAAGAAGCAAAACAACAAAGAAAATAATATATTATATATTTTATATATTCCTGTTAAAGAAATAATATGAAATAATTGTAATTGTCTGCTATTTATATACAAAACTATGACATCCGGTTATAATCAGTAAAATCGCATCGGAAGCAGTAACTGATTCCAACCGATGATCGATTATGAAAATTAACCGATGTCCCATCACTAACTGACCCTGTCCATATCTCCACAGGTACCCAGCATGTCAGGGCCCTTCTGTCATAGAAAATACTCATAATTATTACCAAACTTTGTAAACTGACCCTGTCCATATCTCCACAGGTACCTAGCATGTCAGGGCCCTTCTGTCACAGAAAATACTCATAATTATCAACAAACTGTATTAACTGACCCTGTCCATATCTCCACAGGTACCCAGCACGTCAGGGCCCTTCTGTCATAGAAAATACTTAAAATTATCAACAAACTACTGTAAACTGACCCTGTCCATATCTCCACAGGTATCCAGCACGTCAGGGACCTTCTGTCATAGAAAATACTTAAAATTATCAACAAACTACTGTAAACTGACCCTGTCCATATCTCCACAGGTATCCAGCACGTCAGGGCCCTTCTGTCATAGAAAATACTTAAAATTGTCAACAAACTATATAAACTGACCCTGTCTGTATCTCCACAGGTACCCGGCATTTCAGGGCCCTTCTGTCACAGAAAATACTTAAAATTGTCAACAAACTATATAAAATGACCCTGTCCGTATCTCCACAGGTACCCAGCATGTCAGGGCCCTTCTGTCATAGAAAATACTTAAAATTATTAACAAACTACTGCAAACTGACCCTGTCCATATCTCCACAGATACCCAGCACATCAGGGCCCTTCTGTCATAGAAAATACTTAAAATTATCAACAAACTACTGTAAACTGACCCTGTCCGTACCTCCACAGGTACCCAGCACGTCAGGGCCCTTCTGTCATAGAAAATACTCATAATTATCAACAAACTATATAAACTGACCCTGTCCATATCTCCACAGGTACCCAGCACGTCAGGGCCCTTCTGTCATAGAAAATACTTAAAATTATCAACAAACTATATAAACTGACCCTGTCCATATCTCCACAGGTACCCAGCACGTCAGGGCCCTTCTGTCATAGAAAATACTTAAAATTGTCAACAAACTATATAAACTGACCCTGTCCGTATCTCCACAGGTACCCAGCATGTCAGGGCCCTTCTGTCACAGAAAATACTTAAAATTATCAACAAACTATATAAACTGACCCTGTCCATATCTCCACAGGTACCCAGCACGTCAGGGACCTTCTGTCACAGAAAATACTTAAAATTATCAACAAACTATATAAACTGACCCTGTCCATATCTCCACAGGTACCCAGCACGTCAGGGCCCTTCTGTCATAGAAAATACTTAAAATTATCAACAAACTATATAAACTGACCCTGTCCATATCTCCACAGGTACCCAGCATGTCAGGGCCCTTCTGTCATAGAAAATACTTAAAATTATTAACAAACTACTGTAAACTGACCCTGTCCATATCTCCACAGGTACCTAGCATGTCAGGGTCCTTCTGTCATAGAAAATACTCATAATTATCAACAAACTATATAAACTGACCCTGTCCATATCTCCACAGGTACCCAGCACGTCAGGGCCCTTCTGTCATAGAAAATACTTAAAATTATCAACAAACTATATAAACTGACCCTGTCCTTACCTCCACAGGTACCCAGCATGTCAGGGCCCTTCTGTCATAGAAAATACTTAAAATTATCAACAAACTATATAAACTGACCCTGTCCATATCTCCACAGGTACCCAGCACGTCAGGGCCCTTCTGTCATAGAAAATACTCATAATTATCAACAAACTATATAAACTGACCCTGTCCATATCTCCACAGGTACCCAGCACGTCAGGGCTCTTCTGTCATAGAAAATACTTAAAATTATCAACAAACTATATAAACTGACCCTGTCCATATCTCCACAGGTACCCAGCACGTCAGGGCCCTTCTGTCATAGAAAATACTTAAAATTATCAACAAACTACTGTAAACTGACCCTGTCCATATCTCCACAGATACCCAGCACGTCAGGGCCCTTCTGTTATAGAAAATACTTAAAATTATCAACAAACTACTGTAAACTGACCCTGTCCATATCTCCACAGGTACCCAGCACGTCAGGGCCCTTCTGTCATAGAAAATACTCATAAATATCATTAAACTACTCTTCACATGATACATTTGGCTTTGTATTCTATTAGCACCTTTCACAGAAAGCAACTTCCGCTAAATCATACATCGTTAAATGTCTTGTGTATATCATATTCATATAAAGCACCTTAAGAGAGAGCTAAATCAAATTTAGGCTAACTTGTCAAAAAATCAATTTTTGCCCATTATCATACACACTAAATAAAATACATTTACAGTATATGCGAAGCTATTGACCTAATGAAAATCTTGATAATTGATTATTTTAAGGTACTTGCACTCAGGAAAATCTGATTTTGGCAACACTACCAAATTTGGTAAAAAGGTACAAATCTACAGATCTAACATTATTAAATGTATTAATCTTAATTGATACTGGTATGTCAATGGATAAATTTTAAAATTGGATATTTTTTCCACATCTAAATTGAAAGCTGTGTTAAAATGAGAAATTTGAGTTATCTAATTTTTAACATAATGCTGATATTTGCCATGAAATACTTCAAGATAAATATTATTAAGTTACTAAATTTGCCAAGGCAACTGCATCTTCGCTAGCCAAGGGTTTCTGATACGCTACTCTCCTCATAAGCCCTTGGCATACGGTGTTAAAAAAAGTTGGGATTTTTTTCTCAAGTTGTGATTGGAGTTGATCGACATCATTCGACCAATCAGCAATTTTTTTTTGTAAATGTCGATATTTGCGTTCGGGATATATCTTGACTTTTTAATATCGGGAATGAAAAACGCAAGTAAACAACGATCCGTAAGATAACATGCCATTCTATGAATAGCTAAATGGTGTCATCCTTTATCTAAGCAACGTGCAAAATATGTGATTAAGAATCTGTACTGAAGATGTAGATTTGCATTTTAACATGTTTAAATAACAAATTAACATAACTCAATACCTTCTTGTTAATTATTCTTTAAAAACATTATTTTTTTAAATACGCTTTCTATTTCTGTCAATGACGCAATCTGTGAGTACCTGGTAAGAATCGTGATCACGTGACGAAAACAATCCCGTCTTTTGTCAGCACCGTATGCCAAGGGTTTATGAGGAGAGTAGCGTATCAGAAACTCTTGGCTAGCGAAGATGAGGCAACTGTGAAAATCAGAAATGTTGCTTAATGCAAAGACTGTAGATTCCCAAATATAACTGAGGAATTAATTATCGCGTAATTTAGTGAGAAGCATCACTCGCAAAATAAAATTACTTGCTTTTATTTATATGGTGGTCAAATGCATGTAAAATCTCTAGATCAAACGTATGTCTACTAACGAATTATTGTTCTCGTGATTTGACGTCTAAGGGCCATTTCAGGATATAAAGTACAGAACTCACATAAAATAAGGAATCTACAGTACGTAAATTTAATTCAGTGATGATATTTACTAGAACTGAACTTAAATTTCATTTAATGACAGGTTTTTCTTTAAATCACATTTTCACACCAATTCAGATTCCTCACTTTCAAAAATTGCACTGTGCAGTAGTGGTGTTCCAATCATCGATTATAATCAAAAATCAGTCGATTGCTGGCATAATCCAAGCGCTCGATTGCAAAATTTTTATTCCGATTAATTGGGTTATTTTTTTTTACAAGCGTAATAGTTTTTAAGCCCAATATTCCAGCCAAGACTTATCTATTAACTTATTTGTGTATTGTAATGGCGCAGACGAACGGACAATTGTTTTCATACCCGGTAACAACGCTCAATCCCGGGTATGGACGTACTTCGGATTCTGCAAAATGAACGAAAAACCAGCTGGACCACCACAGAAAGTAGCTATTCACCCATTCTTACCATTTAATAAACTAAATTGACAGACTTTGTAAATGTCCGATTATAATTGATAATTAGTTAGTTACAGTAGCCCAATCATCAATTATGAAATTCTTACCGATTCCCATCACTACTGTGCAGCAAAGAATTTTTCTGAGAAATGATAAAAATGCCCTTATATAGTAAATACTGTCACATGCATGAAATAATAAAACTTACTTGTGATGTGTCTTCTCTCTGAGGAACTGAAAGCACAACTTGGGAGGTGGATCCAGAATTTTCCATATTTAAGCTTATGTTGGATGATTCTGATTGTAAACTAAAACAGTCTTTGTCTATTTCAGTGGAACTATCATCTATCTGTAGTTCTGAAATCTCTTCTGAAATCTGTGCAGCTTGTTTTTCTTTGTCCGTTGCCTCCTTGTAATAGGAAAAATCACACTCAATTCTAATTAAAACATTAATCACGGATAATTTAAATTAAAAATCACCATTATCTTAAGATCGACAAAATATTAATACTTAAATAAAAAGAAAAAAAAACATCAGCAGCAGCAGTACTGATATAGAATTCCATGCTTTTAATCTGACTGGAACCAACGTAAATATTTTTTCCCATTTTTTTCTATTAGCTTTAGGGCAGGGTTTGATTGAAATATTTTCATTTCTGGACATTTTATGGTGACAGAGCTATATGCAAGTTCAGCAATTAATAGACAAAGAAAGTTAATTAATTGCAAGAAGTCACTTCATTGGCAAAGAATGTGCACTTAAATTGCAGCTAAATGCTATCATATTCCTTATTCATAAGTTCATTTACCAGTCCTTACCTGAAAGCGTTGACTGATGTCAATCACTCCATCTTCCCCCGGGGTAGCAGGGGTGGTGGCTAGCCTCTCCTTGGAAGCCTGAACATACTCTATCCCCTCAGACACTATGCTGTCTTGGGGAGGATCCTGACCCCCAGAAACATCCTCCCTGGAGCTGGACACATTCTCACACTCCTGTATGGTGCCTGCAGTGTTGTCCTGCTGTTTGGACTTTGGACGTTTTGGTCGTGGTTTAGGTGACCGTTTCTTCCTCCCCATACGAGATGGATCCACTCCTCCTGTTCTCATCTTCAGCTGTCATTGTATTAGGACATTTTAAAATGTAATTTATAATCGGATTGTTATCCGTTTGTTTCAATAGAAATAAGTTAAAATTGTACAAATTTTTACATGGCTTAAAAATCTCTAAATGAATATGAATATCACTCCAGTGATGCTGTAAAATCACATATTTTTGTGGGGTCAAATTTTTCGTGTTTTGAGGTTAAACTATGGGCTCATGGGGATTTGATTCCATGGATAAAGAATTGTTGAGTAGTTATGTATATGACATTTTACACTTCGTGGTGGACATGAATTTGTGGGTCTCTTCATACCACAAAGCAATGGAAATTTAACCCCCATGAAAATAAGTGATTTTACAGAACTTGACTTATAAAATTTGACAGATGGTCAATAAATCATTTCATTATAAATTACCACTGAAGTCTAATGCTAACGAATGTCTCTACATTTTTATTTATTGTAATGTCCAAACTAACTGCATTTTCTTCATCAGTAAACCAATTTATTTCAGAATTCAGAAACAAATATGATCATTTGTTAATGTAGACTGACATCTTCGCCTTTTCTTAGTTTTTTTTTCTGTATCCTTGATTACTGTCCTAAGTTTGCCCTGAGAGGTTTGTTTGTTCTTATGTACAATCTACTCAGAGTATCTCAAAAGTCAATAAAACCCACTCTTTTCCCAATATACTGTCTGATAATTGTGTATATCAAGTTTCAATTCAAGTGTAATTAGTACCTACTTGTACTATTCATCTTCAATATAGAAAGCATATCACATGTAAAATAACATTGTGATGAAGTCTTTGTCTGGTCAAGTCTGGGGTTAAAAAAATAGATACCCTTTATACTATATTATTTATCTGCTTATATACTCCTAAAATACAATAGCATAGTACATAAAGTCAGCCCCATCAAATGTAATAAATTACAGATCTGGATTTTTACATCACAGTACAATGGACTTCAAAAATGTTAATGTCAATTAAAAGTATGACTGCACTGTAGTTGACTGATAGTGTCAATTAAAAGTATGATTGCACTGTAGTTGACTTATAGTGTCAATTAAAAGTATGACTGCACTGTAGTTGACTTATTAATTTTGATATCTCACATTTATATGTATTGTATTGAAAGTGATTCAGATTTTTACACAGTGAAAGATATGAACTAAATCTGAGAATGCATAGCTATAAAATTCCAAAATAAGGCAATAATAGCCACCTTTTCAATCTTGACACACCATCAACCCACTGTCCATCAAATGACACAATTTGATCATTCTTGGTCTCACACTGTGCAAAATATGATCCAGATATTTGTCTATGCAAATTCCAAATTAGGTCACTGCAACCTATTTTTGGGTCATGAAACTCCTCCCCAGAATGATGCATCAACTTTTAAAGTTTGATGGTCATAGGCTTAACAGTGTGAAATGAAGTAAAAAAAACAGACAGACAGACAGATGAACAGACTGGAAGCTCATACATAGTATGGTCCATCAAAGACAGGCATAAAAAACATGATCATATCTAAAACAGAAGTAAGATTTTATCATACATCTACTCTTGTTTTCTAATAGAAACCAACCAAGCAAAACAGGACAATATGATTGATATGACAACTAATAAAATTTTCCAGGAAGAAAGTATTTTTGGTTAATTTAATAATGTTGAACACCTAAGGTGACCTAAAATCTATAAATAACAAGTTACCTTTTTCATGTTGGCTACCCATTTAGGATCTTCCTTGAACTGTGGCAGTCGTGAGAATAACAATTGAACCATGTCCATCAGTGTGTGTTCCGCTGACTTCCTCAGTAGTTCTACAGCATAAAATACCAACAAAACATCATAAATCGGTAATCTTATTTATAAGTGCTTTTCAGGTTCTAAAATTTAATTTGAAAAATTGTGAAATTCCCAGAAAACCTCTGTTTAAGAAACACTTTGCTTATTAAATTCCCAATCTACTCACCACTAAGTCTCATTTCGAAACAAATTCGGAAACATGACTGCATAATTTCACAGACTGACTCATTGGTAAGAAGAACTCCAGCGGGGGCTAACAACAGAGTCCGCAAAACCTGACAAATAAGAGTGCTGAATTATTAGAAAGGCTACACACAGACTGGTTGAAAGTTTGAGGATTTATATATTTGGCATATTTAAGGAATTTGGCATGTAGAAACTTAATGATCTATTAGTATTTATAATAATAAATATTATTATCTTAATCAGTGATGACAAATTTGGTATGTGGAAATATAGACAATCATAAGTCATTAATCAATTTCTTCTCTGTTTTTAACCTGTTATATTTCTACCTTTACAGTTATTAAAACTATAGACCCCAGGCCAATAAAACTTAAACAAGCTCACTTTTGATATCAGTCTCACTTTTAACTATAAATTCCTTTGGTAAAAGAGAGACTGAAATCAAAAGTGAGCTTGTCTAAGTTTCAAGGCCCCGGAGTCAGCAGGTATTTTTTTCAGCAGCACTATTTATGACAGTACAGTAAAACACAGTTAAAGTGAGCATGCTTAAATTAAATTTGTGCCTACAGTGAAGTGATTTTCCTGGAGTTTTAAAACATATTATAAACTTCAGGGCTATAACAAATTACCTTTATAATGAATCAAAATTGCTCGTCCCTGGCATTATGCTATAAGTGTGTTTTACTGTACTTGTTTGAACCACATGACTGAATGCTATTAATAATTCAAATCTACATTAATATTTTCCAAAACAATTTGACAATTTTAAATTACTTTTCTCTGTGCATAGAGTATATGTTTATGTAAATTGCAACATGAAATACGGTCTAAACAATAAATATAAGTACACTGTCTTACGTGCAAAATTTTCATCAGGACCACCTCATCAGATCCTGGATCCGTGCCTACAAATCTGGCATGAGTGACAGCATCTGCTATGTTCTCTATGGCAGCAGGAGCTGTCTCACAAGCTGAATCTGAAAAAAAAACAGATGACAAAAAATAAATTTATTTTCTTTTAAATAAATAATGCACTAGGAGAGGTATAGCCATCAATATTAAATGGGCTTAGGGAGAAACCCAGCTCATTGCTAAGAGCAGTCTGAAATACAAATATGTAACACTTAGTAAATGACAGATATTTTCAGATGAACATGCTTTCCTGCACCAGTCTTATTTTCTAGTTTTTGATTTTAAGTACTATCTCTTGTTTCACAGACTTGATTTTTTACCCTTTACATGCAACAGCATTCCAAATTTTGATGCAATATCTAACTTTTCAAGCAACCTTAAACCATTTTATATTTTCCTGATAAGCAGTTTTCATCCATTATTTCAGAGTACCTGATCTTGATAAAAAAGGGAAAGATTTTTTTCATATAAATTGATCTGCAACTCTGCTATACAAAACAGTGTATCATTCTCAATCCATTATCTTATCTTGATCCAAACAACTTTAGTAAAGTGAATTTTACAAAGTTTTATTTAAAGATAGTAATTCTCAAAACTATACCCTAATTTTTATTTTTGCAGTGCAAAGGAAATCTTGATCCAACACAAAGAATAATAAAACTAAAAAATAAATTACTAATTTAAAAGACCAATGGAAAACAAAGTGACAGACAGAAAAAAAACAAACAAACAAACCAAGAATTGACAATATCAAACATTAAGTTCTGACAATGTGGGACTAAAGACATCACATTGAAAAATGTATAAAACCATTTATCAATAATGGATTTCAATGGATTAGAACATATTCTTAACATCTTTCATACATGAACACTACAAGTAATTTATTTACATGTAATCCTTAAACAAACACACTGCACAGAATTTTTTCTATGGATAGAGATAGACAGACATTTACCCACTAAACCATAGGATAAAAATTTGTTCACTGAAGTCAGAGCTAGGCCTGTAATTGGTCCAGTTGTATCCTCCGACCTGATCACTTCCAGGAATGGGCCCAAAAATGCATTAGGTTCAATCTCATCCAAATCTATAGGAATAATATGTAAAACACTTACACAAAGGCAAAAAGTGTACCAAATTTAAAATTTGTTAATTTTGTTTCATTTCAAAAATTTGACCTCAAAAGTAAATGCCAGATTTCCTCAGATTCACTAAAAAAAATACAAATAATGCATTCAAAAGTGTATGTTAACAAAGAATACATACCTGATATGTTATTCAAAATGTCTTTCAGTTGAGAAAAACTGCTAAGAAGAGGGTCACTTTCTTCATCCTAAAATAGAAAACTGATGTAAAGATTATCAGATAAAATCTAATTACTGGATAAAAAAGGCTGCTATTTTCAGCTGCAAAGAAAGTTTAAAAATAAAGTATAATAAAGGAATGTTTTCAGTTGTGTGTGAATTATTGGTGTGTAAATCACACAGACTTGTCACATAGGCACATTTCATGAAGCGTGCTAGCACTTCATGCAAAATATGCCTGCGTGCAAGTCTGTGTGATTTACACACCAATAATTCACACACAACTGAAAAACATTCCTTATATTTACATCTTACGTGTTTAAAGGCAGCAAAAATACCCTCAATGTTTGAATTCTTTGCTGTCCTATATTGTTATATTTTTATCGATGACTCTGTAGCCTCATTGTGAAGTCACTTAAGCACAAGTTTCTCTGTGTATATTCCTACATGCGAGTAACCATATACACAAAATTGACATTCAAATCAATTTCTTAGGTAGTATAGTAGAAAAACACAACAAATGTAAATATAAAAATGAAGCATTTCAAGAGTGGATTTCTCATATGAGAAAGTGTTTATGTGTTAAGGGAGAGTGGTTTGAAGGAATGAAATAAGTAAATGAAAATGATTCCATGCCTTATTTTGTTCATTGCACCAAGGACAAAACTTTTTGAATAGCCCTCATATTTAGGCACAGTACATGTAAAACACAACACTACTATATGATTAGAAGATCTGTATTGATCCTAAACATTTTTAACTCTTTATCTACCATGGCAATACTGTTCATTGAAATCAAAACTGGATACCAGAACTGTGTAGCCTGTGTAGTCTACTTGTGTACCTAGTTTTGTTAACATATAACTAAAACTATAGGAAGAGTATCATTTGAAAATGGTTTACAGACAGACGGGCAATGACATAAGCTCTCCGGTCAATGAGGAAGTAACAGACCTGTTGTGTGTGGTTTACCCAACGAGAACTTCTTTTCATTGCAGTGACAACCAAACTGATCTCTCCCTGGATGATGTAGATTCCATTTTGTGGCCTACCCATCCTGAAAAAACAGAATTACATCATCTGAAAAAACAGAATTACATCTTTAGTGCTAGGATGCTGGTGAAATTTACTATGAATCTTGGTGGCACTGTTTACTAAAACCCACTTATTTTTTTTTTTTTTACCAGCAATAACTATGGCATGGATTATCTAGACTAAGTTATCACAGCAGTGAGAATCATTAAGAATAAATCAATTTATAACTAGGCAACTTTCCTGATTTAGGCAGTATTCTCTCAGTTTTAAACCCCATATTCTGCCATCTTGATTACTTATTAAAGCTAAATAAGCAGGTGTGACCAGTAGACATAGGATGCTTACTCCTTCTAAGCACCTGATCCCATCTCTGCACAGTCCAAGGTTTTACATTGGAATATATAGGAGTAATTGTTGAAAAATCAAACCGGACCAAACCGGGATTGGAACCCAGGCCCCCTGAATCTCCAGTCAGGTGCTCTACCAGCTGAGCTATCTGGCCACCAGCGATCAAATCCGTCTGACTGCCACTGAATCCCGGTCTGGTCCGCTGCATTTTTCTCCTCTCCCGTTACATTTGGTGCCGTGCCATGCCCTGGAAGTGACAGGTGAAAGACCTGCTAGGGAAGAGCCTGGGTTGGTGTCTTCGGGGGCCGAAGACCTTTAAGGAGGGAGGAATGTGGCGGTCAGATAGCTCAGTTGGTAGAGCACCTGACTGGAGATTCAGGGGGCCCGGGTTCGAATCCCGGTCTGGTCCGATGCATTTTTCTCCTCTCCCGTTACACCTGCATGGGGATACTTGCAAAGGAATATCACTAACCATGGATTTGTCAGTCTTGGGAAGATGATTTTCAAAGAAATTTCTTATATATTCCCTTGTAAACTTTGACTTTGATCCCCTGTTGTGGCCCCACCCTTTTCCCATGAGATCATGATTAGAACAAATTTAAATCTACACTACGTCAGGTTGCTTCTACATAAGTTTCATTGGGGGGGGGGGGGGGGCAGCAGTTCTTGAGAAGAGGATTTTCAATGACATCCACCCTTTTTTTTTTGGTTATCTCCTCTTTCAAGATTTCAAAAGGGTGTGTCTCTTTATTTGAATAAATTTCAATCCTCTTCACCCAAGTAAGAGGAAAAGAGGATTGACATCTTTAAGACCAAGTGCCTCAGAAGGATTCTCAAGGTCAGATGGCAGCAGCATATCCCAAACAAGACAGTTCTGGAGATGGCAGGAGCAGAAAACGTCAGTGGTGATGTGAGAAGGAGGAGATGGAATTGGATCGGCCATGTGTTGAGGAAGGACCCAACAGATGACTGTGTTGTGGCCCTCGGGTGGATCCCTCAGGGGAGAAGGAAGAGAGGCCACCCCAAGACAACATGGCGACGGATGGTGGAGGTGGAGCGAAATGATGCAGGCTGGAAGTCATGGAACACGGCATGTCCTGCAGCCTGGGACCGGCCCCAGTGGAAAAGGGGATGTTCAGGCCTTGTGTGCCTTCTGGCATGGAGAGAATTAAGGTTAAGGTAAGGTCACCCATGAAAACGCTGTACCAAGTTTGATTGAATTTGGTTCTCCAGAAGATGATGAAATTGTGAAAAGTTTACAATGACAACAAAAGACAACAGACAACATACAAATTTTGTTCAAATAGCTCACTTGAGTGTTCTGATCTGTTATTTTAAATGTTTATGTTTTACCCTGATTTTTACCGGTTCTTTTACCCGTGTTTTACCAGTTACTGGCACATCAAATATCAATATGATAATATGAAAAAAGCCTTATGGAAAATGTCAGATATTTCGGACTACTTGTGCCCTAGTATTTTACTCTAAACTGACATTTATGATAAGTTATAATGAGTAAGGGTTTGATAAAACGGGATAGTTTGTTATTGTGGTGTGTACTTCAACATTCCAACATAAAATGGCACTTTAAGCAGTTACATCACAATCATGTTAATCTGGGTGTGAATAACATATGTACTCGCATTAAAAAAGAACAACGAAACTACCAATGGTACATAGCCCTGTAAATATTCAAATTCTGATTATACGTCACTAAAATTGAAATACGACTTTAAGAAGAATTTGCCAACTACCGAAAGCTACCTTATTATTGTTTGGACTCCAAGACCGTGAAGACGTCGAGAGTACTGAGGGTTGTCACTAACCAAGCAAAAAATCAAATATTTTGTATAAATATCTTTATCCTTGCAATTTCATTTCTTCGTGGAAAATTTAAACCTACAATATATCTATACGTATGTGAGAAATTTTCATAATTACTGCAAATGTCAGTTTTGTTGAGGAGATCAAAATGACGTGTATGGGGTTGACATTCTTATCTCACAACAGAGGAGAGTTCGTAAAGGGGCATTACTTTTACTCAGCGTTTGAAAAGCAAACCTAACTTCCTACAAAATAAACTGATAAACATTAAATATTTTTGAACAACTGTCTGTACTGTATGTCATATCATTATTTCCCAGGAAGCACATTTTTCTGTCTCTTAATAATATTCTTTAAAGACATTTTTAAAACGTTTCCAAAAAGGTTATGTTTACATTGATTTTATTAAAAATAAATTGTTTTAAAAAGTTTTAAAATGGTACCAGAAATAAGTATAATCTGCAAACATTAAATATTTTCATTTACGTTTTGAAAATATTTTTTATTTTTTATTGATTTATTTATTTTGACAAAAACCACATGCGGCGCAAGTCATACATACAGGAAACAAATATAGTCACATCGATTTTCTTATATTACATGCATCACGTATATACTTTTTGTTGATTTAAAGCTATATATGGCGTATCTGAGCTAAAAATAAATAAATAATAAAAATACGAGATTGAGTGTAGATAAACAAGATATATGTTATTTACGTTCAAATTAAAATTTTCACCGATTTTGAACTTGAATAACCTCATGTTTCCATGATGTTTATTATTAATAATAAACCAAATACTGTACCTGTTATATGAAACACTTAATAGTTCTTCTTATATTATTGTCATACTGCATTAGTTTGCCAGGTAAGAATGGTTTCTGCAATCTCATGTGACTTTCCTCTTGAATATTTTAATTTGTTCCTCAGATCATCATCAAAGTAGAACTCTTCAATATCACACCTCTCATTTTTTTATTCTTTAAAAAAAGAAAAATTCAGTTTCAACTCCATGACAACTATAGTATATGTACGTATTTTTGTATATGTACTTACTTTAGTGGTAATAACATTTCAGCGCTTTTCACACTGTTTCTTGTCCTCTAATTTATGCATATAACGCTAATATCATTAAAACTTAAACATCACTGTGAAAAGTCTAGTGCACTGATTTATGATTGCACTTATCAGTTGTAAAGATGATAGTGCTAAATTTTAAGTGTGCTAATTTATGCACGTTTACATTATGTGATAAATATAGGTGATCAAAGACCGCATAGTCTTTGCTCACTTATGAGTTTGCTGAGTATTTTACTCAGCAAATACTATCTATAAGCAAGACGAAGCATCAGAAGCAAAACTTATCACTTTTTATTTGCGAGAACTTTATTTTCGCATAATTTCGCGAGACCACATGCTCGGGAAAATTTCATCCTAGCACATGATACTATAGTTGAAGATTATACAGAGCAAAATATTCAAAATTCGTGATAATTTTGTTTTGCTTGTAAATACCAATGAACAATCTCATGAAAATAAGGTGTCACAAAAATTGATTGATCTACAGTTTGCTGATTCATGCAATTTTGGTTAAAATAAGGCTTAATGTTACTTAAGAATGAACCTTCTAATACATTAACTTGGCCATTGACTTATTTAAATTTAATTTCTATAATCAATACACTTGGGTGAACTATCAACAATGCTTCTCCGTCTTAGAAGTGGATATTTCTATAGTGAACTTGATTAATTGATGGACAGAACAGGCAGACGGAAGGCCGTTTTGGCATTTACTCCCATTAAGTGATATCACCTATTCCAATAGGTGATATCATCTATTCAGTTGGTGATATCACGTATTCGAATTGATAAAATCGCCTTCAAACTATGTATGAAATAACAACTGCTCCCAAGATTATACGTGCAGTGCTTACATTTACTCTATACAGATAGTAAACATTTCACTCTCTTTATACTTAAATAATAATAATCAGAGAGAAAGTTTCAATAAATATAGCAAAACTGACTGTTAGTAAAATATACATATAACTTCACATTCACTTAAATTGTGCCAGACTATAACACAGGGGGAAAAGAGCAGCCCGAATTTCTTGAGGGTCAATCGAAATCTAGTTTTTCATATATAAATTGAATTGTTCTATGGACCTTTTTTGCGTACTCATAACTTACATACAGTACTCCCCTCCATTTACTCCCTTTGCGTCCCAAAATATTATCTTATTACTGAAATTTTTTAGTGAATTTGATTAATGCAATGTCGAAATAGCAGAGTATGTGGCTTAAATGAAATTCAAAAGTTCCAGAGAAACTTTTATAATCTTTATTAAAAGTTTGTTTAAGAGTAACAAAGTCAATATCATTAATTTTGAATCAAAGCTCAGGCAAAGAAAATAAAGTTGCTCTTTCAAAATTTCATACTATACTTTGCATCGAAGCTAGATTGTCTTGAGGAAGGGACCATTCATTATTTAATGTGGTATTCGATTCGGTGATATCGCCTACTCAATTTGAATGAGTGATATCACCTAACTAAAAAAAAAGTGTTATCACCTATTCGGATAGGTGATATCACTAAATGGCAATAAATACATAAACGGCGCCTCATAGCTCTAATGGTGACTAGAGTGGTAAATTATGTTCGTCTGCCAATGAAAAATAATGGTATAGGATGAAGGCATTTTTGTCCAAGCAGTCCCAATGACTTGCAAGTAATGTTCTCCGTTGAACTTGAAATTATTACACGAGGAGAATGGCGATCGAGGGACTCATATCATGCAGTAGAAAAAATTTGGATACATATACTCCAAACCTTAATTCCCTACTGGCA